CAACAATTTAATGAGTATCTTTAGGGAATAGTTTTATTAATTTTAAATTGATTTTTTTTTATGATTTATAAAAAAAGGTTAAAAACTAATTTGTCCTGATTTCTATGGAATCAATATATGTATTGATATAATATTATAAAAATCCAATATAATAAAGTTTTAATAATCTTATAAATAATCTACAAATAAAAATAATCTAGAGAAAAACACGTTTTCAGCAGTGGTGAATTTTCAATAGAGTACCAGAATAAACAAAAAGCTTTTAGTGAAGACACAAGTAGTTTTTCCGCGGACCGGAAATCAGTTTTCCATACTTGTTTAAAGATTTATCCACTAAGTCATATTGTACTACGTAAGTTTTTTTTCTCAACTGAGAAAAAAAAACTTGAAAACAGAAAGATTTGAAATCTTAGATTTAAAACATCATAAATAAACTTAATCATTGTGGAGCGAAACAAGAAAGGGTTCATTCTCTTATATTCTTAATCGCTTTAGTGCACTGGTTACTGCACTCCCTACTCTGGTGATGAACTTAATCATATGCAGAATGTAAGGAAGATATTTTTGCTTACATTTTAATGATCTATATTTTAATTAGGTAAATCTTGTTCGTAGTCTGTTACAAATATGTACAGCTGATTCATAAATGCAAGTTGAAGGGGGTGGTCGTGTGAGGAGCTTTTCCGCTTTTAGAGCTTTTCGAAATTTTTAAAAACAACATCATCCAATCTAAAAGATATTAAAAGTTAACTTACAATTTACATGAAATTGAAAAACCTCCGCTTTGGACAACAAGTATAAATAATTAATGTAAAAATTTAACTTCCTTTGATTTTTCGGAGGTTTAAATCTTTTTGTTTTTATATAAATTGGACTTTTTTTAACTTTCGTCCCAATGTCGTCTGACTTTTGAATGTCCTTGTCAAGGTGGATTGAGAAACATTAAATTTTTCTGCTAAACTTGAACGTTTTTCACCAAAATTTTTTAAATTTATATCTAATTGTTAACTTGTCTTCATTACTTATATAATTTTTCTTTTTATAAATTTACTGCATTTTTATTTGTTTGTAGACGTTTTAAATTAATATTTTTGCAAAAATAATTTTTATTAGCGCGTTGCAGCTTGTTTTTTCTTTCATGTGCATCTTTGAAGCGAATTTTCAATACAAATACACATGGTCAACCTAGAGCTTGCTAGATTAGAAATTTTCGGCTTTTGGAGAGTAAATTGTTCTAAAGTGTGAGTGTCTCGAAATTTGTGGAGCTTTTCTCTTCAGAGAACTTGCATTTATGAAGAGTCAGCTGTAAATACAAAATCTTCCAGTACCACACAGATTTTACTAGAACATGCTATAAAAATTTAACAACTACAATGTTCTACTACTTCCATAAACCTTATAAAAGACGAGAACTTTCACCATTCACCACATTTCAGTCTGTGTCTGCAAAGCATTCAAGTCGAAGGACGGTTTTTACCACTGATTAAAAAGTATTTAAAGTTTGCGAAAGTTAAAATAATTTTTTTAAAAAGATGTCCATGTTTCCATTCCACCTCGCTTCACATATGGATGTTTTCGAAGATCCTTTCTTCCACGGAGGTAAACAAATCTGAAACGCACAATTAGCGAGTACTTTAATTTAATAGCCATTTTCCAGTGCACAATTTAACAATTGCTTAAATTGATTTATTCGAATGCTTAAACTTTCATATACTTTTTGTTTAAGGTTTGGAACCGCGTTTTGGATTGGGATTGTTACCAAGCGATTTCCATACGAATCGAATTGTTCCTCGTTCTTCTACTCATCATTTGCCGACCGGTTATCGTCGCCCATGGGCAATCGCACGTCAGGCAGCGCATGAACTAGCCCAAGATCAAAAGAATTTACATTTCGGAAAGGATGGATTCCAAGCTTGTGTTGATGTTCATCATTTTGAACCATCTGAGGTTACTGTGAAGACTGTTGATCATACCATTGTCATTGAAGGGAAACATGAAGAAAGAGACGATGGTCATGGATCGGTTGAACGTCATTTCATTCGCAAATATACTTTGATGAAAGAATATGACATAAACACAATCCAATCATCATTATCTTCTGATGGTGTTTTGACAATCAAAGCACCACCACCACAAGCTATCGCTAGTGGTGAACGTCACGTCCCTATCACTCATACAAATGCACCGGCTCATTTGAGTTTGAAGTCAAACAAGCCACATGATGATGAGAAGAATGGCAAGAAATAAGATACTGCTCTAATACTTATCTGAACAGAATTTTCCTTTGGATGCTTTCATTTTGTCTCTTCATAACTTTCTATTATAAGTGTTCGTTACAATCTAAATCTACCTAATAAAGCCGATCCCGGAATAAATTTAACAGTAATAAATGATAATTTTATTTATTTCCCCTAAAACTGTTTATTTTTATTAACTCAAAATGATTATGTTTATTAATCCAAAGCGCTTGAATTCTTTTTTATTTAACACTTTTAATACACAACTTACATGAAAGTGTACGAATACAATTAAAAATAAAACGAAGAAGGAAAAATCATTCTACAAAAGGCAGATGTAAAATTTAGGGAAGAAGAAGGAATTCAGCGGAGAATCTGAGACGAGTTTTATAAAGTTCATTTTACAAATTCAAAACGACGTTTCCTTGTAGTTATAAACACAAAAACAACAATATTCTGTTGCCACGAAGTAAGAATTAAGTGGAGTTAAAAATAAATATCTTCTTTGGATATGATATGGTTTAATAATTTTCAGATTGCAATCGTCAGATAATTTCTAAATTATTTCATTTCAATACAAACTAGAGCAAGGTATTGATATAATGTGTATATCAACAAACGCAATATACTGCGTATACGAAACTATAGTCTTTATTGCGATGGCGCAGAAAAAAAAATAATATAAGGAGGACAAATCATATCAAGAAATGAGAAAATTTTCTGCAGTGTATATTTTCTAAGTAAAGTGAAAACATAAAAAGAAAATTTCGCTTGTTGTGTTTCAAAAATATTCAATTAAAAAAATCTAAAAATGACTTATTCTCCGTATGCCTACAATGTTTATCAGGAGCCCTATGAGCATGGTATGTCATGAAATTCGGAAAAATATTTTCTTTAAATTTTCTTATTTTATTTATTTTTTATAAAAGACATAAAGCATGGATTGGGATTGATGACATTGGGCACAAGGTATTTGCAAAGGCAAAGTGCGACCGATGTTGAACCAAAAACCTACAAGTTTGACTCAAAAGGATTTACTGCTTTGGTTGATGTCCATTTGTTTGAACCGAAAGAAGTTTCAGTGAAAACTATCGATCATGTTATAGTTGTCGAATGTAAACATGAATCGAAAGAAGATGGGCATGGTAGTGTTGAAAGGCATTTCGTGAGAAAATTCAGATTGCCTAATGAATATGACATGTCAACTGTGAAATCGAGTTTGTCTAAAGATGGGATATTGGAAATAGAAGCTCCAAAGCCTGTCACCCTTTCTGAAGAACGTCATGTTGAAATTGAAGAAACAGAAAAGCCATCGCTTTTGATGAGTCTCCTATCAAATCGAGCACATTCAATGTTGAAACATTCTCACTCAATTCCAAGCGACAATGAAGAAGATTAAATTAGTAAATTGTTTGTTAGTTTTTTTTGAAATTTCGGGATTATGTAGAACGATATAAAGTAGATGAAGGTGATTTTCACATGGTTTTTTCTATTTTCACAGTAGTTCGCTACACATTCGTAATGAATAAAATCTTAAATCTTGTATTAAATTTCAGATCTTTTATCTTATCTTTTCTTTGTTTGTTAGATTTTAATGCAGGAAAAATACTTGAAAAAATATCATTCTTTTGAGGATATTGCAGATTTAATAAAACAATTATGAATAAAACTTATAAGTTAATTTCTATGCAATGATATCGCCATGAATATTTCATACCAGGTTTAGATAAATATTTTTCCAAATGTTCTATATTACCTCATTTAAATATTATTTACGAATCGGATTATCTACCAATTCAAATTTGACCATCATCATTTCTATAGCATTGTAATTTGCTATGAAACAGATTTTTTTATTTACATATATTGTTTGTGGAATATTCTAAAGAAACTCTTGATAATTTATTAAACTAGAAAATAAAATCAAATTCTGATTTCAATGACGTTAGAGTAGATTGACATTTTATTATAAGTTTTAAAGTACCTACATAAGTCTCATTATAAATTCTATTGTTGAGGAAAATTTATTTCACAATAGAATATAAAATGTTTCTATAATTTTGAACCAAATTTAGAACGCAAATATGTATCTGAGCATCTAGAACATTCCAATCATATCGAGAGCGTTCGAGACAATTTCCCGAACTTTCTACAAATTCTACTACATTTTTATATCGATCCATATAAAAACTTTTGTTCCTTCTGAACTCACCACATTTTATTTATTGTTCGTGAAGCATCCAATTGCTTCTCGTAGATATTTCGAACATACTATTAAAAAAGGATTATTAAATAGTTTTCAAAGCTTCGAAAGTTTGTAAAAATAGTTTAAGTAAAGATTCAAAATGGACTTATTTCCATATCCTTTCAACCCGAATCCGTTTGATATTTTTGAAGATCCTTTTCTTTACCATGGTAAGAAAAATTGGAATTTTTCTTCAATCGCCATATTCAATTTGCGTTTTACTTTTCTGCTTTTTTCTATGTTTTTAACTACATATATAACATTTATCTTTTAATTTTGTAGGAATGGAGCCAAGATTCGGGATGGGGCTTTCACCAAGCGATTTCCAATCAGATCGTATAGTTCCACGCTCAACTGTTCATCATTTGCCGACCGGCTATCGTCGTCCATGGGCTATTGCTAGACAAGCCGTCCATGAAATGGCAAAAAATAATAAAGCTTCGCTGTTTGGTAAAGATGGATTTCAAGCTTGCGTTGATGTTCATCATTTTGAACCATCTGAAATATCTGTTAAAACTTTTGACAACACTGTCATCATTGAAGGGAAACATGAAGAAAGAGACGATGGTCATGGATCGGTTGAACGTCATTTCATTCGCAAATATACTTTGATGAAAGAATATGACATAAACACAATCCAATCATCATTATCTTCTGATGGTGTTTTGACAATCAAAGCACCACCACCACAAGCTATCGCTAGTGGTGAACGTCACGTCCCTATCACTCATACAAATGCACCAGCTCATATGAGTTTAAAGTCGAACAAGCCATATGATGATGACAAAAAAGATAAGAAGTAAGAAACAGACTGGTTTCGTTCCTTTTATAAAAAATATTTAGTCCTTGAAGAATTATTTTTTGGTGAAAATTTATGTACTTCTCATAAATATCAATAAAAATTTATGTCACCCTTATTTGCCAACATTAAAAAAAATCTACTAAAACAACAAAATTGTTTAAAACGCATCAAAAAATCTTATTTGTTTATTTCATTTAGTACATTTAATTATGAATGTCATACAAATCACTTGATTAAAATTTTATTAGCATGTTCACGAGGTGAAATAAATTTAAAGCAAAAAACAACATAGATATCTAAATATTATTTACGTATCTAATATATCTACGTGATTGGAAACACGAAGAAATATTAAATCAAATTTTATAGAATATTCAAAAAGGGTCTATTATTCGAAGGAAATTTTTACATTCACCAATCTTGAATAACTTGTCGTTTATTTTCTGGTATACAAACTTCATCTTGCGCAAACTTTTCTTATGCTATTCATTCAAGGACGAAAACAGAAAATCACGACGCAGTTTTTAACGCGTGTACTAGATATTAAAAATGTGTTTGACATTATTTTTCTTCCATAAAATGTGTAAATTTTGTTGTGAGTGGTCAGTACCTCAGTTGAATATCTAAACGAATATAATGCGCAGGTTTTGTTTACTACGTATACGATTTTTTTTACTACACGTACATTGGAAAGTAAAAACACGCGATGGAAAGCTTTCATTTGAGTTCATTTGAGGCGCAGAAAGACAAATTTATAATAAAAGGACTTTCGTGTGGTGAATTTTTCCACAGTCAACATTTTCCAATTAAAGTGAAAAGTAGCAACGAAGAAAATTTCTTTTGTCGAGTTTTATTCTGATAAAAAAAGGTTAATTAAGTGAAACAGGAAATGGCCTACTTACCCTACGGATGCAATATTTTCGAGGCGCCTTTTGAAACTGGTAAGCTAGAATTTTATTATTCGTCTTTGTAAATCACGTGAGGAAATTGCTCACTGATTTTGTTTCACTCAATCGCCATTTTTCATTTATTTGAAGACTTCAAACACGGAATGGCAGTAGCTTCAAAAGCAGGTTTTTCGGGCCCATGGTCACTACCACGACAAACCTCGACCGAAATTGATCCCAAAACATACAAGTTTGATTCTAAAGGCTTCACAGCAGTTGTAGATGTCCATTTATTTGACCCGAGAGATATATCTGTAAAAACTATTGATCATGCTATTATCGTTGAATGCAAACATGATTCACAGGAGGACGGACATGGTTGTGTTGAACATTTTGTAAGAAAATTCGTTTTGCCTGCAAACTACGACATGTCCATGGTAAAATCGAGTTTGAAAGATGGAATATTGCTATTGGAAGCACCAAAACCAATCATAGAAGAACGACACATCGAAATTCAACAATCGGAAAAGCCTTCGTTTTTGATGAGTCTTCTGTCCAATCGAGCTAACTCAATGCTTCGACGGTCACATTCGATACCAAGCGATAACGAGGAAGAATGATGCGACGCCGTTTAAGCAACATCAGTCACAATAGACAATTAGAAAAAAGTCATATCAACTATAGTCTGTTGAGAGTGTAGTTGTCAGAGTGGGGGAGTTTTTCAAAATATCTAATTAGAATGTTGTGAAGTTATTGAAAGAATATTTGCATTGATTAAACAACGAAATTGTATCATCATTATCAATTCACGTTAACTAGTATTTTAAGGACTAATAATATTATAAACATGATATATTCACGAATTTTTAATCCACCAGTTACATTCGACTACCTCACAACTAATGCGTATCAATCGCCAATATTCTATAACTTTTATGTGTTAATTTTTGTTTCAATTGTTTCAATATATACCTAGCTCTTTACAAATATTAATGTTTTACACGCGGTTTTTCGCGGCTTATTCAAAGCGTCTTTTTCTTCATTTTCTTTCTCAATGTCGAAACGTAAAACATTTTAAATGCACGTAAAGGTATAAAAAAAATTTGTTGTTATTCCATTGGAGAAAAACTAAACAATAAAGAAAAAAAGAATAATCGTATTTATTCGAAGCGATAAAAATAGTGCTAAAAATAAAACAAGTTTCGTTTTGAATATCTTTTTTTACAAAGAGACTTGTTGTCAAAGCGGTAGACTGACGTCATGTGTTGATATCCTGTCGATTTGAAACAGCATTCAATTTTCCAATATCACGCAATGGAATCATTTTACGCACGGAATGGATTAGAAGGGGTCTCTTCAACTTTTCCCCTTTCAAAGATATGCACGGTATAATTAATATCATGACGTGCTTAAGAGCAATTTCTCAACTTCCAAACTAGACATCGATTGCTAAAAAAATGAAGTGTCCTTGGATGTTTTCTTTTCCTATGTTCTTTTCTTTTTTTCATTAGACTTATTTAAATCAATCTTTGATATGTCTCTTTCTATGAAACATTCCTTGAAACATTCCTTACAAGATTCCTTATTCTCTCATGAGCTGAGAATGCAACGGTAGTTGTGTGTGGTCAATGCAACAAATTACAAGAAATATTAAATGATAAAGATGTGTTAGTAGTTCATATGAAGTTTATTTACGTTTATGTTCTCTTCTTTTCAATTTATTTTGTTTTTTAATCTCAACCATTAAAGACATGCCTGGCGAGTGTTTTGAAATTAAATTAGATGTTCAACGCTGTAAACGTGAAGATATTAAAGTGGAACTATTTAATAATTGTTTAGTAGTACAAACTAAAGAATGTCAACCGGATGATAATTCAATTGTGGCAAGAAAATTTTCAAAAAGAACATATCCGATTGAGATTGACAAATACGACAAGGACACGTTGCACTATGAGTTTGATAAGAATGGGATGTTGAATATTCAAATATTTCCTAAGAAAGCTGAAGCGAGGGTCAACTAACCTAATGATGCATATTTATTTCCCTGATCGAATTGATTTTGTGTTCACTTAAGGAAAAAAAGCAATGGGATTATGTAATTATAAGAAATAGTTTTTATTTAATTCTCGTTTTTTATGTGAAAAGTTTCAGAACTAAAGCATAAAAATTGAATTCATTCCAAAGCTGTTGTTTTTTTTTCATTCATTTGTAAACAAGATTTTCTGATTTTTTTTCAGATCAATTCGAAAATTAAAATATCTTGCAGTGAACGAATTTTTTCATTCGATCACTGGTAGAGTCCAAAGAAATGTCTTTTTTTGCTTTATGCGTTTTACCCTCAATTCTCAAAAGAATTTCAAACATAAGAAACGTTGGACGAAAACTTAGTTCAAAGAGAGCATTTTCACTCTCTTTCAAAGGAATCTGACCGCTGATGTTTCCATTCTCCGTACGCCCAACGGCTTTCTTCATTCTCTTTTTGAAGTCGGGCCGATTAAGTCACAAATTTTTTGTTCGATCCTTAACATAAAAATTATTTAATATCTGAGAATTTTTTGGATCTCAAAAGGCAAATATATAAATTCCAGTTTAAAGAAGTCATAAAAAGTTCAACTCAAAACTTATATTTTTGTGCATATCACGGCAACGGTAACAGACAACATTAAAATACGAAACAATTTCTCGGTTCATAATTACGCGCTAGATTTCGTTGTTTGTTGCTTCGCTTATTCGATAGTGAAGTGAAACACTAAAAAAAGGCTTTGGATGAAGTAAAGAAAATAAGAGAAAAAGGGAAAAAGATCTGAATTAATTTGTTTCGTTATTCTTAATACGAAAAATAAAAAAAAAAATAAGAAAAAGATAAAAGAGTGAAAAAATGCTATAAACGCAATTGAATAAATATTATTTCTAAAACAACTAAACAAATTACTGTAATCGATATAATTTCAACGATCTGATGAACGAAAATTAAGTCGAAGCTATCTTAAACATTCATTTAAGCTGTAAAAGTTGCAAAATAAAATTTTCAAAAATCGCTTGCGAGAGTGAAAAAAAGAGGAAAAATCAATATTAAATAAGAACATCCACGTTTGCTCGCAGGAAAAGGAGCAGAAAGCAATACACAAAACAGAAAAACATTCTCTCATCCAGTTTGAGTTTGATACGGATACAGTAAAGTTGGTGTAAGTTTTGTTCTCTAAATATTTATGTTACTTTTATTACCTTTTTTCGACGCAACGTGGTTAATGCTTGTGCTTCCTAATGTGGTTCTTTTCATTTCTTTTTATTCGGAAATTGACTCATAACCATCATCACGGGGTCATGTAGTTTTTTAAAAAGAACATTCTAGATAAATAGTTTGTATTTATTTTAATGTTCACCAAAATGATCTAAAACAAAATGCTCTCATCTTGATATTTATGTACCTATAAAATGAGTTTCAATGCAATTTAACTGCAATTAGATATTATCTATTCTTTCATCATTTACTCTTGCGTGAAATCATTCAACCATATTTACATATATGTGAACATCACATTCATAGCTTTCTTCTTTCGGGGTGAAAGAATTGAATTCCATCATTATTTAACTTCTCGCACCTTTCAACAAAGTACATATGAAAGCGCTCTAAAAATCGACTCAAGAGAGAAATGAATATTCACAGGAATAATCTTTGAAAACATAAAAAAACGTGTAAAATGGAGAGAGTAAACAAAATGAATAAAAACAAGTCATGTCGTCATCTTTTAACATTTGAAACCTTGACAATGAGTCTTAGTGGTCATATAACTTCGCAACTGCGCGAAATTGTCAAAAAAAAGTAAAAAATGAAGAAAGAAATATGATGAATGTGACGCTTTAACGTCAGTTTCAGTTGATTATTTAATTGAAATTTAAATTATTACGGAAAGTATTTTGAGTTTGACTAAGTGCTCATTTGGCCTCATTGACTCAGGGTGATTGTGGCTGAAATCCAATTTTTGGTCCCCGAATCGAACCCCGATCAGGAGGCAAGGGTAAAATTAGATATTCGGCCCGATGCGAATGTGTTTCATTTAGGTGGTAGTTCAGCTTAGTCGTGCCTTTGTATCAAATTGATAATATTATCAAGTATTATATCGTAGATTGTCCTGATGACGAACGAAATACTAAATACAGTATTAAACTAGTCGACCCCTGAAATAAAATCTTTGAAATGAATCTGAAAGCCAAAAATAAAAAGTATACATAAGTACAAGGGGTTATTCACGGACGAAAATGGTCGACTCAAGCAACTTAAAGCAACTTTACACAAATCGACAGCAACCCCGTTGACAACCAAAAAAAAAAAAACGCCGAAAAAATGAAAAAACTAGTAACAACAGTTAGCTACATTTCTAGCAACTGTTGACAACTATTAGCAACTGTTGGCAACTTTCAGCAACAGTTGAAATTTTTAAAATTAAACAGCAAAAGCAATTGTAGCAACTTTTCAGCAATTTTTAGCAATTTCATGGTCGACTCAAGCAACCGTCCGTGAATAACTCCTTGCATAAGTATATGTTTTGAACCAAACATCAGATGAACCAAAAATTTTCCTAAAATAGTATCAAGTTCAGCAAAGGCAAATAAAAGAAAAAGTAAATATTTAGTGAGGCAGAAAAGTTTTGTCTTTTTCATAAAGGTGATAAAAAAATGTAGCTTAGTGTGTTAAATTTACGACTTGATAACCGGCCTCAATATTTGTTCTTAATTCCAACACATATTCAAGGATTTTGTATTAACTTTCGAATTCTATTCTTAAATGAATGAACGAATATTCACATTTTTTTTGCATTTAAGTGATTCTGATGTGTCATGAACAATTGGTGATAAAAGTAAACCGCATGTCCGTAGGAAAAGCGTTGAAATTTTTAATGGTAAAATAATTTTCAACCAAAAAAAAATAGAAAAACTTTTACCAGAGTTGAAATTGGATATTTATTAGACAAATTGAAATTTATGATGTGCTCGAGCATTAAGTGACTCAGGAAATTACTTTTCCTATATGTACAAGCTCTGCTTAGTTCCATCAATTTAGTGAATTTTATATGTGTACATTTTTTTGACGTTGCGTTTGAGCTGGCTTGCTTTTTATAATTCGGTTGTGTCTTGTTTCTGTTGTATCAGTTATGTCATACAACAACCGTGAACTAGAATATCATAATCGTGGTGACCTTGGGCAGAAAAGAATCAATTCCAATTCTCTCATACTAATGTATGAAATATAATAATATTCCATTTAAATAATATTGAAAACTGGTGCCCGAACGTGCTACCTAGGAGTGTGATGTGAAGCCAGAAAGCAAGAAATTATCTTTTGACAGACTTGTAATAAACATGTTTATTCAATCGGTATCTTCTTTTATTAACGATGACGATAAGTATAATCATCTTGTTCTTATGAAATGTGAAAAAAAAATTCTTTTTTTATATATTTCTTATGTGATGGTTGCTTAAGGTGTCGGGGAGTGGAAGATGAATGAACGACGGATGCAGAATAGAATAATTTTGGTTAATGCCATATTGCCATCCACCAATTGTATACAAGTAAAATTATAGCGTGCGTTTATCCGATGGGAATATTTTTAATTTTATTAACTTATCTTAACTCTCTTCGTTTTAAATTCTGAAACGACTTCCTGCCTTTTTCCCTCTATTTTTTATTTTATTCATTGGATTTTAAGTTAAACAAATGACCATGAAATCCTTTCCTTTAGGGCCCTTTTTATTGTTGATCGGAAGAGACTAAACTTGCTCAAATCAATCTATGATTTATCACCTATTAGAAGAATAATTTAGAAGCCAACCACACATAATAAAAACAAACAACATTGTCGTTATTTAAGTAGAATAATAAACATAAAAATTTATAAAAAAGAAGACTCATCATCAACTATTAAACTGTTCTACGACCAATAAACGAATAACTTGCGTGATGAAGCGTGGTCGCTGGTAGTCACTCACTTAAACAAATAGAATAATTCAGAAAAGAAGTAGTGAGCACACGAAAAGATCATTATCATCGTCACTCTTACTTTATTATTTATAAAGACATGAATGAATAAGATGATCTTATGAACAATTGGATGATGACATCATGAGTCGTCATCCTTAGAAAATTTCATTCATGAATCTATCGAAAAAGACTAAAGTGTGACTCATTGAATCATCACACATTTCTTGAGAAATATATCAGTTGGTTGAGTCAGTTAAATAAGATGATAAGAAAATTCACATCGTGGTATAAAGAAATGCGGAACACCGCTGTGTGTGATCATAAAATCTTATTCAAATTTATGTAAATTGGTCAATTGAAGTCAGTCTCTATTCACACACAGCGTGAATGCAATAAGACAAGAAAACTTGTTGGCTTAAAATGAAGAAATATATTGCATGCAGTGCGAGAAATCATTAAGCAATGACCAACAGGCAAACACTAATTATGATTATATTACGATAAGAACAATGAAAGTTAGGTATTCATGACTGTATGCAGCTCTAGCGCTCTACATATAAATTATGCTATGGCATCAATTTTCAATTTCTCTTTCGTTTACTGATTCCTTGACTGATTCCCCAAACTGAGAATATAAACAATAAATAATATATATAGATTGATTACTCTTTTTTTATTTTCTACGTGACTTAAAATAGCTTCAATTTGTATACAGATACATTATTATGTTCTTGTGAGGGATGCCATTTATTAACAATTAGCTTTTATTCTACTTATGTTGTACAATAGAACATGTGTCAGTGAACTATTGATATAACATTTCTTTCATTATAACATTCACTTCTCTCCCGAAATCTGGAACCAAATCTTCTCGATATAACATTTCTCCTCTTTACCCTTAAATTCAATCTTTTTACGTAAAATTTTGTATCGAGTGAATTTTTCATATAAAAATTCCAATTTAAAATCAAGTAGATAAATGACATGAAATCTTGTACGAAGTGAGTTTTGCTTAAAATTTCGAACGTGAGCAAGAAAGCAACGTACTATCGAGTGAATTTTTGTATCGACAGTATGTTGTATCAAGGGTTCACATCATAAAACATTTTTATTAATATTCAATGCCAGTGCTGGTCCACCGGATATCATTCGGTTATTTACTTCTGCTTTGTTTGCTGGATGCTTTCACACATTCAAATATAAGTAGTCGATTAACGATAAGCTTGCAATAAACCTGGGATTATCGCAAAGTTCATACTTAGCACCAAGTGTTAAACTTATCTTATATGTAATATTATTAATTTGAAATTTAAGCCTAATTTAGTACGGTTTTGAATGAGGTAAAATGAAATGAGATAAGTTCTAGACCTATGGCTTATTATCTGGCAGTAAGGAAACAAATGAAAAGAATTTTTTTTTTCAATCTAAATATGACAAGTTAAACATAAAATTGCATTAGTAGAGATTTGAAGCGAACGATAAAGTTTATTTATTGTAGGTCGACGACAATATGGCTCCGTAGATATGTTTCATATGTATATAACGTGAAACAACTTCTCAAACATCGTTCTGAATGTCATTTAACGAAAATACATAACAATAAATATCCTTTAAAAATTTGACCTTCGTCCTGACTTACTCTTATTCACTTGACATATTTCCCATCCCACATCTTATCCTTTCAATAACAGTGGTGGTATCGCATTATATTTCCTCCCTTTCATTGATTTTTTGTTTTGTATTCAAAGGAAAATTATCAAAAGACAAACAAGCGAGTGACATTGAAATTCGTTTGGGCTATGAATAAAACTTCGATCGATGAAATGTCCATAAATATGTAAGAGAAATCGTGAGTGTTTTTAAAATTCAAGTTTCATTTATTCTAAAAATATTTTCATGAAAATATTCGAAAAAGTGATTTACTTATTAGCACAGTAATAGCGCATCCAGCAACAATGTCAGCGAGAAGTAATTACAAATGCATGTATAATTAGATAATTAGATTTGCTTTTCATATTGTAAATCTCGTTAATGTTTGTTTATCGTGTTTTAGATCTAAAATAATTAAAGAATGAAAATTTGAGCCGCTCATTTTTCATTCAAGAGCATTAGAATAACTTCTACTTATGTGATGCCATTTGTGAATATTCAGAAGTAATAGTGCTTGATTGAATTAATGGATTAAATTTATAAATTATTTGATCGGCAAAGTGACGAGAAAGTCAAGCGTTGGAAGAAAAGAATTTAAACGCAAATATTCATTTATTTCTCGAGATGATAATAGAATATATGAGATGAATAGTTATTTATGCAACCTACAAAATCTACACGCACAATAAAAAATGAACGTCATAGAACTAATATGTCATCATATAAATTTTATAATTGGCAGCTACTCGTGAACTAATCATTTGAAAATTATATGCTGGTAACTCAATATAAGTTTCAATGATTACATATTGTATTTCAATGTGTGTTCATTCAACAAGCGAATGAAAACAATGTAAGATTCAAAACAAAAATTACAACCAACATTTTGAAACAAATTAGTATCAAAAAAGGTTCCGAATAATAATATGTGGGAATTCGATCGCCTGTGGTAGATATGTTTTTCGAAAAATGTGATCGGAAAATCATGAAACTGAATTCTCTCAAATGAAAAAGATGGAAATAATCGTCAAAAGTTTTGTGCCTCGCAAAATTGATAAAAATAATTTACTTCAATTACAGATGAGAATGTCACTAGACATATTTTGACAGTTTCGGGTCATTTAAAAGTAACTGAGTGATAATTGAATGGTTTAATTCTCATTTTTCATCACTTACGGTTGAGTCGTACAAATGTTAGAGCCATAAATTGTTTGACATTAGCGAAATGTCACGCAAAAGTATCGCTGGAAATATTAAAGTCAACAGGAATAATTATTTCTATTTAAGTGCTGTAAGAATACATTTTAAACACCTAGTTGATAGAGACGTCATAACAAAATGTTTTTTGGTCGCGACTTGAACAGTTCATCAACACTTTTCTCACATAGATCACATATGTACATAGATAATCTTTTATTTTAGTGACAATGATACACTTTTAAAAAGATATATGTACAACTTTTCTACTTAATTAATTAAAATTGATGTAAATGTTGATATATAAACATGCCAGAAGCCATCAAACAATAAAACGAAATGGAATGAAACAAAATATAAGTGGGAGTGTGAAGCGATTCGATGAGATTGGTTTTCGCAATTTTATTCAATTTCATCATAACTAGAAGCAATGAATGAAAAATTATCGCTCCATTTCTCTCTTACCCTCGAATGATGTTCTATCTATCTGGAACACAATTGTCAATTAAGCATTCTAGTGTGAAACATAGTAGAATAAATAAAAACAATGGCAACGATTGATTTCATTCGTTTTTTTATCTTGTGTTTTGTTTGTTTCAGAATAGAAAGAAAAAACATCATGGAGTGTTCATTAAAATTAGTGATTCTGTTATCATTGCTTGGTGTGATTTCTGGAGCTTCAAAGCCAGTCACCGTCAAAGATAACAACACTAGTCAATTGGTAACTTCTAGCATTTTAACGTGGGAAACTTTCAATAACGATCCAAATCAATTCAAACATGCTGTGGTTGGTGGATTATTTACTGGCGAAGAAGTAAGTTTCAAAAATCTCAGAAAATGTCCTCGTTCAATTAATGTGATTTTTTTATTACGCACTTAAAATTCCATTTCAGAACGGAAGGGCATATGTTTGTCGTGCAACTATAAATTCCGTTCCAGTTTCGGGTTATGTTAAAAAACGAAAAGAAGATTATGTCTGCATTATCTCACAACATTCACAATTTCGAACGAAAGGTGCTTTCGACATCTTATTAAACAAAGGCGATGGTGCAAAATTGCAATGGGTTAAATGGGAGAAATTAATTCCATTTGATAGTATTTCGGGTGCTGTCACAACATTGAATGGTGGAGGTTCGAGGGTGAGTAAATAAAAAAAAACAAATGTTTTGTGAAATTATTGACAGAAACACATCCAACAGAGTGAAGTCTATTATGTCGCTCGTCACTCAAAGACTCATGATATGGAACACCATGAGATTGATCATGCCATCGGATTTTTCGATTCTAACGATGGTTTGGGGAAGATTTATGTGACAGTAGCATCTGATGAAAGTTCATTTGATAACGGAGAAATCCTGACAGCAACTGAAGCTGTTCGTTATGAACTTCATGACATTAAATTTTCCCAATTGAGACTTCGTCAAAAATTTAACAGAACACTGTTAGGACAAACTGTTTTAAAGAATGAAGGTGAAAATGAGATGGACGTAAGTGCAGTGATTGGTTATGAATATGATATTGTGAGAAACTTTGGAACTCATGATGGTATTGCTAGAAGTATAAACACAACAGCTTATGTTCAGAAAACCGAACAAGTGAACTTCTTCTGGGGAATTCAAAAAAATGAACATGCAGTAAGTTCTAAAGGTGTTACAACTCGACTTTTATCTGGAACAGCTTTGAATGTAACTTTATGGGGAAATTATACGACAAATGAAGGACCTTATAAGGCGACATTGATCACACATTGGGCTGATGGAACAAAGTCAAAAAAGAAAAAGATTGAAGTCTCAACGGTGAGTTAACAATTGTTCTTGATTTCATGCTAAATTTCATGGCTTGATTATCTATTTGATTGATTCAATGACACAGGGCTTGGAGCAAACACTCAACGATCAATTGGAGATTGAATATAGTCCAACTTATTGGCTTCACAACAACACTGTTGTGCCAACGACCACACAGAAAACTACGACCAGCACTAGTACACAAAGTGTTCATAAATCAATCTTTTCAACATCGATGTCAAGTAGTGCTATTGAAAGAATTACAGAAAAGTCGTCGATGGATGATGACGATGACGAATCGAAAAAAAGCAGCACTTCAACATTGTCCAAGGTTTCATATATGAGTCTGGTGATTTTGAGTGTTTTAAAAGCTTCTCTTTAAGCTTATTTAGAACAACAACTGCTTATTTTCAATTTATTCTCTTGTAAACGATCTTGTTCCTGCTGTCTATTACCAACCTAGTTGAAGTTAAAAATATCTTAATTTTAAACATTTGAAAACGAATCTCTTTTGAAAAACTTAGATATGAGAGCAGATATTTTTTCATCATTTTTCGAATTAAGAAAGTAAAGTGCATCAGTCATTGATTATTTAAGTTACTAAGTAGATGAAAAAAATATCTTTTTGACACTTTATAAAGAAAATAAAAACTTGAAGGAAAAAAAATTACCAAACGTAAAGTGCCTGATGCATTCTAATTAACAAAAAAAGGAAGAAAAGGAGTACAAAATCATCCTTCATTATAATCCTTTTGAAGGATTTCCATCTTTACTTCAAGAACGTTAAAAATGAGTAAAAATTGGTTTGTCCATTTTATTTCCACTTGGTCGCGTTTTAAATTTTTACTCGGTTAAAATGTTTCACCAGCAGAGTTAAAACCGTTTTTAATAATTAATTATGCATTCCATCATCAACTGCCTTGGTGAAGTTTTGCTACAGAGTAATGATTACAGTGATGTAATGGTTTTTATAATTTTAATTCTTTTTTTTTATGAAAAATACCGAGAGTGTTTCTCATTGCTGCTCGAATTGGAGCCTTCAATTCATTTATTTCAAGTATCTTCTTTCGTCGTTAAGTTGTGTTAAAAAACGAAAGATTATCTAGTTGGGTTTTCTTTTGATGCGAGTATAAACATGTAAATATTCATTCATTAACTTGAGATGAGTTTTTCTGTCGGTTTTCATTTCTTTCATTGATTGTTCTGTTAAACCATTCGAAAGATTCGGAGAAAAAGAAGTTAAAAAAAAGAAAAACTTGATGCGATGTCAAATCTAAAATTCCACTTGTGAAAGAGAGAAATTATTTCGTTAAAATTTACAAGAAAAGTAAAGGAAAAAGAAGAGAACGATTGGTTTGAACTCTAAGCTGTAATTAAGTTAAATTAAAAGAAATTTCTGCGTCAGCCTACTTGATGAAAAATCACAAAAAGCATAAAAAAAGCTTTGCGGCATTAATTATCTACAAATATATTTTATGACTCAAGTAAGAGCTTATGTTGCTAAGAAATTATTAATGTCAACAGTTGAAAGCCGCTTCTTAGATATTAATTATCTTCATTCTCCTAATGACGACAAAGTCCATATACCTATGAGCAATGGCAACAAGAAAATTAAATATTTAGTAGTTCGAGCTCTGTGAATTAATGGATTGAGTTTTCGGGATTATTGTTGACATGTATTATTTAATCTGGATTTGGGATAATCTCAAAGGAATAAATTTTATTAATATTAATCGAGAAATAAATTCATATGTTTTCAAAGCTTCAACTGCCAAACATTAAACATAAATGAAAGATTTAATCAAAAAATATATAAAAAGTGTGACAAATGCTTCTCTATTTTTTATAATCCTTGCGATATTGTATTGAAACGTAGAGAATAAGTAAGAAAAATGAATGAAATTGTAATGTTTAACATTGAATTATGTAAATCTTGCCAGCTTTGATTGACGGACTAAGTGACAAAAAATATTGGAAATGCATGATGCTTTGAAGCAATGTGAAAAATGATTACTCATTAACAGAAACTATGAAAACTTTAATTAATACTTCAACGTATCGTTTTATTCTTGTGGAGTACAAAACCAAATTTAAAATATTTTGAACACAATAACATCCAGCCGATAAGAAAACTATGTAAAGAAAATTAAATGATAGAAAAATAATAATAGAAAACATCATATTTTGAGCTTCTGCATGTTCATTCATTTCCTCATTAATTAAATATGAAATAAAACAAAAATAGTTTCCCGATGAAATTAATTTATTTTTTATTTCTTTTTGGATCAATTTACAATGTTAATTTATTCAGATTCGCTATCATTTTTTTTCAGACCACCAAACACTTTCGATGGAATAGATTGCTTCTCGATGGGAACATTTTTCAATTCTACTGTTTCATCTTCGTTTTCGCCTCCACTGTCATCTTCGTCCATGTCGATGTCAATTTCGTCAGGATTATAAACAGCACCTTCTTCCGTTTTCTTATCCCCACCTTGAACTTCACCACGAACAAACATAATATTAGCACCAGTTGCTGTTACAAGTGTTTGTTTGAAGTTTGTTTCAGCTGCTTTTGCTTCCAACGCTTGCATTGCGCTTTTAGTTGTCTCGGTGGTTCCTACAACTGTTGTTGTTATTTGAGCTGACATCATATTAATTTGCGTGTTGTATGTTGCTTGCACACTTCTCTTTATACGAAGCATTTCTCTCATTGTGTCTTCATTTCCATGTCGAATCTCAAAATCTTTCCAACGTTGCCAGAAATCTTGCGTGATTCTCGGGTCGCACATTTGACTACAATGACTGTAAATGACACGGGCGCGATCAATTTCTCCTAATTTTGTTTCCATTTCAGCAAACTTTACGCACATTTCACGGGATTTTGCTTCCGGTAACATTTCAACAGCTTTCTCATAAATTGGTCGAGTTCTTGGAATTCCATAGATTTCGGCTGCTTTTTTAATGTAGAGATTAAATAGGTCCAACATATCACTCTCTTGAACGGCTCCAACAGCACGTTCATAAACACTCATGACATGACGAGCAAGACCATGTTCCTCTTCTAATTTTGCGTAAAGCAAAAAGAAGTTTTTAACATGATTTGGTGGACAATTTTCAAGACATTGTTCAAACAAATCTCTTGCTCTTTCTAACTGTGATCCTGAATATCTTGCAAGAAATTTCGTCAAATAAGTGTTCCAAATATCGAAAACATTTGGCCATTTAAATAAAGCAATGCCTTTCTCATATGCTCGAAAAGCTTCTTCAAAATATTTGTGCTCCTCGAGAAACATTCCATAGTTGATAATGATTTGTGGCGTACAAATACGAAGATCAATGATTCGGTCATAAACACTTTTGCAGCTTTTAAATGTTCCAAAGCTTTCTTCAAGATCAGCATACATTGACCATAGTTTAAGACTTTTATGGAGACGTGCTTGAACTGTTTCACTTTCATCGGTATATGAAACCTTATTTTTAGGAATAACCGTGGCTCGATACATCAAATCTAAAGCATTTTGAAAATTTTCTTGGCGAATTTCCATTTCCGCCCATTCACACCAAACTGCTGCCAGATCATCAACCTTTATATATTCAACTTGTGATGCTTTTTCAAAAACTGTTCTCGCATCATCAAGCTGTTCATTGACTTCGTAGAATTTAGCAAATTCAACCCAGAGACTGTGAAGTTTTCCAACAGCTTGTTTTGGTTGCACAGTTTGAACAGCTTCAGTGTAAATTTTGATAATCTCCAAAGGTTTTCCTTCGAAAAGTTTCACTCTGTTATGCCATTCTTGAACATTGTGAGGATTTTGACGAAGCAGAACGCTGTTTAAAAGTGCTAAACGTCGTGCCATTAAATTCTCGAATCTCGCCAAACGCAAATCAATTTCAATGTCATCGTCTGCAGTCGCTCTTTCTTTTGTTGTCACTTCTTCCATTAGTTTACTCAAACTTAGTTCTTCAAATTGCGCATAAGCATCAAACACTTGAGAAAAATCACGTACTGTTTTTACAGTGTCAATTGCTTCCTCGTATATATCACGAGCTCTTTCAAACAATCCACTCCTAACATAATAATCGGCTAATGAGTTCCATAAATGTCCAAGTTGATCTGTGTATCGCCTTAAGCCACTTCGAATAATTGCATCGACATTAAGTGAAACGACTTTGTCAGGATTTTTTGATATCATGTCACAAAGTTCATTCCACAACTGATGATTAGATTTTCCGAATTTCGACACAAAATGTTCATTATCAACAATTTTAGCTAATTGTTGAGCAGCTTCATCAAGTCTATCAACTTCAGCAAGATAATTTATGAACTCCTCGGTGTCTTCGGGACAAAGTTTCAAATATCTTCGATAAACTCGTACACCAGTTTCGGGGATATCATATTTATTAAGAAACTCCAAATAAAGTGGCCATATTCGGTTATGTTGTGTAACTGGTAATGCTCGTAATGCTCTGTCGAATGTATGACGTATTCTTGTTATCTTACATTGAGTTGTTATAAACGAAAGATATTCCATCCAAATTCGTGGCATTTTATGCATAAATACAAGTGAACGCTCAAAAGCATTATTTACATTTTCAAAATCTTCATCGGTTAAACATTTTCCTTTTAAATGTTTTTTACGAAGTTTTAAATAATGAAACCTAATAATATAATAATGAAAAGTAATCAAATAAATATAATTTTTTTAAAAGAAATAAGAGCAGCACACTCACCACAATTTGTAAGATCCAGGAAGCTGTTTCAGTGCTCTCTCATAAACTTGGTTGATAACCAGCTTTGATGCGTTCTTTTTATGATCGACATACCGCATCCAATGTTTCACTGAATAAGCATTTCTTAAAATTTCTTCTTCATATGGAAAATCGTCTTCGTTCTGTGGACCAAACGTTTTAACAATTTTCAATAAAAATACACAAACTTAGAATTATGAATGATATATTGTAAATTTATTACAAAACTTACAAGCTCTAAATCAAGTTCCATCGGTGTTTCCATTAGAATTGGCATTATCAATCTGCTTTTAAGAAATTATTGATGATTTAATGAATATTCCGGATGAGCTTTAATAGCATGCCGGATAACTGATTACAGCTTGTATTACGGATAATTTCGAACTCGATTTTTTTTTCGAAAAATCTGTTAGAAACTACGAAACAAGATTTCAAATTAGATTTGTGTTTGAAACTTGAGTTTGAAAATGTTTTCTGTTCTTTTAAAAGCTAAATTAGATGTCGAAAGTAAGATTGAAGGGTTACAAAGAAATTATATATCACTTTTACGACAACCAGTTTTACCAATAGAGTTCAAATCACAAAATAATTTGGACGCCGCTGTTTCTATTATAAATACGAAAATTCAAACTCTTGAAGAAATTGAAGAAGAATATGAAAAAATATATTCCCTTCATCAAAAATTATTATTAGAAATTCCAGAAGCAAAAAATGATGCTGAAAGCTTAGAAAAATTAGTTGATGACTTGTTCAGTGATTCAAATATTGAAATTCCGGAAGAATTACAAAAATCTCAAGAATTTATAAAGTCTGAAATCAAAGTCGAAAATTTAAAAGAAGAAGAAGAAGAAAATTACCAAAATCACGAAGAAGAACAGATAAATTCTGATAAGGAAAATAGTAACATAGTCGAACTCTCTGACTTAAATACTTCAAATGAAAGCTTTTTTAGTCCTGACGTTCAGGTAGGTTGAGACTAGGAAACTTATTAAATATAACGATAAATCATTAAATATATTTTAGGTGCAAAAATCATTCTTACTAACATCTTCAGATTGCTTCACACCAGCACTAAAGTCACATTCAAAACGTTTTAATTACTAAATAATCCGTATTTCCATTTCCAACACTTTTTTGCCAAGAAGATGAAACCAATTCCCAGCACAACCAGATTTAATGAAGTTATCAGAATTTTAGGATGTAATCCGAGTCCAATGACATTACAAGGAACAAATAGTTATTTAATAGGAAAAGGAATAAAGTAGGTTGACTACAGATAAAGATGTTATCTCTATTTAATTGCTTGTTTCTTCCATTTTCTAGACGCTTATTGATTGATTCTTCAGATCCTAAGAAACCAGACTACATTAAAGCGCTAGAAACAATATTAAAAGAAGAAAATGCACTAATTTCTAATATAATTTCAACTCATTGGCATAATGACCATCTTGGATCGATAGTTGATGTTAAAAAGAAAGAACTTGTTACTGATGATTGCAAATTTTGGAAGTTTCCAAGATCAGATGCCACAGAAGATTATGGCGAATTAAAGTTTCAGGAATTGACAGATCGACAAGAGTTTGATATCGATGGTGTTAAAATTAAAGCCTTACATACTCCAGGACATACTACGGATCATGTTGTGTTATTTAATGAGAAGACAAAAGCTTTATTTTCAGGTGATTGTATTTTGGGGGAAGGAACTGCAATATTTGAGGATTTGCACGACTACATGAAAAGTCTAGAACTTCTTTCGAAGTTAAATATATCAGTTATTTATCCTGGACATGGAGATATCATTGATAGCAGTCCAACCAAGAAAATACAATTTTACATCAATCATCGAAATGAGCGAGAGAAACAAATTCTTGATGCAATCATAACAAGTTCTAAACCCCTGACAGATATGGATATTGTTGCAATCGCATATGTAACTACCCCAAAGCATCTGTGGCCTGCTGCTGCTGTCAACGTCAATCAACATTTAATTAAACTTAAGAAAGAAGGTAAAATAATCGATGTTTTGAAGGATCATGAAACTTATTGGCAAATTATTGAACTAAATAAATTATAGTGTTTTTATTAATTATGGGAATGATTTTATTAAAGATTATTTTTTAATTAATAAAATTATACAGCTTTTTTGGATGAATTTAATTCGGAAATCTTAATTGATATGCAAGTTCTTGAGTTTTAAGTTTAAAAAATGATTTTGATTTTTCGTCAAGTTTTTGGAGGTCTGGAAGAAGTTGCGTCAAAAACATAGCATCGGCATTGCTCATTGAATTTAAGGAATGTTGTTTTGATACTGACGAGAAAAAGCTTGTTAAATCTTCTTCGTCTTGTTCTGAACTAACATCAAAACGTTCGCCGAACCAGAAATCAAAAGGTTTTTCTGCTTTTAACAATTGTTTCATTGGTTCTAATAATAACCAAGTCGTAAAAGGATTAAGTGATTCCTTCAAATACTTTTGCATAAGTTTTTGACATTTTTTCATTGACGATCCAACTGAAGAAGACGATTGCAAACAAAAATTTATAATTAAATTTCAATTTCGATTATTTACCAGGTTTTTCTAAAAATTTGTCAATGTTTTTCCATTCTTCATGTTCTTCCGGTGGTAATGTCAGATTTAGAACTTTAACAGTATTTATTAAACGTTGGACATCTTTAAATGTCCATTTCTCTTGATTTTGATCCATGGTTGTCAATCGAGTTTATTAGAAAAGAATTTGAAAGTTCATGTCAGGAGTTTCTCCTCATTCAGTTCAAAATCTCTAGGTTGAATAATCTAAGATCAATCTGTATTAGGTAGGTTGTTAACTAAATTTTCGTATCCGAATTTGGCTGCTTACAAGGCCTTGAGGCTAAACAATATATATATACCTATATATAAGTTTATACAATCAACTTTTCTTGTACACACTTTTAATTTGCTGATAATGTAATTCAAATTATTTAGCGCTTAAATACAACAAAATCATGAAATAAACCCTTTTTATACTCATTAACGGATAAAATTTCAAATGTTTTCGAAATTAAAACGCAACTTAGTTTACCCCTTGTTTAAAGTTTATCCTCTAATATAATGCAATATTATTTAGTAAATTTTGGCAATTTGTAGCTAATTAAGGTGAATAAAAATAAGTGCTCTACGTGTATAAACTTTTTCTCTGAAACCTATAATTATTAAAACATGATTTAGTGCATAACTCAGTGAAAAAATATCTTCAAAAGTGTCTTAAAAGATTTCTAAAAAAAATGCAAATTTCCCAAACTATACTAGCTAAATTTATTTTCTTACGTTCTTTTATAGGATTACAATCATGCTATCATCAGTTAAAAATTGCCGTCCTTAATAATGTTGAACAAAACTTTATACCGATTGTCAAAAAACTTATGAAAATGTCTTAAGACTTCACAAATTTTTTTTACAAGATGCATCTTCATTAGTTAAATCCACAAAAAAATGTTTTCCTTGTTCAGTTTTTTTTTAAGTTGTCGCTTACACAGTCTTCATTTATTTTTGTTAGCCCACTTCTATTAATCAAGAAATTAAAAATTTTAAGTTGTGATAAGCTAAGTGTGAAAATTGTTATTTAAAAAAAGTCTTGAGGAAAAAAAAATCAGTTGGATATATTCAGCCGAAAAGAGAGTGAAGAGATCCATCGAAACTCAATACAATCAACATTTTTTTACTTCGTTTCGTTAAAAATAGAAGAAAAAAAGAAAAGAATTAATTACAACAACAAGTCGGGTAAACAATCCATAAGAATATTTTTCCTTCCCGCTTCATGTTTGGAGTTTTGATGGATAACTCAGAAGATAGTCTACGATAGAGGGTGTAACAAGTTTAGTTCGATGAAACAGGTATGTATTCTTAAATCTTTCTCTTTTGCACACCATCATCCGTCTTATCGTCTTCTCCTCTCCTTCGTTTTCAAGTTTTTCTTGTTGCAAAACCGAACAGACGGATCATTTTAAAATTGTCGGTGAAAGTCTTTTATGCATGCAAATCTTTTCCAATGCAATATACTGTGAGTATTTGAGTTAAGAAGGCAAAGAATCATAAATTTAATTTACACATCAACAACGCTTTCTCTGTCTCGCCATCGATAGAAAGAAGAAACACACAGTCAAAGATTTATGAATGAACGCACGATTGCATTTTAAGATGTTCCATGTGTGCCAGCAAAGAAAATCTTGAATCAATCTGTTTTATTTCTTCTAAATCTTGATTCGATTAAATTACCGCGTCATCATAATTCACTTTGGCAGCTTCTACCATACCCTATTGTCGTACGTCTATTGTCAACAAAACGAAATCTCCTTTCTTTGATTCATAACAAAAGATACAACAATGGGGAGAACAAAATTGTGGTGACAAAAAGCGCATGTGTCACTTTATTATTCAATAAATTTCTCTTACGCACAAGAAGTGTTTAAGAACTAGAAAATCAAAATAAGATGAAATTTAATGCTTCAGTAATTTGTTGACTTTCACAGTTTTAAAGTTTCGGTTCCTTTTGAACAGTTAAACTGACAATGTTTAAATGTCAAGTGTACACATTTAGGTACCAAATAAAGTTTTTAATTTGAAGATTTCATCGATTTGTAATCATTAACTATTCAATTAATATCAAAATTTCTGCGCGTCTTAAACTCACCATTTTTCATAAATCAAAAACACAGCATGATCAAAAATTTTAGGGAGTTTAAATTAAACATTTATTAGGGTTGAAATCAAAATAAGTTTTGCTTGAAAAAATATTCTAATATTTCTGCACAGATTTTTCTTTAAAAAGCCATTTTAATAACTAATACAGCAAGTTTTCATTCAAGGTTTTTTTTTCTATTTGAAAAAGAGGGATGACTGACTCACCCACTTCAATGTGTACAATAATATGAAAATGTAAGGATTTTGGTATGAAGGGAATAAAGAAAAATTGCTTCTTTGCCTATCAGATTTTCAGTTTTCATTTTGCGTTGATACTGAAAGCAGGTTATAAGTGAATTGATTGTGAAAACATAAATAAATTTACGAACGAATAAAAAAAAGGTTTTCCTATAATTAAGTCTTTTGCAAAATCAGTTTTTTTAAAACCTTTAGTACTTCAGTAGACTTAAACTATTTATGTACTTTTTTCATAATTTGTTTTGCTCAAAGCATCTTTCATAATAAATATAAAGAAATATGATGTGGGGAAAGTAGAAAAATAAATGCGAAGAATTCATATCGAATCATAATCATCATCACATTGAAATTCAATGAACTGTGAAATGTGTTCGTTCTTCTAATATTTCTATAAATCTATTGTACTTTCTATCATTTCACTACCTCAAGCAGAAAATATAATCTTAGCACACAATATTAATTTAATCAGAACAATATTGTAAAGACTTTAATAGTCGATGTTTTAGATTAATTAGGTACCTAATTGTCTTCGAGCAGCAATATTGTCTCTAAAAGCATCTTCAATTAGTTTATTGAATATATTATAATTATTTAAAAACTAAAAACATTTTTTATGACGATGATGGTAAGTAACGATGCTGTTCATGTTTAAAAGGGGAGGGATTTAAAATCATAATAAAATAGGGCAAAGTACGAATCAAAATTTTTTCTCCAAAATGGCGTTACATGCGCAGATTCAATGAGGTTTGACTATTAAGGTTTGCTTTTTTAGAAACTATTGATTCATCTTCGTTGACATTTTTTGATTTGTCATAGCAAAATTACAAGATTCATTTGAATTTTAAAGTAAATGTGACAATTGAATTTTATTGCTACTTCTTAGAGAAAAAGTTAAAATCATAAAATCAAATATCTGATGTCACAATTTTAACTCACAAAACATTTTCTGTATTGTTATTCGAGCCTAAGTTGCTTATTTAGATACTTTTGGTAAAAGAAACGAGTGTAAGAAGAAAAATCTTAAAATCTACAACCAACCTTACTAGAGTTTTTGTTCAATACTTACCTAATCTCTGTTAATTTAATTTATTTTCAGGCTTATTCTTCCTTACTCCACGTTCGATGCCTTTTAAACTTGTCATACGCAAACTTTATCAGAACTTTGACAAAGCTTGTCAAAACATAAAATTATGAACATAAACATTTTGAAAGTGTATTAAAACTTATTGTGGCTTTATATTTTTGTAACTTAAACTTCAAGGTGAAACGGAAAATCAAAATCTCATCAAAGACTTTATTTATGCAAATGTTGAAAAGTTAAAATTGATCTTAAATCCAAGTTAGATGAAATTGTGACTTAAAAAAAGTGATTGAATTAAAAAAGAAGAAAAATATAATAAAGTAATTTAATTAGTGTGTTATGAATTATAATTTCATACCAGATTATGATAGTAGTAAACCAAGACCTCCGGTTCCCGGTAAAGAAGATTCGCGTAAATTTAAGGTGAGATGTTTTTATGCTCTATCTTATGTATTAAATAAAATATCTAAATTCATTAGATGAGCGATTTATCGCAGAGTGAGCTTCATCTTTTGATGACATCGTCATCATCCTCATCACAATCATCATCATCACCATCATGTCTCAGATGGGCTCGTACATTATGCAGCTTATTAGAAGATCGCGAAGGCGTCGAATTGTTCAAGAAATATGTTGAATTAGAAGGCGGCATTCACAGCGATCGACTGAATTTTTATTTCGCATGTGAAGGTTTAAAGCAGCAAAATGACCCGGAGAAAGTGAAACAAATCATCGGTGCCATTTATCGATTCTTAAGAAAAGGTTCACTTTCAGTTCCTGATGATATTCGTCAAAATATTAAGAGAAGTCAAAAAGATAGCAGTTTCATCCTTACACCCGATCTCTTCGATCAAATGCAAAAAGATGTCGAACAGGTCATCAATGCAACAACTTATCCAAACTTTTTACAATCGGATATGTATTTGCAATATGTTCAAACCTTTCACAGTGCCATTGATCGAAGTCATAATCCCGCTTCAATCTCAGCATCGACAACAACAACGAATTCAACCACCACTTCTTCGTTCACATTTTCTGATGCTTCATCAATTCTTCTTTCGAGAAGTTCAACACTGCCAACATTACATGAAGAAGGTGAAGCTTTGAATCTTGAAATTTCTGAAGGAGCTATTGGTGGTTTCAACGACCTAAACAGTAATCGGGTGCCAACACTTAGTAGTAGTTCATCTAGCAGTAAAGTTCCTATGTCACTCACGAAAGATGCTCTTCTTGCAACACAAATGAGACGACTGGAAATGAGACCACCTGGGTATGTATCATGGTTGATTTGAAAGATTTCTTTCTTGTTTTTTTTTCATAATTTTTTGAAGAAGATTGGGATGTATTCATAAGTTACGTCGTTGATAAAAGTCTTGTTTTTCTGAAAACGAAATAAAGATGCTTACCATGTAATCTTATTTTTGAATTCACTTCCCAGAATTATTAAAAATGGTTTCCATGTTGAATTGCACAACCACGTTAGATATTTCTTCTTCATTTAATCTTTTGTTCAGCATTGAAGCGAGATTAAGTTTACTTTGGATTTTTTTTCTGACTTTTTTTTATGCTTTTTGCTTCGATTTAGCGTTCATGATCTAATGTGATTCATTGTTGATGCAATAGGCATGTTTAATATAGATATATTTTTTTATTTTTGTTTTATTTTAATTTTTCCTTTTTTTATTTGCTCAACGAATTCTTGCATGCGATGTTTGTGATGTTCAATGAAAAACAAACAAATTGTGAAGATTACGAGGAATATTATATCATGAAGCAAAGACTGCCAATATGCCAAATGTTTCTTATCTTCCTGTTTCGCGACGGGATTCAGAATTGGCAAGTTTAAGCTCGGGGCGAACAGATTCTGACACAATGTCTTTGTCAAGTCTTTCAAAGTGAGTTATTAGTTTTATTTTCGTGAATTTTTCGAATTAGATAATACATTTTTTTAATGAAATAATCGAAATTTCATCTTTAAAGTCTTTCTGTAATTAAAATTTCTCTCATTACAGCGATGGAAGATCACAACGTCGTTATTACCGCCATCATAGTTCTATTCAACGTGCACAAATACGAGAAAATGTTGGCACCAATCAAGCGATTGTAAATTATGCTTAAGTGAAATTTGGAATTGATTAATAATATATTTTTTCATTTGTTCAGACTATCCCTCGAACTGAACAACTCAACCTTAAGAAAGCTTATCTATCTCAAGATCAATTCCTAGAACAACTTTTACCGAAACTTGAGAAACTTAAGCATGACCAAGATCTTCGAGAAATGATGAGAAAAAACTTTTCAGAGGTAAACATCTTAAATGATAAAATATAAATATATTCATTTGTTTTTAACTCTTTTCCAAGGGTGAACAAGCGAGAAATCATAAACTTTTTGCTGATGCTTTAAGTGCCAAGTTAATGTTAGGTGATGACAAAGATGATCAAGACATTCTCGATCAACATGTGTCACGTGTTTGGTCTGATAGAACGCCACATCGTTCCCCAGGAAATATTTCACCATGTAATCAATTTCAACGTCGACTACCTCACGACATTGCTTTTGGAAGTAAGTTCAAATATTTCATTTAAATTTCATTTTAAAAATTAATTTTTTCTCAATCATTAAGGTACTCAATCTTCAATGCGAACTTCAAAGTCATTGCCAGACTCAAATATACGAAAGTTCAGCAAATGGGGAAGTATTAATACCGACAGTGGCATAAGCTTATTTTCATCTGATACGATGACAATGAAGTATAAAGATTCGATGAGTATTTCAAGTAGTAGCAGTAGTAGTGCAACAAAACCGCAACGAACACAAATGTTACCGCCTGAAATCATTCCTTCAGCAGGATACAGTCGAATGGCACAACAATTGGAAGATGTCCGAAGGTTTGCGAATAATTCTAATTTTAAAAAAGAAAACTTGTTCTCTATTATTTTATTATATTATTTATGTGAACAGGTCGAAAGGACATTTACAACAGCCCCCATTACCACAAAAAAATGTCATACCACCGCCACTACCAGCCAAGAATTTTGTTCAATCATCATCATCAGCATCGTCATCATTACTACAACAAAACTCAACAACAATAACAAGAGCTGTTCCATCAGCACCTGAGCCTACGACCACCGTTATTTATTCATTTTGCGATGGAGATTTGCCTTATCGAACGCATATACCTGGAAGACAAGCGCCTACGCTTAAACAATTTAAGGAGTTGATGCCTAAGAAAGGAAATTATCGGTAAATTTTCATTTTCCGACGGATTTTTTTAAAGAAATATTAATACTGATATTTTGTTCCGTCTCAATAGATTTTTCTTCAAAACTCGGTGTGATGACGAAGATAATCCGATAATTCAGGAAGAGATTTGCAATGATTCAGATGTTTTGCCATTGTTTGAAGGTAAAGTTATGGCAACATTGAAGTTAGCAAATTAAAAAGAGGACTGGAAGCGTAATTTTTGTGACATTTCTGAGCTGGCTTCTCATGAAGGGACGTTTGACGAATTTTTATTATTTTTAGTAGAATGAAAATTTTGTAAAAAAAAATGCAATCATATCAGGATGAAAAGTTTTTCCACACAGCTTTATTTCTTGCGGAATAGTCGAATCAAATTAATTCTTTTCTTTAAGAGCAGGAAAAAAAGAAAATTTTTTGAAAATGGGAATAAGAAGCAGAAAATCAAAATAACTTTTAAGAAATTGTTATTAATAAATGAAATTGCTTGCCATTGCGAAATAAATCAAATAAAATTGAATTTTTATATCCATTGACAATCAGATTTCGGCGTCGAAATCTTGTCGCTTTGTAAATTTAATTATTTTTTTAATTAAAAAATTACATCGTTTCCGAGAAATTCTCGTCAAATGAAAGGCAAAGCTTATGCAAATGGTTTCTTTTGAATTAGAAAGAATTATTTGTGTGGTTAAAAATTAGTTCATTTTCTTAAAAATTTAATTTAACCTTAAGAACTATTTTTTAAATTTGAAATTTATTACAAGGAAAAAAATCTTGTAAATAATTATTCTTCATTTTCGATTGTTAAGTAACAGAATGCGTATGAATAACTTCATATTAATGAAAAGTTCGGTTTTTTAAATGACTTAAAATCTTAAAATTATGTCTTCGGAAAGCTCACAAGTCTTTTTTTCGATTTCTTGCACAACAACAAAAAAAACCCCACAATAAAATGACTGAATTAAGAAGAAAGCAATATACTGGAGAATGCAAAAAGCCCTTCTTTGTTATTCATGTCAATTTGATTTTCAAACATGTAAGGATGATAAAGAATTTAAAATTTAAATGAACAAGCAGTGCCTTCAGACAAGAAACACAAAAATTGTGTCAAAACTGCACCAAAAATTTAAAATTTAACTCCCAAATTAAGACAAGATCGAACTTTAGATATATGAATTATATTTTCTGATGTTGACGACCAAATCATAAGAAAAACTGTAAATACCTAAATAATCGAGAGAAATAAAAGAAATTCAACATTGAAAGTTGATACGAAACATCATGATGTTTATTTGAATTGTTTTATTTACCTAATTAGATACTCGAATCTGGTATATTGATGAAAAAACAACAAGGAAAAACTCGTTTATACACTCTATTGAATGTTTCGTACAATACTATAGGCAATCAGTAGAAGACTAATTAGCATATATCTACGATGTTTATTATCATTATTATAAAAATGTAAGGTTTTAAGTCAAACTGGTTATTTTTATTGTAGTTTCATTCTGAATTAGAATGTCGGAGAAGGAACTTTGTACTCGTGATTTAACAATATTAGAATTGTTGTTTGATAAGAATCATTCTGAGGGTGGTCTAGAAGATTTTGTACAACCAGTGAAAGATAAAATTAATGTGAAAGATAATGAAGAGGAAGGAACAGAAAATATTAAAAAGTCTAAGCGTTTAGAAGTTCAAGGCATTGAATTGACTGAAAAAGGAAAACTTGCAGACGCATTAATGAAGTTTAATGCAGCAATAGAAATGGCACCAAATCGACCATCACCTTATAATAACCGAGCTCAACTTCATAGATTTATGAAACGAGATAATTGTACGTTTTAATACAAATGATTAAATATTTATGAAAAATTTATCCCTCTCTATCTTTCTTTCTCTCTCTAAAGTGGCATTTTGCGATCTTAATAAAGCAATTGAATTATCAAGTGAATGTTTTCCTTTAACCAAGTCTAATGCATTATGTCAACGAGGAATCTTAAGAAGGAAGCTTGGTGATGATGATGCAGCACGAAATGATTTCAATGAAAGTGCACAATTAGGATCGACTTTTGCTCGTCAACAACTGATCGTTCTTAATCCTTACGCTCAATTATGCAATCAAATGGTTACAAAATTAATGACAGAATAAACGTAATAAAAGTCAATATAGAAATTTAATACATAAATATTTGCATGTAAGTATATATAATATCTATTTTATTTCTTTATTATGACACAAATAAAACACAAAATAAAATCTTTTTCCTATTTATATTCCTTTCCGGATATCTGATACAGAACTCACAATATAGAAACAGCTGAAGGGAAAGAAAAAATAATGTTGTATCAAAAACATTTTGTTTCAGAATTCGAGCCAGATGCAGCATATCTATATTCCTATCCTTATCTATATACAGTTATTAATTAATTTAATTGTCGTGATTTTAAAGTGTCAAAGCTCTTGCGTATTTTTTAGATTTTCCCCTGCCACATTAATACCACCAAAACTACAAATCCTATGATGCAGATAATATAAAAGGAAATGATACATTTAACATTCGCAAGAAGATCATGAAACGACTGATGTTTGTTGAGTGTCATTTGACTTGGTTTATTTGTCAACTTTAGGAACTTTAAGTTTTTGCAATTCTTTTGAAAGCAACGATAAGCGTTTTCTGTAATATTTTTAGCTGTGCTGTCAGTCATTTGAAAATCTTCTAAATTTGGACATGCACTAGTTATAATATCCACGATTGTATCATCAATGAAATCAATTGAGTGATGAATATGAATTCTCTTAATATTTGTATTGTTTCGTAAAAATTCCAACCAGTCACTACCGGAATTTTTCGTGTAACAATATTGAAGGCTTATCGATTCAAAATATTCAGAACATTTTATACTCTTAAGCAATCCTTGAAAGTAGTCAGTGATTTTCAAATTTTTCAATTTGATAAGTTGTGGAAGTTGATTTAAAACATCATCAGAATAATCACAAGCTAATTCAAGATGTGTCAAATTAGGGAGGCAATGAAGTAAACTAACAAGTAAATTATTATTACCACGTGATTCATTTTCAAACACCAACTTTGTGATGCTTCTATTATTAAATTGAAATTTTTCAGAATCTTTTAATGAACATTTGTTTACGAGAAGATTGACTGATAACAAATGATCCATTGTCATAATGTGACGTATCATTTCATCACAAAGTTTCTCATCATGCGCATGATGAAGACTGTTACGAAGATCGAGAGCTAATTTTACTTCTTTAAAAAGCTTTTGATGACAGAAAAATGTCGAGAATTTTTCGAGATTCAACGAGTATCCATTGTACTCGATATTAATTTTCTCTAATTTGAATTTCACATCGTTTAGAGATTCGTAAGAGAAGAGTGCACTGTGCGAGTCTAAGCCAATTAATTCCAGTTGCTCTAATGCTCTTTGGTTGAGAATGAAGTCGTTGATTGATTTTATTTTCTTATTGATGAAGAACAGCGAACTGAGAGAGATTGACTTAAGTGTTTTGCAATCTTGAAAAATCTTAAAAATTTGTGGGCTGGTATCGAGAAATGAATGAATTTTGAGATGTTTGAGACTAGGAAGAGATGCAACATCACTGTCATCTAATGGTTCATCCATTTTTGCAGTTCGATATCCATCAATCTCCACAAATACTAAACGATGAGTTAATTTAATTAAATTACTCAACTGCTTCAAATCCATACAATCAGATTTAATTCGAATACATCGTGCATTGATTTGTTTCTTAAACAATTGAAGCCATTTATTTCCCAATCGATCAGTATGCTCTTTATTGAAGTTTATCAAGATGTAGTTATGATAAAGACGATTCGTTTCTAACAGTATGTTAAAATCTCGATCATCCTTATAAGTGAATCTTTGCACCTTATTGTAGTTTAGATATTGAAAATCGATGCGAATACTAGGATATTTTATTGGCAAAAAATCAATGATCACTTGGTTGAACTTTTTACATGATTTTGCGGCGCTTAAAAGGTCACGACTATTCAGATGATTAAATATGAGAACAAGACTTTCAGTCGGCAAGAGCTCGACAGTTATTGTCATCCTTTTATTTGATCTCTCTCACGGATGCGTAATTAAAATTTTCTTCCTTCTCCTTCCGTGACTAAAAGATGTCAAGGTGATAAAGTTTAAAAACAGAAAATAAGATGAAGAACTAAAAATAAAGTAAAAGCAGAAAAAGAAAAAGAAAATTCATTGTAAGAGTTCATTTAAGCGCAGAAAAAAATCTTGCCTGTTATTTCAATGGAAAACGTTGATCAACTGATTTGTTATTGATTAATTTGGAACGTTTCAGATTTATTATTTCTAATATACTCTATACACATACTGCCCTAAAAACAGAAGATAAATATACGCGATCTGCGTTCCACAATCTACAATTCTTTTTTATTTATTTTTTATCATCGAAAGTTCGAAATTTGATCGAGGGGCGAGAAAAAGGAGTTTCGAACTTAAATATCTATAAACAATCGCGAAAAGGAAAAGTTTATAAAATAGTTTGCGTTTTCCTTGAAAATATTTTTTAATACACGATAAAAACATTTGTCATGGGAAGCGATAAAAAACAAACTGACTCAGGTAATGAATGCAATTGAGAATACATTTGAATTTCAAATAAAAATAAATTTTAGGTTCAGAACAGGAGGGACATGAGTCACCGAATCGTTCACGGTCTAATTCTAACACATCAAACCGTTCAGGGTCAAGAAATTCACGTAGTCGCTCAGGTTCATTTGTATCATCAAGAAGATCAAATCGTTCAGGTTCAAGAAAATCATGTCGCTCACGAAGCGGCTCAGCTCGTTCAGGAAGCGAATCACAATCAAGGTAAATAAATCAATAAATATTCAATTGTTGCATTTTGTTAAATGAGTATTTCTTTTAGATCAGGGTCAGTTGCATCAAAACGTTCCGGTCGGTCCCGAAGTGATACTAACGATTCCAAACGATCAAGATCGGGAAGTGTCTCACCAGCATCCAAACGTTCTAGAAGTGGTTCACTGGGATCGAAACGTTCCAAAAGTGGCTCTTCAGTATCAAAGCGATCTAAGAGCGTCTCACCTATATCAAAACGTTCTAAAAGTGGTTCGCCATCAGCAAAAAGATCTCATAGCCAAGACTCAAATGGATCGGGAGCAATTGACAAACGTAAACGCAAGATCATTTCAGATTCAGATTCTAACGATGATCCTAAAAAAACACCAAACAAGAAAAATAAATTGATTGATACCGACAGCGAAGAAGATGAAGCTGCCCGAAATCCGCCTGTGGCTGCAAGTTCTTTATTTGGTGATGCTGATGATATCAGTACAGATGAAGAAGGAGAAGGACAAAGTGGCTCTGAAAAAGGCTCACAAAGAAAAGGAAGTGACAGCGAAAGATCACGACGAACTGTTTCGCGTTCAGTGAGTCGTGACAGATCAAGAAGTCGAAGTCGAAGAAGCTCTCGAGATGAAAATGAACGTGAGGATAAAGAAAGATCGGAGGAGAGAGAAAAAACACCAATTCCTGAGACAAGAATTGATGTTGAAATTCCTCGTATTGCTTCTGATCTTGGCAAGGATATTCATTTTGTTAAACTTCCTAACTTTTTATCAGTTGACACGCGACCATTTGATCCTGACACATACGAAGATGAAATTGACGAAGAAGAAACTTTAGATGAAGAAGGAAGACAACGTTTGAAGTTAAAAGTCGGTAATACAATCAGATGGCGAAGATTTATCAATGACAAAGGAGAAACAGTTCAAGAATCAAATGCTCGTTTTGTACGTTGGTCAGATGGAAGTTTAAGCCTTCATTTGGGAAGCGAAATATTTGACGTTTATAAGCAACCATTACAAAGTGACCATAATCATTTATTCATTCGTCAAGGAACGGGTTTACAAGGGCAAGCTGTTTTCAGGACAAAACTCACTTTCCGACCACATTCAACTGATTCTTTCACACATAAGAAAATGACAATGTCACTTGCTGATCGTTCACAGAAAACATCAGGAATTAAAATTCTTACACAAGTTGGACATGATCCAGAAGCAGAAAGAGCTGAAAATTTAAAGAAAGAAGAAGAATCACTTCGTCAACTTATGCGACAACGTAAACCGGTAAAATCAAAGCGGACTAAACGAACATCAGGTGGAACTAATGCTGGTTATGGAGATCATGATGAAGGTTCTGAAGATGAAGGTGGAATATCTATTGCAGCTATCAAGAATAAATACAAGAAAACTGGGAGTAGTGACAAACCAATTTATTCATCTGATGAAAATGATGATGCTTCGGATGGTTCTGATTTTGATACAAGACGCAAGAAAAAAGATAAAACTAAAATCACGAAAGCTTTGAAAGATTCCGATGATGAGAGTGACAATATATCAGATGGTGGAAAGCCTTCAGGATCCGATAATGATGGAAGTGGAAAAGAAAATGGAAGTGATCATAGCGATGATGAATGAAAGAATAAAAATAAAACTGAATAACACCCATTAACTTTATTTAAAGATTTTTTCTCTTATGCGTCAACAATTGAATGGGTTTTCTGAACTTCTTTTGTGAGCTTTGCTATTTGTTTTGTCATGTCAACGAGAATTTCTTGAATAGTTTCTTCTTGTTTAGGTGGTAACGCTTTTATTGAGTTTTTAGTTACATTATCCCAAGGCTCAAATTGCTTTCGTTGTATTGCGTGTTTGGCTTTAATTTGTTTAACATCTTGAAGAAGTTTATTAGTTTCAATGTTTATTCTTTTAATTTGCTCGACAAATTCTTTCTCCGACGAATTTCCTGATGGTAAACAAAGTGATGCAAGACGTAAAACATCTTGAACTCTTTTCTGAAGATTTTGTTGTCGTTCCATTATATCTTCATGCATGTCTGCAAGTTTATACGCTTTCTCTTGAATCATTTCCTTACTTTCAAGTAATTGTGTAATGTCCTCTCTTTGTTGATTCTTTGTGAATTCAAGAATTTTAACTCTTTTTGTAATCTCTTGTCTCACTTGATCATGTCGTTTAAATTGATTGTCGCGAATAATCTGAGCTGTACTCATTAACAACTCGAAAATTTGTTGATGTGAAGGTGAATTCGATTTCTCTAATTTCAAAACCGGTTGTGTAACTCCAGAATTTAGTAAAAATTTTACGTATTGATCGAATGGAATTTTCTTTTCAACGAATTTTGGCTCATTAGTTGTTGACGTAAAGTTATAAGTGTCTGGGATGATTGAATAGCCAAGCTTCATCGTATTTAAACTAACAACTTGACCACTTTTAACAACAACAAATATTCCTGATGGCGAATTTAATAAGCCAACACCCATAACTGAATTTACTTTTGATGTGTTGAAAGCTTTCGTACTTAAAATATATTCAGCACGAGATGTGATATTGAGATTTGGCTCAACTCCTGAAACTTCTTCAATATAATTCTGTAGTTGTTGAATAAAACCAACAATCACTCCATGTAGTCCTGTTTCATGAAAACAAAAGTAATGTTGTTCATTAATTGGATCTCGTTTGAGAATCACAGGAGCAACAGCTGATGAACCTTTAGTCTTCTCGTCCGATAGTCCAAGTTCAAGTTTAATTGTTTCCAAAACATATAAATCGTAGTCATTCTTCAGGATTGTGTTTGTCCCATCAAATGGTAATTCTTCATTTACTGTATCAATCATTAGTAGATGATGTAAAATTCCTGAATTCTCAGCTATCACTAATGTCGGTGGAAGTGTGGGAATAACTAGAATTGAACAAGAGTCATCGCCATAATTTTCCTTCTGCGATGGAATCATTGTTAAAGGTCCCTGAAAACGAGGCTTCTCAGTGTTGAGTGCAGCATTAAGAACAAAAACCATTCCGTTACCACGAAGGACAACAATTGGCCATTCAACTTTCCTCTGTTGTTCTGTCAATTTGCTGTTTGTCTTCGTGGTCAGTGAAAAGGAATTTAGAGTGTTATTTATACTCTCTATATTATTATCCAAAGTTTCATTGTACTCATGAATATTCCCATCTCTAAGTCGAACTGGTGCAATATCAAAATCAACTGCTGTATCACCTAAACAACGAAGATATGAAAGATTCTTCTGAACAGCTACACCAGAAGGAATCGGACCGACACGCCAATGGTTTTTTAAGATTCCTTCATCAAATACTCGAATTGAATTGTCAGACAGCAGTATGAGAAGATGAGAATCAGTTGGAGAGTTAGGATGCCAACGGGTTTGTATCACTTCCAATTGATTTGCCGAATGCTCTTGCAGATGAAATATTTGACAAATAACAAGTGACTTTCCATCTTGATATAAACCATCTGCACCCCATCTTAATGGCATTTCTATTATTGAAACTCCTTGTGGTCCACTAATACAAACAAAAGTTCCACCAAAGCTAACCAACACTTTAGAGACCACAAAGTTTGGTGTCGATAATGGTACAAGCGTCTGCGTGTTGAAATAAAAAAGAAATGAGAAATTTTTTAAATTATGAAACAATTAACTTACTTGGAATTTAGAAATCGATTTTGATTGTGCAAGTCTCCAGTTTGTCACTAACAAATTGCTTTCTTTGTAATTCCATAAGAAAAGCAAATCTTCGGAAACATCGCAAATTTCCCTCGCGTTATCTGGTAAATTTTCTTGGATTGATTCAAAGATTTTCATGTTACTAAATTTGAATACGTCTATATCTGTCATTTTCCTTCTTGTGTTTATGGCCGCTTAAAAATGAAACGTAAATTTTAATGAATCTTCACGCCGCGCCGACAATTGGCTGTATATAGCGGTTGACTAGCCCCTTTGAGAAAATCGACTTGCGTGGATTTGACCTTCCATACTTAGTGTTTAACACTTTCCGTTCGTTGGAAAATTTTCCGTGCGTTGATAATTACACTCTCCACCTGAAACTGCTTTACGGGAACTACAGTTTCAGGTGGAGAGTGTGAAATTTCATTCAATCGCTAACAATTCGTAATAAAGTAAAAAAGAAATCTTAATTATATCAATTTCGCCGAAATTGATTTCTGAAATACGTAATTTGAGAATTTGCAAACAAATCATTCTTAAAAGTCTTAACTGTCAGAGTTCATGTGGAAATATGTATCCAGGCGTGTTAAAGAAACCATTGAACTTAGTATCAATGTACGGAAAAGCTTTACTATCCAACAAAATATAAATAATAATTCACAGCAACAAAATGACCGCAAACATAATCAACAACACAATAATAACTTTAAAGTTATTCCACGATATCAGGACCCGTCAAGAGACAAAGAGAAATCAGATGAAAATTTTAAGAAGAAGTATCATCGTTTGCACAATAACAATCGATGCGTTTTAAATGCTTTATCTTGGGTAATTATTCAGCCCTTAACCAAAACATTGCTTACTTTTACCTTAATCTTCTTATTCTTTATGTCCACAGTCAACAGCACTAATTACTGGTTTCTACGCTTCTCAATTATTATGTTTGTATCGTCGACGACAACGATTTGGTTTGGATATAAATCGTTGCTATTATTCAAAATATGTCTTGAACACAACTCATTCGCTTCATCAGAATGTCAAATATCTTTTGACTCAAGATGCTATGTTGTCATTGCTTCCAACGTTTTCAAAGTTTCAATGCCCATTTAAAAGAATCAGAAACAGTGTCACACAACAGACAATTGAAATAAGGAAACGAACGGTTGAGGACGAATTTATAAATTTCAAGCATTTTGTCGAAGATCCTGGATACAAAAAATATGAAGAGTTTTTTGAGACTTTTTATAAATCTTCATCATCAAATTCAAGTAATCATGAAGTGTACAATGTTAATAATAACATTTCTGAACAGAGCAAAACGAATGAAGAATCATCTAATGAACAAAAAAATCTCAAAGAATCAACTGGAGAAAAAGATGAAGAAAATGCAATTGATGATGCAATTCGTCAATTAGCTTACATTGTTGGAGAAATGGAGTTTGAATTGGGAATTGAAAGTATCACTTCAGGTGAATATGAAGCAGCTGTTGATCACTTTAAATTGAGTTCAAATCACAATCATCCTGGTGGTATATTTAATTTGGCTCTGTGTTATGAACGTGGTGTGGGTGTTAAGAAAAACATGCAAGCAGCTAAAGAACTTTATGAGATTGCAAGTGAATTGGGACATGCAAAAAGTTTCTACAATCTTGGAGTTTTTTATGCTCAGGGACTCGGTGGAACTCGTAAAAGTTTCGATAAAGCAAAGAAATATTTCGAGCAAGCAGCTGAATTAGGAAATGACGATGCCATTCAAGCATTGTCTCTTTTACTTTCACCGCAACAAAAGAAAATTATAAGCAATAAATTCTCTGATGACGATTTTTTCTTCGCTGAAAAACAAATTTTATCAAATCCAATTAGTGCCATCGATAACATTGTCCGAAGTGTTGCAACTACTTAGCTCGCCAAAGGCAAGGATAAAAATTTTCATTTAGGGCAATGGTATTTCATTTTTGACTATTCTAAAGAAATTTGATTTATATATTTATCTTTATTCTTGTAATTAGTTATAACTTATTAAAGTTTCAAATGTAATTGAATTTAAGCACCAGCCTTTTTCCTAAAGTTTGATTTATATAATAAACAAAGAAATCAATAGTTAAGAAGAATGGGAAAAATAATAAAGCCGTATAGCAGTCCATAATAATCTGGTTATCAAATATTTCATCGTTTTTATCAGGACATACAAAATTACGATCATATTGATAACAGCTTTTGTGTACTTCGAATACTTTTTCGCTAGTTGATATCATTTCATTTGTCTTTACCACTTAATGAATCATGATTTAATTTTAAACTGAATTAATTCAACTGTTGAGTTCAACGTGTAAACTTAAACGACGTCATTTAGTGAATGGTAATAAAAAAAAAGAAAAAAAAATTGTTGTAAAATAATTTCAGGAAAAATAAATTCTTATAAAAAAAATTGTCTTTTAATTTATAATTTCTGTTAGAAATGCTTTCTTCCTCTTTTCAAATTGTTTATTGGATTTCTTTGACAACCTGTAATTGTATCTGTTAAATGAAAAACCAATCGAAAATATCCGTAAAACGGAAAACGCAATCAGAATGAAATATTTTTATAAAAGAATTTTTCTTACTATTTTTGTCTTAGATTAAGGGATTTTTATGATTGTGACAATAGTTGAAAGCTTTTTACTTATTTCAATACTGTGGTTAAAGAGAAAAGTTTCATTTTCCTTCCCACAATTAATCGCACGCTGTCATGCGACCATAAAAGTTCTCCTCATAATAAAAGCAAAGAAAATTATTGTCAAACATGCTTTTACGAAAATTGAAAAACATGAGTTTTCATCAGTAATAAAGTTTTCGTCATGGAATCAACAACAAATAGATTATTACAGCTAAATAAGGAAAAAGAAAAACTCTTCAAGGTGTTGAAAAGAAGAAAAGTTTCACTTTTGATCGTAGAAAATTAAAGTTGGTGATAAGTTTTTAAAAGAAAGTAAGTGAAGAAATTATCATTAAATAAACATAAAGAGAAGAAGAAAGAGAAATGTTTGACGAAGAAGAATCCAAAAAGTTAAGAATTTTTCAACGGGAAAAGCGATTGGAGCTTCAATTAATTATTCAAAGATGTTCGGAAATTAAATTTGAGTATGTATGTCTACCAAGTGTAAGAAGTGACAATGATTTATGTTTTGGAAGTAAAAACCCTCGAAAGATTCATCTTTTTGCTGATGATAAAACAGTTAATTCATACATAAGGAAGTGCTTTAAGGAACATTTTCCAGAACCTGATACATTATCTGTTACAAAGAAAACAGATGAAGAAACAAAAGATGAGGAAAAAGAAATTGAACTTAAACCTACATATCCTTTTGCTTCAAAAGTTCCAAGATTTTTAGACATTACAATAGATTCTTCAGGAGTTTATCTACGCAAGAAAACATTCAAAGAAACTCCATTTGTTATAAGAAAATCTTTTTCTGCATTTGGGACTTGCAAAAAGAGAAAACTCCTTGTAACAAGAAACTTTAATACAACAGAAACTCCTGGCGTTGGGACATACAATCTACTACATTACAAGACAAATTACTTTCAGCATTCCTTTGGTGGTGACATCTCCATTAAACCTGCATTCGACATTGTTTGCACTGCCACAAATTTAGATATAAAATGTGATTTGTGTGAAAGTGAATTAAAGAATATTTATTGGAAAAGTAAGAAAACTCATAATCTTTTGTGTCGTGCATGTTATGATAAAAAAATTATTAAAATTAGAAAAGCAACACGCGGAGTGATTGATCAATTTCGTATAATCAAAGCTTTTAAAGAAGATTACGAGAAAAAACGTTATTGTGATTTTTTTCATAAGCACAGCAATTCTAAAGCTGCAATTCGTCTTATGACAGACAAACAATTAAAAAATCGAATAAGTATGGAAAATTTTCTAAACACTAGGATTGAATATTAAAACTTTATGAGTTTTCAATAAAATTTTTTTGGGAAAACCGATTTTTCGACCAATAACATTGTGTATTACTTAAATAAACAGCACTGAACAACATAGTGGCCAAAAGTACATGCTTGAGGAAATAAAAAAAGACCCAACAATAGGTATTGGACATATTTACGTATAATGACCCTAAGTTTTGAATATCTTTGAAGTATAAGTTGGACAAATCAAATTTCTAAAACATATAGGTATTTACAAATAAAAAAACACCTACTTCGAAATATAGAAGCTAACTCAATTGAATGTCCTACATACACATATCAAATTTCATGATCAGCAACCAGAAATTATTTGCCATCAAAGTAAATTAAAGAAGTAACCCGAGAAATATGCGTGTTGATCCAATTTTAAATATCTAGATCCATATGAAGACAAAGAGATGCAAAATCCAAAACAATTAAATTTACAATTAAGCAAACAAAAACATTTTTCATTCAAAGTTTTATGCAGTTCTTAAAAGAAATAAAACTGAATATTCCCATTTAAAAAATAAATAAATAAAATGCTGAAATTTACATTCCTCATTTTCTTTACTTTTGCCATCATTAATTTTTTCGAAGCAATTATAGTTAGATGAATAAAAAAATGAATAATTTATCACGATTGCACCGATCCTTATAAATATATATATACTTTAAAATATTTTAAGTTAATATAATTTTGCTTGAAAATTTGAAAATACCTATATAGCTTATAGAAATGAAAAACCATTTCTCTTCATATTCATCTTGATCCAAGTCGAAAATGAATTAGATATACGCACAACAAAATCGCACACAAGGATAAAACTTTCAACAACTGGGAAGTACTCTCACAATTTTGAACAACACGAAAAAGAAATTAAATTTTTTATGGTCCTCACCTATCACATATATATGCACAGATGCACAATTGATTCAAGTTAAAAGAAATTTATAAATCAGGCTGTCTATGTTCCTATAAAAAGATTTGGAGAAATGAGAATCTATTTCGACAAGATTTTTTTTTAAAAATATAAATAATTTTTTTAATGGTTACTAATTTTTAGTTAATTAATGTACTCTTGCAAGGAAGACAATTTTTTTAAATGAAATTTAATTAAACAAGATAATGTGTAATTGCTGCATTCCTTTTAATTATATTTTAAAATTTTTATCTAATTTTTTCTTTATGGATCTTTGATATCATCAGGTATTCGAATATTATAAACATTATCAAGAAACCATTTGAACGGTTTGCATTTATTTTTATTTTTGATTTCAATTCTTTCTGTAATATTTCCAAAATCGTGATGAGAGTTTTGTATCGCACGATAGTAAAAACGTTTGTATTCATCAAGCCAGATTTCAGCAATTCGATTTGTGTTCCATCTATAATCTTTATCCGGATGCTAAATATACATTATAATATTTCTTTTAGAAGGAAAGAATGATTTATTTTATCGTAAAACTTACTGTGTATTTATGTTTTTTATACATATGTGCAGTACGTGAACATGGAATTTGTTCAACTGTTCCACCACAAAGCCAGACTTTTATGCTCAACCTGTAAAAATTTAGAATGTAATGATTTGTATTTAGTTAAACTTATTACTCTCAATGATATATCTATTTAGATAAATAATTTAATTAAACTTACTCCATATCTTCTCCACCCCAAGTTCCATATTCTGGATCATACATCCCGAGCTCCATAAAGAAGTCCTTTGAAATAGCGTGAGTTGGTCCAATAAGTGTTGCAGTTTTGAGAGGTTCGAAAGTTTCCCTTTGTGTAAATCATTATTTTGATTTAACGTCTGATAAGATATTAGAGAAATTAAGTGGCTTTTTTCAGACTTTATGAAGAAAAAACAGTTTTTTGTTTCTTTCCTTTCAACCGACTAGTTTCGGAACTTTAATTCAGGTCCATCATCAGGGTTTTCTACAATATCAATTTAGCTTTTTCAATGGATTATTCTTACTTTAAATATAATAAAAACTTACAAGAACAAATTAAAAAACTTTGTCAAAGAACATTAAAAATAGTCAAAAATTAAAATGAAAAACAACTGACATCTTTTAACATCGACAACAAATTAAAAACTGATGATGATAAGCACACAAATGTAGGAAAACTTTCACGTTCTCACTTTCTCTTTTTCTTTCTTATCTGTAATAGTCCGTTGTATATGTGACTCAATCCTAATGTGTCAGTTCTCCGATTGACCGTATCATTGTTGATTATATGTAACATTTCCAGGACATTCAGTTGCGCTCTATTGTTGTAAATCCTATTATTCCATTATAAGGAGTCCTTACACGATATAAAAAAAAGACTGCAAGGGTCGTTTAAATCAAAAAAATAATAATTTGAGCAAATTACCACGAGAAGCTTAAATCCCATTGAACGCCACCAACATAGTATGGCAAATCGTCTTTAAATTTTAGAGCCAGTGTTTCTCTAGTGATACCAGAAATTCTTGCACCTACAAATTTCTTGTTGTCATCAACGAAACGATCTAAAAGCGGTTCGAGCCAGCCAGGAGATACTTCAACATGAGAGTCAAGCTATATACAATATTTATGAGAACACTCCTAACAGCTTTCAATGAATAGACTTACGTTGATAATAATTGGACCAATAGCATTACTAGACCCAAGATTACGAGCATTTATTATCCCTAGACGCTTAGGAGATCGTATAAGTCTCACTTTTGATTGTTTACTGACAAAATCATCAAGTTGTTTGTGAAGCCATTCTACAAATGAATGACAAAAGAACTTAAAACTTTTTTAAAAAATATTTTACCTTTTACTGAAGCATCGTCAATGATTAGAATTTCTTCAAGCAATTCAGATGGTGACCGAAGTAACACAGAATGAATAGTTCTCATCAACAACATCCAATCTTCATTGTGAACCGTAATCATAACAGAACATCTATTACATAAATACGAAATTAAAATTATTATATTGAACACTTTTTTTAAATCGGAAACTTTCTGTTCTCTCGTACTTGGGAAGATTTTTATGGTAAATTTTATTTTTGCATATGTCATTCCTCCAATCTGGAATATTCCGGTTAAGGCTCACCATGTTTGAAATGAATGCGTTGAAAGCTTTTTCTTCAAAACTATCATTCATAAGCCTTTTGATTTCATCAGATGCTGTTTCTGGAATAATGACTGCTTCACCATTTTCTCCAGGATTTTTCAAACCCAATTCTTCAATATACTTTTTTGCTTCGTCAGTAATTCCATCATCGAGCTCATATGAAAGAGTTTTATGAGCTAAGTTTTGTTGAATGCTTTTATGGTTTGATGCCACGTTTAATATTGCAGCAATAAAAAGTAGAAAATATATGAGAACAAACCATAAAATTTTGTATCGACACAATTTAATGCTTTTAAGAACACGTTTATTTAAACCGCAATACATTACTTAAGTCGACTTTTAATTATCTATTTATTAATTTGGAATAAGATATTAATTAAAATTTAATAATAACAGTAAACCAATTTATGAAGTAATTTTCTCAAAGAACGTAACAAATTATTAATCTACAGATGTTTTCAAGACATATCTAAATGAATTCTGTTTTTGAATTGATAATTACTTATGAAACATATGCTCTTTACAATTTCTTTTTGTATTTAATATCATTTTCAGTATTCATCAATTTTTTTTCAGATTAAAGAATAAATGTTGAAAATAATTAACATTTTAAATGCTAAAGAAGAAATATAAAATAGAAATTTATGAATAGATATGATAATAAAACAAGCAGGAAAACAAAATTCTTCTGTAGAAAGATAACAATTTTAATATTTATGCCAACTTTTGCTCCATCCCATTGAACTTCAAAAACACAAAAACTCCGACTAAATATTAGAACAGCTTATTTACATATATGTATCTATTTATTTATTGTACTTATAAGAGATAATTATTCTTTTATGTACAAATTCTGCGTTGCCTTAGATCTTAAATCTATAATTCTTGCTCTAGGTAGGACTTAAAAATTTCCAAAACACATAATAAAATTAGATTGTTAAGATATTCTAAATATACGAGATTCCATAAACATGCATTTATTTATCATGTACCTAGATACTTGATTAATTTAAATAGGTATTTATTGAAAAAATCAACTAGACTGTAATAAAAGATTTTCAGTTTCTAGAGTTTTCTTGACTATCGTCTATACATTTTGTTACGCTTGTTGCTGGATTTTGCTTTGAAGAACTCGCTACACGACTAGTGGAGTATTCAGTAGAATAGCTTCCACCCTTTAAATGTATAGATGATTTCCAATCATTTGAGAAACATCTGTAAGATTGAAAATGTTCACATTGTGATCATTTTGATTCATAAATTTTGCTCTCATACTTTCGCTTGATAATTTTTTTGACCTTTGGTTTCCATATAAACAAGAAAAATATTATAATTCCTTGAAGGCAGTTTAGAGTATCGGTGATATATAAAATAGGCGAGTTCGTTAGTGCCCATGATACAATTTCAATAATCCAAGTAATTCCCATCACAACAAATAATCGAAGATAAAGAAAAAACCTGTAAAAATTATTTAATGAATTATTTTAAATTATAAAAGAATAACAAAAATATTTTACCTAGCTTTATCAATATCCATTGCTGAATGTCTGCCACTTTCACCTCCACGAACAATTGAAGTTTCTTTTTGCACACGATAAATCTTGTAAGCAGTAATAGAGTAGAACAGAGAATTCAATATCAAAATAATAGAAATTGGAATGTACAAATAAATAAGTTCAACTATTTGTCCACTCCTTATCCAACAACGAATTTCTCCTATTCCACTTCTATAATTATCCGGTATAAAATCTGCATAGTTGGAAGCATAAACCAGAAACGTTAGAATCAAAGGGAGACCAAATGCATAGAGACAATAACTCAAAAACTTTTTTGTTTCATTTCTATTGATCCTACAGTTTTGTCTGATGGAATGAATAAGTTGATATCGACTATTAGTTAAATTAAATAAAAAGGAAAAAGAAAGCAGAATGCTAGAAAGCGTTGCTTAATATAACAGCAACATTAGGACTGAGCAAAGCTATATTAAAAATTCTAAACTCACCTGAATGCTGACCAAATGTCATAGCACATAACATTCAACCAAAAGAAACAAATCAAAACACTAATATAAGCAATGTAACCAGACGACTGACAAAGCCATTGTATTTGATGTAGTTCCTTATAATTTAGTTGAATGAGAGCAAGACTTAAGTAGAGAGATATTAAACCTAAAACATAACACATCAAACATTTTCCATGAAGATTTCTTAATTCTTTAATGCATGAATATACAAGAAACGTTACTACTAAGAAAGGAACTGAAAATAGCATCACTGAAAATAATTTCTTATTTATTATAAATAAAATTAAATGGAAAATTCGTTTTTCATCTAGATACATACGTATTGGATATAAAGCCTTGACAATGTCAACAACATCATTTTCTTGCTCGGTCGGAAAACATACATCAAGAATGTAATTAGGTGTAGTTCCATTCTTCCTAATGCAATATTGGTGATGTAAATTAACATTAGTATCAATTTCCTCAACTGAACCATCCTAAGAAAAAATGGAAAAATAATAGAATAACTAGACCAACATGAAAATTTAAACGAAAATTTACAGGTAAAAATTTCCAACCAGCATCTCCATTATAAGCACCGTCATCTAAATCACAAGGGTTTCCACGAAGCACTATATAATTTGAACATAGATCTTTTGCTTCTTCTAAATGACTTATATTAAAGTTCGCCTCATCATAGCAATCCTCAGTTCTATTATCACAACAGAATCTAACTAAAGAATTTATATTTTTGCAGTCTTCAGATGATGTGTGAAATGCATGAGTGTAAACAATAAAATAAACTATTATTAACAAAATCAATCCAACACTTATTAGAATTCCTTTCAAGATTTTATGCATGTTGTTACAAATTAAAAACTATGACTGAACAGAACGAGAGTTGTCAACAAATTGTGAGTAGCCGAAAAGCGTATTGAAACTTTTTGCTTTCTTTCTCTAAAATTAGACATCATTTGACGCTTATCAAACATTATTCATATTTATTCACTTGGGTATCATTTGTCCGAGGGTGTCCAGCTGACGAAACCAAATTTTTGTGTGTGTTCCGACTTTATATATATATATATATATTTACAGGGACGAATTTTATTACTGAAAACACAACAGGAACCTCGAAGGTTGCACTTGGGAAAATTTTACAACACACAACATTTAATGACTGTGAAAAACGAAATCCATTTTTCATCAGAATATCATGTGTGTGTTAATTCTGTCTTATTACAACGAATTTTGTTGACGAAAAAAAATTAATATTGGATATTTTTAGACTAACCCCATTTAGTAGAATAAATATAAATTCCAATTAATGAAAACTTTCGATCAAAATTTGAATTTCATTTTGTGATTCTACTTCAGTGCTCTTAATAAAAAATATAATCAACAGACACATTCATGAAATTAACAACACATGGTTTGTTGTGCAAGGTTTTTATTTTTAATGATATTTATTAATCGGAGAGATTTTAAGATTAGTAAATAAACAACTCGTATCTTGACTCGTATGTTTAATTAATATGTGTTGGGAATCCCATTGTGCCTAATTGATGACTTTACAGGAATCTAGTTTCGTTAGCATTGTTTGACACTTTTAAAAAGTTGTTGTTCAACCAAGAAGGGAAATTGTTGTAATTAGCTAACATCATATTAATACAAAAGCCATATATTTTAAATAATAAATAAAAATGCTTCAGTGATATGCTTATTTATGTATGTAGTTTCTTTATGACATCATCATGTTTTACTTTGTAAATTATCAAAAACCAAAGCAAAACATTTACCAGATGGTTTTATCTCAATAAATGACAAAATAAGAATGAATCACTGGAATATATCTATTTTAGTTTATTTGAGTAAAGGGAAATGACAAATTTTTGTGAATAAAAATAATCGTAGATTAAAAGAATTCTTATGTAAAATCTGAAAAGGTTTTTAAATTTACATCAAATAAATTTGTGAGAAATAACAAGTTTCAGTTTTTAATGTTTATTTTTTGTACGCTTTTCATAAAATAAATTTAATTAAGTTGCAAAAAGTTTATTTCAAATAAATTCTATACATTTAAGTTTAAAAATGTTTGGTATTCGGATTGACTGTATAAATGTTTAATATAAATCTATTTAGCTGATGGGAACAACTTAAATTGCTACATATCTACTTGTATGCTAGGTAGCATTATATGGTTAAGATTTTAAGAGCTCAACACAGGGAACATGTATAAATGTAAATGTATGTATCTTCAACCTTATTTCAAAAGCGTTTAAGAATATTTCTGGCACAATAAACAGGAAATTTTTAAATTTAAGAAACCTCCAGCATCGGTTTTTCTACCATTTTGACACCACCATGAACTCCCGATGAGATTCTCGATGTTTCAGTCCTCATAGAGCCCGAGCTTTGCATTTGAGAGGTAGTTGGAGGTAATTTTCTTAAAGAACGATATCTAAAATTGAAAAAAATTGTTAATTCTACTTTTCGATTTTTTTTTCATTATATCTACATTAAAAATGTACATAACATAAGATACACTTTATTTGTAAAGAATAAAGCAAACTCAATTATTTATCTTCAATTCTTGATTCTACAATGTCTGTTAAAAACTAACTAATTAGCAACATATTGCTGACGGACAAAGAAAGTTTTGTTAAATATTTAATTTGGTTAATGAAAAACTGTCTACTCTACTTATTCAACCTTGTTAGTTCAAACAAGATAATACAAATGAATATTCTTGCTCCATAGAATCCCAGAATCATGTTAAATTCAAGAACTACAAATGTTACCACCAATTGACCACTTAAAGTCCATTCAAAAAATAGAGAAAAGACATCGTACCAAGAGATAAAATTTACCTTAAAAACAGCCGCGCGACGTAAATGTAAATAAATACATTTGCGGAATTTTAATTAGATAGTTTTATTTTTGTCTTTTTTCGTAATTATTTGATTCATTCAGTGACTTTTTTTTCGAGGAAATAGCTTATTTTATCATTCTATATAGGGCTTGTTTTGTTTCCCAATTAACTTGATTCTTCATTCCATGAAGTGATTTTGAAACTAGAAAAATATAGTGGGAGGCGAATGTTTTAATAAGGCACAATGAAAATATTTATTTTTACGAAAAATTTCTGTTACGAAACGTGATCAAGAAAAATTAAAAAAATTTAATTAGAGGAAGTTTCATAGAAAATATTTACCTTCGTATGATTAATTTTTTGACTTTAGGCTTCCACACAAACAATATGAAAATGATAACGCCAAGCAAACAATTGAGAATATCACTTGCATAAAAGAATTTTTTATCATCAACGACCCAGGAAATCGCTTCCATCGTCCATGTCACACCCATGACGATGAATAATCGAAGATAAAGGAGGAATCTGATAGAAATAATCGTAAAAATGTTTTTATTTATAATAAATATACATATCAAAATATGTTCAATTTCTTTACCTATCTTTATCAGCATCCATTTTTGAGTGTTTTTGACTATCTCCATTTCTTATAGCAGATGTTTCTCGTTGAACTTTATAAATTCGATAAGCAGTGATAGAATAAAGTGTAATATTAATAATGAGAATAGTCGAGATTGGAAGATAAATATAAATTCCTTCAGCCCATATATTTTTTTGCACCAAACAACGAGTCATTCCCATCAATGGCCTAAACTTCTGTGGAATAGATTCCAAATGATCTATTATGAATATGGTAGCCGTAAATAGGAATGTTGTTCCAAAAGCGTAAAGACAATAAACGAAAAATCTTTTCTTGTCACCTCCACGACCTCTCATGCCACCTCTTTTTTAAATAGAAATTTACAGAAACAAAACATGAGAATGAAACTTAGAAAATTTACCTAAAAGTTGACCACATATCGAAACACATGACGTTTAGCCAGAAGAAGCAAAGTAGTACGCTAATGTAAACTGAGTAGCCAGCTAATTTACAAGGATATGTGTCAGGAGTAAACGATTCACTTTCCAGTTGTACAATCGATAAGCTGGTGTAAAGAATCATTAAGGCAAAAACGTAACACATCAAACATTTTCCGTGAAGATTTCTTAATTCTGGTATAAGGCCATATACACAGAAGGTTACCAATAGAAACGGTAGCGAAAAAAGCATCCCTGAAATTCGAGAATAGATCGAATTGATGTTTGCTTTTCATTTTTTACTATGAATGTTGACTTTAATATCAATTTTCACTTCATTTAATTATTGAACAACGAAAAACACGAACCGAAAAAACAAATACGTAATCTTTCATTGCAAGTGAAAATATCCTATGTGTAAACAATTGAGTTTTGTTTTTTAGCACATAAATATTATATGAAGCAAATAATTGGGCCGATGCGAATCATAAAGACTGACAACAATGCAAATATTAGTGTGACGAATGTTCCATCACATTACCAGAAAAATACGATAAAGTCAAACCACTAATTGACGAAATTAAATAAATAATCGATGTCAAGGGTGTTTTAGATTGTTTATTCGAATATATATTATTGAGATATTTATTTGAATAACTATTATCCACTTTGTGAAAATTTATCATAAACTCTGAATATATATTATCATCATCACAAAAAAAGAAAGGTAGGGAATAAAAACTCACCAAGGGGATAAAGCTTCAAACGTACATCAGTTTCTGAATGATAACAAAACAAAACTTCTGTGATTTTCTCTTGAGTGTCATTGAGTGCCATTTGTGCAAAACAATAATCTTGTGTACTAGCTATCTTTCCATTCCCCAGTTGAATTGATCCATGCTAAAATTAAAAATGACAGCAAAATTAAATGTTTGTATGATCAAATATATCTTTCAAAATGATATTCAAATATTTATGTGTGAAGAAAAGAAGACACAAAATCAGATTGTAGGTCATCACATTTTAAAAGAGCTGGAACGCAGGGGGATTTTTGTGTTATTGATTGACGAAAACATTGTATTCTGATCGGGTTAAAAGAATTTCCTTCAATTCGTAAGAATCTGAAGACATTCATATTTTCAGAGGAATTTTAGTTAATGACGTTGATACGATGAAAAGTTTTAAACTTAATCAACACAAACAAATTTGATGAGTAAGCCTTGTGATGAGAAAGATTGTAGTAATTAATTACAAACATCTTCAATATGACGTCAAAGTCAGAAGGAAACAAGAAATAACTATAAATAGGTAGTCTGTGTGTGTGTAAAAAAAGATTTAAAGTGAAGACGAAATAAAATTAAGGGGTCATCAAGTCAAGAGTAACACTAACAGTGTTGATTATTTTGGGCATTCCAAACTGAAATGCCAAAGATTTTTTCTTCCATAGAAAATAAGCACATTATTTTATAAATCAATTCATAATTAAGAATTACTTACCACAAAATACCAAACATCATCATCATACTCTTCTGGTATCAATTTATACATTACAGGACATGGACGACCAACTAAAACTCCGTATGTATTACCCGAAAGATTAATTTCTTCAGGCTCATCGTGAGTTGGAACAGATAATACATTGGTGCTAATACATGTTGAATTTTCATCAGCTTCTTCATCAATACAACACAAACGAATACAAGGCTTTGAATTGCATACGCAACCTCTTATATGCGGCTCAGCAGCAACAAGATCAGTAAAGTTTTCTATTGTATAGTTGTATGTGGCAAACGTTCCTTTTTTAAATATTTCTCCATTAAAGTTGAAATTTCCGTTCTGGTCTTGTTTGCCCGACGTAATGTTCATTGTATCGAAGAAACTACAAGGTTCACCCTCTTGAAAATAAAACGCATGACAAAAATGCCTGGCACTTATAATAATTGATATGACTAATAATCGGTACCACATTATCATTTTTCCGTAATCTTATAATTATTCTTTTATTTACAATTTGAAAAGCTACGGCCTCACAAAAAGTCCAATACGTTTATAATAAGTGATGGATAGCATCTGGAAAAAAGAACAAAACGTTTGTTTATTTACTGCAAGCATTGTCTAATCGATTTTTTCAACAGGAATCATCTAACCGTTTTTTATGTATTCTCATAAACGTTTCATTTAATCATTAATTTTTCTCTATAAAATGATGAAAGAATAATAATATTTATTTTCCTGTTCATTATAATTTTTATCCTAAAATTTCTTTTGGATATAGATTCTAAGCACCAGCCTTTTTTCTAAATCTTTAATCTTTATTTTTATTTTATTTTACACTCAGGAATTGTACAAGCAATGCTCCATTAATTTTTTACTATCAAAAATCTCACATATTTTAGATACATAAATATATCCTCATATTTATGTATCCAGATATACGAAAAATTGAAAAATTAAACAATAATTTTCCTGCTATCATTAGTATTCTGAAATTTATCTGCATTTAGCGATGATTGGCAGCAAACAGATTTGTATGCAGAAAAATTTTAAAATTCTTATAATTAAATTGATGAAGTTCTCTCATATTATTTCTAGGCTATTTGTTCTATTTATCCTTTTGATTTTCTACCAACCAAATTTGAACTTTGATGTTTAAATTTATGATTGAAACGCGTTAGTGAGAAAAGTTGATCAGCTTGCCTGCACGATTTAAAATGGATACGAATACACTCTTAAAACGAAACTCTGCCATTCTCGGTTTAAAGAAAACAAAGGATTTTTTTTGTGGAAATCATGAAACATTTCACAACTCAATTTCGAATGAAAGGACAATGAAATGTCACAGCGGGAAAAATAAATTAATGATATTAGAATTGTTTTGTAGTTGCTGCCCAAATATTCGCTTGATGATCGCTTCAATTTAAGAATAAACAGTTGATTAAAAAACCAACTAGGTATTCATTTTGTTTTCATTAATTTCACTTTTAAAATGGAAGTTTAATACTTAATGTTCTTATAAAAATTAGTTTCGCTGACGTGTTGAATAACTTTTAACTTTTGTATCTATTTTATCGTTATCTAATGTCTTTGTGCGATAAGAAATAATAAAAAGGAACGAATAGCGCAAATGAGAAATAAAGGTGACTCGTCATTTCAATTTAACTACTGTAAATGTTTGCAGTATTAATCTGATAAGACGTCTTATATTGACAACGCAATAAAAATTCAATAAAAAATTGTTGAGAGCGAAAGAGAAAATTTGTTTATCAATTTAAAAATATCTAGGTAGTATTTTAAAATACCGTTGACACACCGGTTCCTAATTCCAACAACATCGGATCATTTTAATAACATAAAATTAATATGAAGTTCATAATCCCGATGATACAAGTTTTGTGAGAAAATAAATTTAAAGTAAATGTCGGAATGAAAGTTTTTTGACGGCAAAACCTGGGAAAGTAAATCATCAATAATGGCAAACATTTTGCATTCTTTTTGGTAACTTTTTTACGTGAACGGAAAAATATGACGTGTCTATTGAATTTGAAATATTCGAATGTTTTTCGATCTGTTCAAATGTCAAGATTAAAAAGATCTTGAAGTTGGGGTATTTCCCAAATCATGTTTTAATTTCATAGTTTTTCTACTTTGTGTAAAATACATTTGTTTAACAATTATTATTAACTATTGTTGTGTGGCTTCATAGTGAAAAGACTTTCCGTCATCGTTTATCTTTTAACAAGAAACGATGTTAAATCTCTCGATTACTTCAAATTTTAAGATATGATTAATATATGACGCTTTTATCAGTTGTTTTACGAAAACTTCTCTTTTTTCTGATAACGCTCTGGAAATTATGATACGTTTTTTTTTTCTGATCACAGAAGAATCGTTCAATTTAATTAATGACAATCACTATCAACTAATATCAAAACTTTCCTTTCACTAACAATAAGAAAACATTTCAGTCACAACGTGTGTTCCATGACTGCGGAATTATTGAAATAACTCTTTCTGTATTCAGGTAATTCTTGTTTGTGGTATTCTTTTCTTAATTCTTATGCTTCGTTTGCTTGATTAAATAATAGTTTTTAAAACTTTTTTCAATAAGTGTGCCTTTTTTTACTTCTTTTATTTTAAAACCTTCGTTCTCAACCGCTGGTAACCAACTGAAAAGAAAAAAAAATTCAATGAATATTTTTGTATCGTTGAGCACCACACGAATCTTTCTCTCTTGGTTTGTTTGCTTTTACGTTGAATTGTCATTGTAGTGGGACGGTAGATATTTTAAAAATTATTGAAGCGATCGACAATGATTCCATAGAATCTAAGTTTGCATTATTATTGAATTTAGAACCTTTTGAGATTTTTCTTGAGACAGAAATATGTGACTTAATAAAAAAAGTTATGAAAATTAAAGTTCCTCCACAAGTGGACTGATTTTATTTTTTTATTGATGCATGAACTTTTGAATCTTTAAAGTTTACATATCAGAAGAATGTAAAGAAGATTGAATTAAGCAATTGGATCGTCTCCTTTTGTTGTTCTTGTGAAGATCATTTGGGCATTGTGATGAACAACTTGTTTTATTAAACCTGAGGGAATTGAAATGTTAATGTATGGAAATGAAATGCAATCAAAAAATGTCTCACCTTTGTCGCGTAATTCAAGAAGTGCACGTTTAGCTAATGATCCACGGACCTTCAATCTTTCCGACACAACTGAAGGAGTGATAAGCTTGTACGACGGAACTTCCGAATATAATTTCTTATAAGTGGCATCATCAAACAAAACTTGATTGTTTAACTTATCCCGAACTTTTCCTTTTGACCACTTCTTCTTCTTGGCTTTACCACCACCTCCTCCTCCTTCTTTTTTCTTTTGTGTCTTCTGCGGCTGTTTTGCCGATGACTTCGTGTCCTTCTTTGGGGGCTAAAATAATGAAGATAGGTTAGAAATTAGTAAACAAAGATTAAAAATATATGTATATTTGTATAATTCTAAGACAAAAAGATAATCAACAATTTAATTAATAGTTTTTTCATCAATAAATAAGAAGCCAGTTTATTAATTCGAAATATTTCAAGGGAAAATTAAATTTTCAATATCTTAAATTTCATAACGAGGCATGGGGTTGATATTATTTCTAAATTTCGCTGCTGTTCATCAATTGATGATAAATTATTTAAAGCCTATCGATACAATATGTAGTTTTTTTTACATTTGCAACACATTTTTAATGAAATTCGATGTTTTGTTTACTTAAATTAATAAAATTAATTTTTATTTTATGAAAACGTACCATCTTGATGAATGCGTTTAGAGAAAAGAAAGAATAATGAAACTAAGCTTTGTACCCCGGATCAGATATTATTCACAGTCAATTTCGCTGCGCTGAGACAAGAAATATTTATTTTGTAAAAAAATGAATCAATTATATTATTAAATGCTTTGAAATTTAGTTTATGAAATACATTTGAAGTTTCTATATTACCTCGTAAGTGAAGTTCTGTTCGATCCTTAGGTCACAATAGAGATTTCCTGGAACATACGTGGCACGAAAACATTTTCATGTTTACACCTTGTTGGTTTCTTATCTTTAACTATTTTATAGATAATTTGACTTAAATGAGATGCTTCCGCTTACTACAAAAGATCCTCGAGGAATCGGTTATCGAGTTAAGGAGAAACTATCGTCTTGGCGGCGTTTAATATTCAGTGATAAGAATTCAAGAAACTTATTTCTATTTTTATTACTGAACTTGTCTTTTGCATTTGTTGAACTTCTTTATGGCGTATGGACAAACAGTTTAGGTAAATAAATTAATCTCTTGATAAAAAGTAGTGATTTATCAGAATATGTTTTATGGTAAAACAAAATTTCAGGTCTTATATCAGATTCATTTCATATGTTTTTTGACTGCACGGGTTTACTTGCTGGTCTTGCGGCATCAGTTATAACAAAATGGAAAGCCAATGACAAGTACTCTTACGGTTATGTACGAGTTGAAGTATTGGCAGGATTTGTAAATAGTTTATTTCTACTATTTATCTCGTTCTTTATTCTTTCTGAATCCGTCGAACGTTTGATTGAACCACCAGAAGTGAGTTATTTAAACAATAAACATGAAGAAAAATATCTGTTGGTTGACAAACAAAACGTTTTTTCTTTTTTGATTTAAGGTCAAGCATGAGCGACTTTTTGTTGTGTCAATTTTAGGATTCATAGTGAATTTAGTCGGTATTTATGCATTCCAACATGGGGGAGCCCATGGCCATAGTCATGGTGGCGGATCATCGCACTCGCATTCACACAATTCACATAGTATTCATAATGATCGTGGTAACTATAATAAACATTTCTGTTTGTATAGATATTTATAAATTACTTTTTCATCTTTAGAAATGTTGCTTAATAATCATCACGGACATTCTCATGATTCTGGGGCAAGTCATCATGGACATTCACATAGCCTGGATACAGGGAATTCTCAAATCATGCGTGGAGTTTTTCTTCATATCCTTGCTGACACTTTAGGATCAGTTGGTGTGATCATCTCAGCAATTCTTATGCATTTGTTCGGTTGGATGATTGCTGATCCAATTTGTTCAATGTTTATTGCTATTTTAATTGCATTAAGTGTGTTGTCACTGATAAAAGAATCAATTATGGTCCTGATGCAAAGACAACCGGTCATTCTTGATCGTCTTTTGCCAGGATGTTATCAAAAAGTGACCGGATTAGCTGGTGTCTATTCTGTTCAAGAGCCACATTTTTGGACACTTTGTAGTGACTTTTATGTTGGTGCAATAAAACTCGAAGTAAGCAAAAATGTCGATCCCAAATATGTCATAACACACACTCGAATGATATTCGAGTCAGTTGGCGTGCGACAAATTTACATTCAACTTGACTACGCGTCTATGTGATATATGGTTGAAAATAAAAATAAATAATAAGATTGCTAGGTATTAACACTTTAAAAAAAATCAGCCAAGCAACCTATTAATGTCAATGTCATCATTATGTGGTGATATTCTTGAGGAAAACTTCAAAAGTTGAATAACAAAGAAAATATTCAAACTTAAGATTTTTTATGAATGAAAGAAAATAAAACAGAACAAATTAGAAAATCATATAAGAAACGTTAGAAAATAATAAAATTTCGTATCTTAAGTAAAAATACAACTTTCTTTAAAAAATTATTATCTAAAAAGTTTCACTTCAATGCCTGGATTTACATTTACATTTCACGTTTGAAGTGATCACCATCATCAGGTTTAGGGCAAGTTTCTCTTATGACTCCACATGATTGCGTTAGTATCATTGCGTTACATCATGTTATGGTTAGTAATAGCTTTAAACTGTTTCAATCACCCATTAAGCGTCCATCCAATATCTAGATATTTTAAGTCATTCTGAAAATTAAAAAAGTTTCATCAGGATTTAAATATTTCAAATATCATTCAGCATAAATCTTATTCGCAGCTTTAAAAATATTCATGATAATCAGATTCAAATTAAAAAAAATAAATTCAGTTCATGAGAAAGTCTGTAGGAATAATCAAATTGACTTAGAAAGGTAAAGATTGACAGCAGTAACAAAGTGTTTCTGATATCCTATCGCAATGACTTTTAACAATCCTGACTTATTTTACAGTTGAAATGCACCTTATCAGCAGTGTAAAGTTTTTACCTCAAGTTTAAAAAAGGTTAACAAAATCGGACATGAAACAAGAATAAAGAGAGATACATATTTACAATTATTCTCATGAGTCTTTTAATTCTCCATTGGAATCATGACTGAACTGTACGATGGTAAATTTAAACTAAAATATCATGAAGACATTTTGTACCTAAATGGAAAAAATTTACTACCTATAGCTTCCATATTATTTCAGAGAAAAAAACTTTGAATGCTATTTGTTATTCGAACTTTTGATAGCTTTTCAAATACATCAAATTAATCTTTATATCTAATGAATTTAACACTTAATGCTGAAAAGTTTATTAAAGAAAGCCTGCGGATTCGAATTCGGAAACCTTTCTTAAGTTAAGAGTCGAGAAATTAAGTACCTGAACTTTAAATTTTTATGACAGACATTGTTATGATAATCTTTCATTTTTCATTCATTTAGAGAAAAGAGTTATTTGAAACATCCCAAGAAGCATCGTTCTCCACGCTCGTATTTTAATTTAACTGTTTCAAGGTTAAAAATCATTAAGCAGAACAATATTTTCAAGCTTATTAATATTCTATTCTTTGTTATCGATAATTCTTAGCGAGGAAAACTGTAACGATTTGAATGAAAAAAAATCTCTTAAGTTGATCTTAAAGAATCTTGTAGATATTTACAAATTTACATCCGATTTTTCGCCGGGAAGAGATTGATTTTCCAGTTATATATACTCTCGATGAAAAAGTTTTAAATGATATAGAGCGTAGCTCTTAAATGAATCACCCGAAATAAAGAATAATACTAATAATAATAATAATAATATAGGGATTTATGATGCAAACGCTCGCAAGAAGATCCTTGATGCTATCAATTATTATGATACTTATTAGAATCTACCTCAACTTTTGTTTTTACCATTTTTGTTTTTGTTATTAGGGATTAATTGTTGAAATCAAATAAATGTTTTGAATGATGATTTAATAAACCTTGCTCTTAAATATTTAGAAAAAACGTCAAATTGTTAGCTTTGACAGTTTGCAATCAGTTAGGTAACAGTTGATTATTAACTTTATGAAAAAGAAATCAACTGTTCAATTTTAAGTTTTAACTTTAGTTTATTACCTAATGTCAAGAATGATGGCTTTGTGTATGATGACTTTGTGTTACACATTATGTAACTTACATTGGAAACATTTGAAATGTTTCTGAAAATAAAAGAAAAAAATTATAGAAGAAGACAAATTTAATTAATTAATAAAAGTATTGTTTACATTTTAATTTTATTATATTTCTCAATTACATTCCCTTCCATTAGATTTATTATTTCCTTGGGTATTTCCAGGTATTTAACTTCAGCATATTCTTTCTCTTTTTCTCAAAACATTTCTTTTAAATGCAAAAGAATTTTCGAGAAGAATAAATTTTTCCGCGACTAAAACATTCCAAATCCAGATTATTGCGAAAAAATTGTTCCCAAAATAGGATTGCGGATTTTTTTTTTGAAAATTCTTACCGTTAAAAATTTAATTTTAGTATTTTTTAAATTAAGTTAATCAGGATAAATAATGATTGATAACAAATTATGATGCTAAATCTTAAATTTTAAATCTTATATTAATTATTTATAAAAATTTCAACTTGGAAAATATTTTATTACGCATTCATATTTTTAACGGTTAAAATTTTAAAAATCGATTCTCAATTTTCTGCTCGCAATAACCTAGATCTGGAATTATTTTTTCGCAATGCTTTCAGTTGGAAAAATTTATTCTTCTCGAATTTTCTTTTCACTTTTTTTTCTTCTTAGTTTTTATTTCCTTCATTTCTTTTCAATTTTATTAATTTTTCTTCTATAAAAACATAAAGAGTACATTCTTAAGCTGACAAGTATTATTTCGCCCACGAAAATTTATATATTAAAAAATCTAAAAACTATAAAATAATTAATTATTAATTATAAAAAAATGAAATCATGTCATAATTAAATTCAAATTTTGGAGATTTAGATTTATGAAGCTTGAAAAATTATTGCACTATATAAAAAAAATATTCATAAATTGAATGATGGTTGAAAAACATCAAAAAACTTAAGATTGTTTAAATTAGTTAAAATGATGATAGTCATGACGATGTTAATCATTATTTGCCAACAATCGCTTTCAAAAGCTTTCTTGTCGCTATTTAAAATCAAATTAATTAAATATCGATCTGTAAACATAAAATGACGTCGAGAAATATTTATTAAGAATTAATTTAAAAGTCATGTTTTCAAATTGAAAGGAAGAAATAAAATATAAATATGTCATCTAAAAGATTAATTGAATGAAATATCATTTTAAATTCTAAACTTTTAAAACCTTCTTTTTTTCACGTTTTTCACAAATTCAAACAAAGTTCCAAACTTCGGGTAGTAATGACCTTTCACTAATTTCATGTAGATGCACTTTCATGAAAGGAATATGAAAAATGACTTGACTGTGGGTCGGAGGGAAAAATCATATAAAAAAAGAACCTTCTACATTTACTAATGCCAATCAAGTTCAAATGGAAAGAAATTAGCTTTATGAGAAACTTTTTCATTATTTATCAGAGTAGGTACTACTTCAAAAGAATTAATGGTTATTTGCTTCTTGCATACATTTTCAAGTGTACAAATTATAATGAAACATATAAGAACTTATTTCGTACTATATAATATTAATAACTTGCTTTCTTTCGTGAAGAGATGACGATTTGATTTCATAGACATTTTGACATTTTCTTGTTGAAAATGGAAATATTTTATTTTTAAATATAATAGAAAAAGTAATCTGATTTAGATACTTTAAGTATCTAATAAAAGAAAAACACTGAAATAGAATTATTTTTGTTCTTCTTTAAAATTGCGAATGAAAAAGTAGAATTTTCTTAGAAAAGCCTCAAATCATCTTAATAAGTCATCTTCTTACATAAGTAAACAACTTAGTTGTTTTTGATTTTGGGAACATTTTTCTATGGAACATTCGTCATCTCATCAAATTCACGATATTAGGTATTTTAAAAATAAAAAAAATAATATTTTGAGGAAATTTTCGCGTTTTTTTTGTTTGTTAAACTTTTTTCTTCACTAGTAGAAAAATTAACTTTAAGGGAAGAAAATATTTACTGTGCTTTGTTTTTTTTATATAGTCAGACCTGGCAAAATACATTTCACTTGCTCATCATCAAAAAAGATAATATGTACCTAATTCTATTAAATCATAATATTCTTATAATTTTGCGCCTCTAAAAGAATATTTAGCGCTGAAAGACGAATTAGGTAATTACATTAAAACTTTTTTCCCCATTTGGAATTGGAATTTTTGCGAAATCAACGCGCACGAGTTTTGCTCTTTAATTATTGTTTTTAAAATGATTTTCTTTAAGTATACGGAAAAATTGTGTGTTTTCTGTTTTTATGAAACTAAGAGACGATTAAAAGGCAGTTCCAGTTTTCATTAATTCTTCACTGTCTTGTTACTTAATGCAATTAAGTTGGTGGATTGGGTTGCTATTGTTGCCAAAAATCTGTGACAAAAAAAAAAACAGAAAATAATTCAATTCAACTACTTTTCTAAAGAAACTAACAAACAAATTACCAGCTCATGATTTCTCTGAAATATTTTTTAAACTTTCTATTTCGTTGTCTTTCATGAGGACAACCTTCGTCCAATAAGCGTCCTGTTCGCGGACTTTCGATTCAAGGTTCTTCAACATGCTCTCCTTTATGAGGAAAAACTTTTAATAAACAATATTTTCAATAACATTCGAATAATTACTTACAGTTTCTGCAATGATATTTTTATACTCTTCGATTGTTGTCTTCAATTGAGCATTTTGCAATAAAACTATTTCATTATCAGCAGCTGAAGATGTGGAGCTGTTTGAATCGCCATTAACAGTACTATTGTTTAAATTATTCGTCTCTACACCACTACAGTTATTTAGATGATTATTATTATTAGTTAATTTATTATTATTAATATTATTATTGGCTGTTGCGGAGGCGTTGGAGCTGGCGGTGCTGGTTCGATTTAAAGATTTATTGCTAACTAGTTGCGATTTAAGATTCTCTAACACACTTTCTAGCCATTTTGTGTCATCGCTATCGCTTGTTGCTGATGATACTGCTTCGGGGAAGTTTTGTGTAAAAAGGTTTTTCACTTTTGATACTTCTAAGCCAAAATTGTTGGTCTAAAAATATTAGAAAAACATTAGTGATAGGTAATTTTTCAGTTAGACCCTAAAGTGAGTTTTGAAATGATTTAATTTTCAAAGGTAACAGTGGATTGGAATGAAAATGAGGTTGCAAGAAAAGTTCATAAACTTTAAACAATTAAGTTTATGATAAAGAAAAACCTAATATTTATTAAATTTGAGAAATTAGATACTTAGTCTGGGAATTAATGGCCAAATAAAAACTTAAAATAATCCGAAGACAGAGAACATAAACTATAAATTTTGTGGGATTATTACGTCTGATATTGTGTGTGTGCATGAAGACGACATAAATATTTTTATAAAAAGACTTAAAATCCTAAAATTTAATTTATTTGAACATTTTTTTTTGCATGATTGTCAAAGAAAGAGATATGTATATGTATTTAGAATCTCATAAGTTAATTAATTAAATCGACACTTTTTATGCGACGAACTTACAGGAAAATTGGAGTTAGCTGATTTAGAGAGCGACGAACTTTGAGCTGTTTGTAATGCTTCAACCAATTTCCAATTTTTCGTACGTAAATCCTATGTGGAGCATGGAAATTGTAATGTTTAGATTTTTTTTTTTGTGTTTTATATTAAAATAAGAGAGGGGTAGAGAAACTAAGATAAATAAAATAAGTTTTTAAATTAAAAAAAGCACTAAATTAAATTTTAAAAAAATGCATTTTGTATGTGGACAGGATTTTGAGGTTTTTGGAGGAGTTAGGTATTTGCATTTGGGTTTTAAATTACTTTAAATAGACTCACGTTGTTTTTAACTTTCTGTTCCTCAATCTGCTTGATGAGGTCATTTTCAGCCTTTTGAAGTGTTTCGATCTTCTGCTGATAATCAGCAAGCTGCTTGTCTTTTTGACTGATAACACTTTGATGATTTGACATTTCATTCAGCTGCAAATATTTTTTGTTCAAATAAAGATAATACATGTTTAAACATGGTGAAAAAGTAAAAAATGTGTATTTTGACTCACCAAAAAGCTATCACCAGATGACTTTGAATTTGTTAACAGCTTCGACTCTGCCAGTTGTTTATTCAGATCCTCAAATTTAACTTTAAAGTCACTCACGAGTAAACGTTGCACTTCAAGCTCCTTATTACTCGAGTCGAGAGCATTCTGAAGATTTCTTATTTCAATCTTATTACTTTCTTCTGCGTGATTGTTTTGTTGCTGTTCGCTTAGTTGTTTTTTCAACTGTTCCAACTCGAATATCTGACGATGAATAATTTTATCCAATTCCTTAGCACGTGTAAGTTCAGTATTCAACTTTTGAATTTCACTGTCACGACTTGTCAATTCTGGATAAATGTAAAGAATACAAGAAAAATGTTTTTTTTTTAATAAATTGACCTTTTGATCAGAGTTGTTTATTTGATCTAACTTGGCTAATATTTTAGAAAAAAAATTCAAAATGTTTTCGTTGTTTCTTAAATTTATTTATCATAAATTTTTTTTTCATCCCTGAACTTACCCTGTTCCCGCTGTCGAAGCTCATTTTCTACAATCGCACAACGTTCATCTTTTCTGCGTGCAAGAGCATCAAACTCGCTGATTTTTTTGTTATTTTCTGCCAACATTTGCTTAATTTGATCCTGAGAAAATAATTTAATTCAATTTAAATAAATTTATTTCAAGTAAGCAACTTACATCTTTCTTTCGGTTTTCTTCGATCAATGGATTCAAGTCAAGAATTTGTTGTTTCTTCATAGCAAGTTCCTGTTGCAAAGTTTGATTATCTTTCTGCAATTGCTGAGCATTCGGTAAACCTTCATGTGCTTTCATAGCTTCTTTCATCTGAATACATTGCCCTTGTAGTTGTTTGAATGAAACACTCATCGACTGCTTTTCAGTGTTGTGTTTATCATTCAAAAATTGAATTTCTGATTGCAAAGTTTTAATTTCCAAGCGATTATTGTGCAATTGTTCAGTGTGAGCTTTTAAATGCCCACTAAACTGAATCTTTTCAGTATTAAATTCACTGCGAAGTTCTTTCAACTTCATTTGCATGCCAATAAGAGCATCTTGTTCATTCTTCAATTGCTCTTCTTTTTCTTGAAGTTGTTTCTTTAATTTCTGTACCATGTCAGACTTGCCTTCAGTCCATTCAGTCGGTTCATGTGTGAGTGTATCTGATTGTTTGTTTAGCAAGAAATCAATGAGAACTTGCATTTGACTTTTTGTCAAGTCAGCACGATTCAACTCACGAATCAGTGGAGTGATTCCTGTTTCATCGGAAACTAAAGCAATGAATCCACTACCACCAGTATCAACTGGAGAAATTGACAGCTCATTACGCTTCTTCTTAATCAGCTGTTTCTCTTCACTTCCTTTCTGATCTTTTGTCAGTTGATTTTTCGGAGAAATTGGCGGCGTTTCAAGTTTCGGCATTTTTCCTTTTTTCACGTCACGAATATGACTTTTTTTATCAGTTTCATCTTTAACTGACGCACGGTGTATCTCAACAACATCCTTTGGAATAATTTCTTCGAAATGATTCGATTCTTCCACTGGAGCTTCCTTTACAAGAATAAGCTCGTTTTTATTAATCAAAATTCCTCCTTTTCCTTTGTTTTTCTTTCCAACAACTTGAGAAGCTTGTTGTGTCTTAGTCACAGTTTTTCTTTGATTGACAATTTCTTCTTGTATTACCGGTTCTGTACGAACAATTTCAGAAGATTCCGAAGCATCAGACTCGTGTTTAGTTACTTCCTTTGCCAGTTTCACCTGAATTATCTCCTTCTGTAATATAAAATAAATTTTAGATTTGACATTTAAAGTGACAAGATGATTTGAGATTTCATATTACCTTTTTCACTTCCTTTTTCGGCTTTTTCTTGCCACCAATATTACTTTGCTTTCCACTTGCTACAGATTTGACGGTTCCTAAAAGTTCTTCGCGCATTCTCTTCTTTTCAGCAATCATTTCATCAAAAGACTTGCCATGTGGTAAGAGTTTGGATATGAACAAGTAAGACATGAATGAAACCAAAAATATGATCAAAATAATTGCATACGCTTCCAAATCCATCTTCGCATGCCTCTTTCCCTTCCTTTTACTTTTTATGAAAAAAAAAATCAAATCAAAAACAAAATAAAATAAAATTCCCTTATGATTTTGTTGCAATTCTTTTAAAGTTAATTATTTCGTCTTAATGTTGTCTTAAAGTTGATGGTATAGAGAAACGATAATGAAACGAACTGAATTGTGCGGCGCTTTTAATTCTTACAAAGTGATTGGTTTCTGAAAGAAAAAAAAAAGAGAAAAGAGGAATTTCTAAGTTAGTCTGATTATTCAACAGTTCATACTTTCATTATCAGGTTAAAAATGCAGTTAAATCAAGTAAAAAATAAGATTTCATGACTATATGAATAAAAACCATAAGATTGGATGGATACAACATTTATAATGGTAGGAAAGATAGGAATATGGAATGGAAGAAGCAGTGAATAAAAAATAGATATTAAAGATATTTATCAACCAAAATCATCAACTAGGTAGGTATATTTGTGTTCCCAATTGCATGTGCAATTCATCATGTTCTTGTTCGAAGAATGAACAAAAAAATTGAAAGATTATAATAATGATTTTATGGACAAAAGAAAGCTCATAGAAACACAAGCTTGTTAAAGCGTCAATATACTTGCTTTTAAATAAGTATATGAAGCTTAAAAGTCCCCGAAAAAAAGTGCTGATAATCGGACTCATAAACTTGAGTTTCCGGTAGGCCTTTTAGTCAACAAAAATAGAATTATTATCACTTAACTTAGCTTTTAATTGTTTAAAAAATGAAACTTGTTGACGTCGAAATAAAGCTCAAAGAAGAGAGAGAAAAACTGTCTGACTCAAAATCATCGATGATGACCTCACTTTATTGGAAAAATGCCGAAGTTTTTACCGTTACTTTTTAAGTAATATGTTTTTATCCTATTTTGTGAGCTAATAATTAATAATATTATTTCAAATTCACAATCACTATCTTTAAATCGTAAGAGAAACTGCTTAAAAGAGCTAAAAGAAGTATGCAACGTCAACACTTAAAATATGGGGACCAATCTTATATGATATCACTTTTTTCGACACGTCATTATTTCAATACATGCCATTTACTGCTTATTATTACATATAGGTATTTATAACATTATTTCAATTTTATATGTTCATTTCTCAATTTTAAGATTAAACAATTGGTTTAAGAAATATCTTATACTTTTGTAACATTACTTTTATAATGATCCTCTTTAAAATGTCTGTCAGAAATCCTTAAGTTTTTTAATCCAAAAATAAGGAATAATAAGACTTATTTTATAATTTTATAACTTATTACGTGGCCGAGAACTTCAGGAGCAATTACTAATTAATTTGAGTTGCCAAATACGTCTCTTTTAGCTCGGTTTTTTAATAAATAAATTCGTTGCAGTTTATACTGAATTCGGTCTGCTCGGTAATTCAGTGACTTGAGTGCGTTTAGTACTTTAAAGGGGATTTGAGTACATTTTAAATATTCAGCACATCATATAGCAATTTTTTAGATATTTCAAATCTGTTAAGTCCGTAAAGTGTAAAGAATGCTTTAAACTGTAATTAATAAAAATATATGATATCAAGAAGTATTGATATATGATATCAATAAAATATTTAATAACAAAAAATATGTTCATATTAAAATAAGTAGTGCTGAAGTTGAGTGAATGCATGGAAAGCTTTGGGAAGGAAAAGAAACAAAGTTTACCTTAAAAAAAAAGATTTAAAAGAGACTAAATATTCAGTTCTAAAACATAAAAATGTCACAAAAATCGTATACATCAAGATTGAAACAGGATTACATCAGGTACGATAGTAATATTATCGAGATTGTCGAGAAATAATAAAAGACACATCATCGTAGAAAAATCGTGAAAATACTACATTTTTATATTTCTTATCTCCATTTTAACAATGATATTTTGTTTTAGATTAAAACAAGATCCCGTTCCCTATATACATGCCGAATTTCTTCCTTCAAATGTAAGTAACAATCAAACTTTTAATAATTTTTGTGGATTAATAATTTATAAAAAAAATATCAGATTCTTGAATGGCATTATGTTATCCAGGGTCCAAAAGACAGTCCGTTCAACGGTGGATATTATCATGGATCGCTAATATTTACAAAAGATTTTCCTTTCAAACCACCTTCTATCTATATGTACACACCAAATGGACGTTTTAAGCCCAACAAAAGGTTGTGCTTGTCGATTTCTGATTTTCATCCGGATACGTATGTTTAGTATTTTTTATTTGTATTTATTATCTCATTTGTATATCTAATCAAAAAATTACAAAATTTATTTGTTTACAGTTGGAATCCAGCTTGGAGTGTTAGTACAATTTTAACAGGTCTTTTATCGATTATGTTAGAAAACTCACCGCTTTTGGGAAGCTGTGAATCAACACTTTATGAAAAGAAAAAGTTAGCAATGAATTCATTAGAGTTTAATTTGAAAAACGATACATTCAAGTAATGCATTTTTTAATCATTCTGAAATCAATCATAATTTATGAAATGTTACCTTTTTTTTAGAGAACTTTTTCCCGATTTAGTATCAGAAATCCAAGAAAAATTAGAGAAAATTAATGAAATGAAGAAAAAAAATGAAAAGGAAGCGAGTGAAAAGTCAGCAAATGAAACAAATCAATTAGATAGCGCCACTAACAATGGAACCGTCTACAATCTATGCACAAATGTGATAATTCTCGTAATGTTTGGAATTTTTATTTGCATCGTTAAGAAAATTTATGAATCAGGAGAACAGGAGGAATAATGTTATGTTGGAATTCAAATAACACCATCCATTTAATTGAAATTTTCTAACATTTAGGATTAAAATATTTTCTTGTTTGTTTTTATTCAATTAAAATTCACTTAAAAAGAAAAATGAAAGTTTTACTTTCTCTGTTTTATTAAGTATCTACCTTAAAATCGATTCATGCTTACTATAACGACTTAGTTTTATTCAGTTGGTAGGATTTTACTTCATTCGCATGACATTCAAGAGTCGTAAATTTTGATTATAGACCAATGGAAAATATTTCACAGAAGTGATAAAATAATTAAGAATAAAAATGAAATTTTAGGATCGGGAATTAGAAAGAGTTTGATGTTACTGGGTAACATTTTGTCTTCATTTTTCATTTGAAAAAATTGAGTATAAAATTAAAATATCGTCTTGCAATCATCAATAATTATTTTTTTATGAAAAGTAGGAAACGCTCTATAAAACGAGGGTCAATATCTGAGTGATGAAACGAGTAGCTGAAAGTGGAATTTTGAAACAAATAATCAATGTTGCAAATTGGCATAAAAATTAGACAGAATTTCTGTAAATATTTAAATAAATCCTAAAAAATATCCTTAAATAATGGTGGTAACTTATGTAAATACCAACTGATTAAAATTAATAGTGTTTCATATTTCTTCTAATGAGTTATTTATCCGTATAAATAATAACCACGTCATATGCTTAGTCTTTTTAAAATTGAGTTCTCTGTTTCAACTTCAGTCTCTTTTTCTATATCAAATTTTGTAACACATAAACAAAACACTTCAAAGTTTGAAAACAAGAAATAGAAAACACTGAAAAAATGACAGAGAGAGGATTTTTTCCAAATAGAATATAAATTTTCTTGTAGTTCTTCTTTATTTATAAGCTAACGTTCCTCAATTAACGTTTTTAATCAAATGACAAATCTCGAAGGAAAATAAATAGAATCTTTGTTGATGTTTCAATTTTTATCTTCACTACGTGATTTCATTCTTACAATAAAATTATTGCTTCGATTCTTTCTAAAGTTTTCGTATGGATCATTAGTGTTCATTCCAACACCCTGAAGGAGGAAAGAAAAAGATATCACATGAAAAACTAATTAAATGAGATTTAGTTAATAGCAGTAAAAATTTACCTTGTAAAGATCATTTCGATCCCTTATTTCTCCACCTGAAATGGGTTCAGTGATTCCTTGATTTTTAACAGCACCTAACCCGCCACTAGTCCAGCCCAATTTCTTCAACATTTGATGTCCCTTGTTACCTTCATCAATAAAATCAGTTGCAGTCTTTGAAGCCGCTCCCATGAAACTTGGCGGTGTCACTGACCGTTTTCGTCGATCAATTCGTGATTCTCTGTTAAAATTGCGTTTTAAATGTATTTGTGGGGATGGTGATCTTGATCTTTTTTTATTCCGATTCCGATTGATTGTCGCAACGATTGTAGGTCTTGTTTCTGGTGTAACTGATCGAGATTTTGATCTACTGGTACGTGGTTCAGGACTTTTTGAGTGAAAAATTCTCTTCTTTTGTTTCCTTACTGGTTTTGTCATTGAAGCAGGAATTGGAGATGGTGATTTGGATTTTTCACGACTACCCTTTGCAATAGATTCTTCTTTTTGCTTTCGTACAGCATTTTTAATTTTGAAATATTCATAAAGTCCCAATTTCTCCCATCCCTCGAGATCTCTTGGCCTTTCATGACTTGGTGCAGAGTAAAAAGCTTCAACGGCATTTAAAAGCTTATCAGTTGGTGCTGCTGCTGGCGGTAATTTTATTTTTTCCGTATCAAGACTGTGATAATTGCATTCTTCAAGATCAATCAACGGAACCATTAAACCAGCTGGAAGAGTAAAATACGGTTGAGGATCAGGTTCTTCAGCTATCGCAGCTATCAAATGCTGTTCCGATTGAGACGGTGAACTTTCAGCTGATGAAAATCCTGGAGGTGGTCGTGACAAATCAGGAATTGAAAAACTTGGTGGTGGAAGATTAAAGTTTTGGAACTGTTCTTGTTGTGCATGAATATGAATTTTTTGCTGATGCGGTGTTATTTGCTGTTGAAATGGGAAGTTTTGATGCTGATTTTGGAAGTTTTGATTGTTCAACATGTTTTGCATCATGCTTACATCAGTACGATTTTGCTGTTGTTGTTGTTGATTCATTATCATGTTGACACTGTTGATTAATGATGGAATCATTTGCTGAGAATTTTGTGCGAGTTCTTGAATGATCTGTGGTTGTTGTTGTTTGATGTTTTGCTGTTCTAACTTTTGTTTTTCAGTTTCCAACATTTTAATCTGGTTTGTTGCATGTTTAACGTATGCTTGGTGTTGCTGTTGATAGCTAAATAATCATGAAAATAAATTATATTAAATTTATTTAAAATAAAAAGCAATTTTAATCTTACGTCTCAAATTTTGCCTTTGTTGCTTGAGTTAAAGGCGTAATAACAGAAGCATACTGACTAAACAAAGTATTTTGATATTCCTGAATTGATGATGGCGGTGATTGAAGCTTTGATATCGCACAGGAATCAAAAAAGTTTGCCTTCGATGACCAAAGAGTAAGAAGTTTATCAAGTTTGTCTTTTTCATCATCATTTGCACCTAAATTAGTTTATAATTTAAATTAGTTTTATAAAAAAAATAATAAATTTTTATCTTCTTTCAAATAAAATACTTACTAATCGTTGCATTACAAAACATTGGAATTACGACGCTTTCAAGTGCATTCTTCAAATCATCAGCGTTCTTCCGCACACTGAAAAATAAAAATATGTATGAACAATTTTTTCACGACTCACATGAGTATTTTTTTCTTCTTATTTTCAACATTTAAATTAAACTCAACTACTTTTTTTTATATGCATACATTCCAACAACACGTACAATATTAATAAGAAATGAGTACTAACCAGTAATGTAACAAGTCGTTAATTAAATAAATGAGATGCAATTTTTGAGTAAATGCTGCTGACGGTGACATAGCCCTAAATCGAAAAGAAATTGGAATTGCTTTTTTCTGTTTTGCTTTTTCAGGCTTTGCAGAGCTTTCACGTTTTTAACATGAACAACAAGACAGTTTTGTTTTTGCAAAAGTGACTTTGGATAAAGATATTAATAATTTCACGAGAAAACGTCAAAGCCACTGGAAAAAGGGTCTTTCTTTTGTTCTCACAAAGAGTGAGACTCTTAACAAGTTAAAAAAATATTTTCAAACAAGTTACAGTTTTAAATCTATAGGACAATTGTTTGTCCTAATTTGACCAGCGCTGAAACATAGAAAGTATTTTTTTTTATTAAAAAATGTTACTTTTTTAGAATATATTGCGAGATTATTTGACTTTTAGCTGAATTAGATGTTTGTTGCAATATCCATAACTTTCCTAAAATTATAATTAATAAAAAAAACATGAGAGGTTTTCAACGGTTTACATTTCAGAGAATTTTTTTTAACATTATCGAAAGAGGGTAAGGGTTTTATGGGGATACTTTAAGAAAAAGCATGAAATGTCATCATCAAAAAAAAACAGGAAATGCATTAGCAGTTGTTTTATGAAGAGACAAATCAACTTCAACATTAGGAAGAATGTTGATTTTATAATTACCATTTGCAATACTGTCTTTCGTGCAGCTTTCAATGATCGGTTGTAGGACATCGTCTAATTCATTGATTGATATCTGATTTTCCTGAGCGCATTGGGTGATTTTATCAGCCTGCGCTCGATCTATGGCATCCTCAATTTCACCCTTTTGCTGTTGTAATAACACCTTTTGGAGGATTTCGATATTTTTATGTGTATATGTGTATGTGCGATTAAACAAACGAATGTTTTATGGTGGAATTATCAATAACACGCATATAGACAAATAAGTTTTAAGTGTCGCCGGAAATTTCAAGAGTTCGAATAGAAAGTTAGATAAAGTCATTTGCTCAGGATTGTTACTTTAATTATCAATACCTGATGTTGAGCTGTAAGATTTTTTTCAGATTGCATTATTTGTTCTCTTAATTTCATCTGTTGACCATTAATGCTTTCAATTTGAGCAGTATAGTTGATAACGTTTTGAGGCTTTGGAGGATTTCCATTACTGGACCAAATTAGCTGCTGCTGTTGTTGTTGCTGTAAGGTGTTAAGATTCGGTGGCGTACCTGAAATAAATTGGTAATATTCTTTTTCTCCTGGTAGAAATTTTAACTTACCAATTAGATTTCTTCTTTCTTCCATAACACGATATTGGTAATAAGCATTAAATTCTGATCCATTTTGAAGAAAAGCGAATTTCGCGTTGTTTTGTTGTTTAATTTTGGTCATTTGTTCAAACTCTGGACCATTGCGGGCGACAAACTCTGCTAGTTTATCAATTATGTTTGCTAATTGTGTATCGCGAGGCCTTTGTGGCATCGACATTTTTCAAGAAACCTATCTAATGATGGGAAAAAAAATTAGGCTTGGGGGTGTAAAAGTTTTTTGAGAGTGTGTTCAGAAAGTTTGTTAAATGTGTTCAATAAAATTCTCATGAAACTTTTATGTTAGTCCTGACTCGTAAATTTTTCAATTTGTTTAATTGAGTTCTACAAAGAGTTAAAAGTTCTGTAATAGTGCAACCTCGTATCTTAGTGTTTTATTGCGTGTGATATGACTAAAAAGTAATTGTAAAAACATAATTTTCTTTACAAATTGTTAAGTGATCAAAAAGGGAAGCTCAGCGTAATAAAATGGATCAAATGGACGATGAGCAAAGGAAAATCACTGAAGAATTGCAACAAGCTGGATATGATACGAGAAGTGAAGCTTCTAATGAAAGTTCAGATGATTCAACAAGCATTAGTTCTGAGAGTTCAAAAGCGTCGAGGAAAAAATCGCACCGGAACAGCAAAAACAATGGAAGATCTACAAGGGCCAGACAAGAAAAAAAATCTGAATCAAAAGAAACTACAGAAAACGGGAAAAAAGCAGCAAGAAATTCACCCAGTAAGAGTCCTGAGCCAAAAAAGAGACGCCAGAATAGTTCAGGCAGCCAGACAGGTAGCAATATTAATAACAGCAGTGATGAAGCTAAGGAATCTGCAAAAGACTCTAGTGGAGACGGAAAGACTGCTAAAAAATCGTCCAAATCCTACGACTATATGACAAAATTAAATTATTTGTTTCGTGAAACAAAATTTTTTGTTATAAAGTCAAATAATGCTGAAAATGTAAGGATCTCGAAAACGAAAGGAGTGTGGAGCACACTACCTCAAAACGAGCAAAACTTGAATCAAGCTTACAGAGAATGTCGAAATGTTCTCTTAATATTTTCTGTTAAGGAAAGTGGAAAATTTGCCGGCTTCGCAAGAATGGCTGGTGAATCTCGAAGAGACGGCCCAACCGTTGAATGGGAATTACCTCCAGGAATTTCTGCAAAAGCTCTTGGTGGTGTTTTTGATATAGACTGGATATGCAAAAAAGAATTGTCATTCACATGCACAACTCATTTGCATAATGGGTGGAACGATGGGAAACCTGTGAAAATTGGAAGAGATGGGCAGGAAATTGAGCCAAAAGTTGCTGAAGAATTATGGTAAGAAATAATTTAATGTTAACATTTTATGTAATTAGAAAGTTGACGCTATAATTATTTACTTTCAGTCGCTTGTTTCCTGAGGATGAAACAATCGAAATGATGCCAGTTCTCAAAAAATCAAAAGAAATGGCGAAACAACTTCGTGAAAAAGGAATCACTCCAAATTTTCGTCGACCTACGAATCCAACATTTTCATCAAGAAGTAATGGATTATCACATCGTGGCGGACGGGGTGGTGGTATGAATAATCATTTGGATCGAAGACCATCTATTCGAGGGGGATTGCATAAGAAAGTTTTTCTTAGTAAACGTCTTAATAGTGGTCCTCTTAATAAAAAACCAATGTACAATCGAATGCTACCGATGAAAGGACATTCAGGTCATCGATTTGGTGGAAGTTCAACGGCGGCAGCTGAAGCTTATGTCGCAGATTATATGAGAACTATGCAGTTGCCAATACCGTATGCCCCACCTCATGATTTTCCTGGATTTGGATCTTCAATTCCACCTGCTCTTCCAAGATATTATGATGGAATACCGACAAGAGCTCCTCCAATAATTCCAGATTATCCACCACCAGCAATTCCCAGCCGAAATCAACCGTCGTCCTCAAATTATGATAAGAGGAGTTACGATGAATTTATGTGGAAGAATAAGAATCGCAACGGTGGACCCAATAATCGTAACAGAGACACTCGTGATGCAACCCGCGGTGGAGATAAACATCGCACTTATCGTCGATAAATTTTTAACTGTTAGTGACCGTATAAATTATTGAAATCTCGTAAAAGTATTTTACTTAACTTTCGCGGTTTATGATTTTTTAACATCAGTTCAAATTTGCTTATTTGTAAATACATGAGGAAATTATTGAAACTTATTTCGCTGCGAAATATATTTTTAGTTTTTTATCCTTATTAAAATAAAAAAGAAAAACAATAGAAAAGTTTTATGGAAAATCATATATACAGCCGAGGAAACCAGAGATTGTACAACAAAAAGTTAAAGTAAAATTAAAAGTAGTTGTCTTTAATTTAAAAGGTCTATGAACATGAAACAACTTATTGGAAATTTAGATGTAAGTTAAAACAGAAAATAAATCCTTCATTTTTCAGGAATTGGATGATTTTTTTTAATAATACGAATAAAAACACTCTTGAATAGAGACTTGGAAGATAAAGATAATAAAAAGATTACTAAAAAAAATAAAAACAATAATTTAAAATAGAACATAGTAGTGAATAAAATAAAACAAAAAATTATATAATTTGTTCCTGTTGCCATCAATCGATTTATTTTCATTAATTTATGATTTTAGAAAATATCAAATTGAAAATATTCAAGAATGTTAAATTCTAAAATTTAACAGTTTTTTAAAGTTCAAATGAATGATTTTAAATTGATCCGGTTCAATGAAACGACATGTTCGACATCTACCGATAGTTTTCTTTTTGAAAACTTCGAAAATTAGAAAAAATGTTTTCTTAAATTAAATCAGTCTTTCTTAAGTTCTTCGACCTAACAATAGTCGAATGCATAGTGGAGTCCACTACTTTTTGGTAATATGTAAAAGTGAGACGAAAAAATAAGTAAAACAAGAGCAAATTTACAGTGATACTTAACAAAAAAAAAATGAAGTTTTTGTCAAAAAATAAATAAGATTCGTAACAAAATATGTTCATTTACTATCAATTATAATATTTCAAAAGAATTACTTTGATCTTTGAACTTAAATAAGTGAAATATTATCAAGCTCTCTACCGAGACAAATAAAATCGCTGGATTATTTAGAAGGAAAAAAAGAGTACTACCTAATTGTCGGTTAATTGAGCTTCATCATCTGTAAATGTGGATTAGGTGATTCAATAAATAAAAATATAAATTGAATTTCTGAAAAATCTCGAAAAAAAATATCACTAAAATTGTGGAACACACCTCAGACATTACTGAAATTTTTCATGAAGGATCGGATATTTTGATTTACTACGCAGGTCTCAGAAAAATTTCTTCTTCAGCTTTTCTCCAAAAAGAAAAAGCTTTCATTTAACTAAATATTATTTTACATCATCAGGGTCGTGAATTCTTTGATATATGTACATATATGTATTGCAAATTTCCATTGTGATGGTCGTAATTATTATTGATTCAAATAATGTATGGAATCCAGTAATTGTTCTATTTGAGAACTCATCTTTATATGATGAACTGAATGAAGTGAAACCAGTTTTTGTGCTCTTCAAAAGAAGGAAAAAGAATAAATGAAAGAAAGCTGTTACTAGAGAAAATGATAATTCAACTGAAATATTCACCATTAAAGACAAAGAAGTGATTGTTGAAAAATATATTGCTCTAAATTCAGTTTTTTATTTAATCACAAAGTTATTATAATTATCAATGAGTATATATAGAATTTTTATGATAATGACAGTCCTGCTGTCGAAAATAGCTATCAAAGGTAACTTAAAATAATAGAAAAATGTGCAAAAGTTTCTCGCGTCTACACTCGTTTCATTAATCACTATCCACTCACTTAATTATTGTCGCTCTATGTGTAGAAATTCTAGACAAAGCTCTGAATTGACTAAGATTGCGTTCAGTTGTGAAAATACATAGCAATTAATTATGGAAGTTTCCAACGTATATCACCAGAAACAAAGCATTTTAAATAATTTTAAAAGCTCCAGTCACAGAAAAAACACTTACAAATCAGACAAATTTAACATTTCAATTCGACTTTTTTTATTACTTCTTTATGTAATACTTTTCACGCCAAAGCTTCACGGGTTAGATATACATATATTGCTGCAAGATCTTAAAAAGAGTTTATCATAAAAGTGTGTCCTTGAACTCTACATAAATAGTGTTCTATTGAAACTATAAACAGAAATTTGCTGCACTGTTTGTATTTACATAAGCAAAAAATCAAATTCAGAGTGTCTCTGGGGATGGGAAGTCTTAGTAAATGAGTTAAAGCCAAAACTTTGCATCGAGTAAATTAACTGATAGTGTGAGCTGAAGTAAATGCTTATTTTTTTTCTTCCGATAAATATCATACTAATACCAGTTAAAATAACTTTTAAGATAAAGATAAATCTTTTTCTTTATTTCGGGGTTGCTCTACATTTTTACTTCCATGTAGGTATTTAATAATTTAGGAAACTTTATTTCCGAGGGCTTTTATTTTCATTATATAATAATTGAGACAAAATTCTTGATAAATATTTTGATTCACTAAAGTTGATCTTTAATAATAATAAAGTCCCATTATTAATTTATAAAGTTCATCTACAGCAGTGTTTACTTTTTCGGCCGAAAAATGCATAATAAATATAAATACATTTATAAATATATATCTGTGTAGAGATGAATGAACTTTATATCGTTGTCGAATGAAAAAAAAGAATATAAAAGGCGAGCTTATTAAACGGAGGATTTTCTATTGTGACCTGACTTCTACTCTATTCTCTTATTGAGGTCGTTATAATTATTTTTCTTTTGTTGTGCATAATACTTCCTTCCGTATGGATGATTGTCGCGCGACTTGAGTAAAAAAAAATTATTACATAGGTGTGGATTGATTTTTCAGTGTCTAAGATTAATTCAGTTTTAAGCATCCTAACGTAATTATAGTTATCTGTTTGTGTAGATGTAAATTAATCTTAAAATCTTTAAAAAAGAGTGAATCAAATAAGAAGTCCTCACTCGGATTGTTAGGATATATTTAATAGTTACCATCAGACTTCAATCACAACCAATCAATTCAACTTTAACTTAAAAAAATTTCACTTCATAAAAACAGAACAAGAAAGATAAACCACAAAATCTTTAAAATTATAGGTAGCAAAACATTGAAATCGCTCAATTATTTAACAGAAAGAGACATAAAAATCATTCATTACTATTTGTTAAGATATTTAAGAAAAGCAATGAAATATGTTTGTTAACTTGAGGGAATGTTGCGTTTAAAAAGTCTCAAGAGAAGACTGAGCTCAAGTGAAGTAATTAACATGATTTCACTAAAAGACAATCACAGAATACAAACGCGAGTCACACTTATGACTTTTTACTTAATTTCAAATTAATTAAAATTAATTTCAAATTAAGTAAAAAGTTATAAGTATGATTCGCGTCCGTATTCCGTTATTGTGTTTTAGTGATATGCATATTATTTTTTACGTTCTCTCGACAAAATCATTTTAACATGATTTCAGAATTACTTATCTAAGATAAGTGTTCAGGATTTATTGAAAACAAACGACTGAAGCTTTGGTATTCACAATTTTTAATGTTTTCTAAAAGTTTCATTACAAAAAAATCGAGTAATTTTTTTCTATTTCTAAAACAGCAATCTTATAACTTCGCACATGTTTTATGCTCGCTTCCTGTCATTTACGGTTGATGAGATTCCAATTTCTATAAACTAACAGATTCTAGAATAATTCATTAAGCACTCCATCATGTCAAAATGTCTACGATTCTTAAATTTCAGTCTTTCAACTCGTTTGTCTATCAAACTAAAGTTGTTGCCAATATTATTCGTCGCTTTCACATTATAAATCTTATAAAATGTCTCGTGTAAGCAAAGTGCAAAATAGCTTGAAGTATTTTCCATTTAAGAAACATGAAGAGAAATCATTTGATGGCTTCACATTTTCGTATTGATGTAAAATTATCAAGATTTCAACCATCAATCCTTCTCCCTGCTTCTTTCCGTTAATCGTTCACCTTTTTTATTACAAATAAGTAACTTAAATGGTCATCACGATGATGATGTCTCATTAAAATTTGTCGTCACATTTAATTATATTAAATATTTCTTTTTCATTCCTTCATCGTAAAAATTAGTTCTTGTACCTTTTTGAACTTGAACATATTTTACCGGAAAATAATTTGTGAATACTATTTAGAAGAACATGAAGCAAAATGATCTAGATTGTAAGTCGAAACAATATTTTCTCACCACTGATTTACCTAATTATTATGAAGATACCAAATAAGCTATTGAAAATTGTGTAATTGATAGAGAGGCGATTGAACAAAACATACCGCATGAGAATCACTATTGTCTTGACTATTGTAGTAATAATCACTCTTGTGTCGTTTGTATACATTTGTGTTAAGTCTCTACAAGAATGACCTTGTCGAAATTTACCGTTTAGCTTCTTAAACAACTTGTCCTTAATATGAAATAACCAAATTTTTGAAATGAAAGTTGATTTGTACTTTCCGTCTTTTGAATCTAATGAAAAAAGTGATGCTTTGATCAAGTTATACTCCTATTAATATCTGAGATATTTTATTTCGTCTGTCTCGTCTTTAAAACATATTTCAAATGGCATAAAGAAGTGAAAAGTAAATTGCACGAAAATATAGAAATATTAACTTTGAGGACAAAAGAACAAAAAATGAAGAAATCGAGTTAAAAGCCTAGCAAAGAAGTAGTATTTCTTTATTTTATAACGTCTGAAATATGACGGTTTTACGAGCCACACACAAAGAAGAAATTCTAATAGAGTGAAAACCGGACGTTTTTTTCGTTTCTTTTCTGGCACACAACACATGATAAAAAATTGCATTAATTTCAACAATAAAAAAGAGGAATTTCTGCCGTCAACATAATCTTGTATGGGAGGCGATGAATTTACGATAATTTTGAATCCGGAAGAGAAATTTTTTGAGCTTGGAGGGTATAGATTTCAAATAAATGTTACAAACAGTGCTTTACAAGTGTCAAATTGTACATATGTATGTATATATTATGTGAGATCAACGGATAAGGATAAATTGAAAGACAATTTAAAACGAAACAATGTAAGAAAAGTCGATGAAAAAAAATGCCTTCAGGTGAGGTTGAAAAATGACCGGAACAGGCTTTTGCAAATCTTTAGCACTTCAGACATGAGACATAACTTGCAGTGAACGAAATCTTAAACGTTGCTATTATTGTTTTAATTCTCAAGTATGTGAGATTGCACAATGATTTTTATGAATTAAGTGGGAAAATAATTAGAAACCGTTATTGGCTTCAGATATTACATTAGTTTCAGCACTTGAATGCTACTTGCGTGGGCGTGTGAATGAAATAGCGCCAATTGTTGTTATTGAAAAGAGGCGATTAAACTTAAGTCACGTAAGATTAACTGATGCCAAGCTCGTGTCACGCACCAGTTCTGATGAAATTAAATTCATATTTCACAAATTATAAAAAATACATCAAAGATTTGCCCCTGTTTGTGGGTGAGCTTCTTTTTAAAAGCTTTAACGTGCTTATAAAAGGTTTCATTCTGTCATAAATAAGAAAAAAATTAGTTATAGAATGAAATAATCATTAAAGAAAAACTTAATTAAGACATCAATTTTTGTTTCCACAGACACTTCTTTTCATGCATTATGAATGCATACGTAATTGCATATTGAGTAGTCTTAGAAGTGTTGGTGTCGGATGGATGATGATAAAATTATAATTCAATTTTCATGAAATGCTAGTCATATGTATCACACTGAACATTTTCTAACTAAATCTAACTTCCTCATTTGTTTGTTTTTTTCTATTGTGTTGACATACAAAGTGCTACCAAAAATGATAACAATGAACTCTTATTCCACTTCTCTGTAGGTTTTCTTTATTTTATATATTCTGCTGACTAAGACCGGATTTGTTCTTTCCTAAAGTGATGCGATCTTTTCATACTTCTTTCGTAAAAAGTAAAAATTCTACTTCATCACAATGGTTTTTTGACAAATAAAAGTGTGCCTATGTCAATTCTTTTCAATTGTAAATTTCCATGTCGATTGGACGTCGACAAAATTTTTCTTATATTCGAATTCATCCAAAAATATCTGATGTAAATGAATGCCCCAAACGGAAGACATAAGTGGGAGTTGAAGATGTTAAAAAAATCGTAAAATGTTCGATCAAAATTTCAATTCCTTTTTTCATTCATAGGCAATTCTTGGTTTTCTCTCTCTCTCTCTCTTAAGTGTGCATGTGTATAGCAGAAAAAATTAGTTAAAAAGATATACCTAGCTAGTAATAAATGTACCCGAGCGGCACACACTCGCCGTGCCGGAGGCATACGTTTGCACTACGACGATTTTTAGTTGGCACTTCCTTTGGCTTTTCCTTCAGAAATCAGCGAAAATAACCGAGGTATCAATTTACCACTAACAGTTGACGCTACGGTGCTTCCCCACATGCCATTAACTCTAAATAAGGCTACCATAAGGCAGCTTAAGAAATTCTTCACTAGTCCAACACATAACTAACTTAAAGTGATAGAATTAGGCGATAGCCAGTAGTTTTTAGCCAAATGTCTTTCATATGGCGGATTCTAAAGGAAAGCCTTCCCATTAAATGGAGACGATACTCGTATGCCAGATTTGTGAGAGACATCGTCTTTTGTGCCGCTCGGGGTATAGTGGGAATGAAAACTATTCTCAACGGATTCAATCAAGATTCAACATAACATATTACTAAGCGAGCTGTTATGAGCGTCATAGCCATCGCCATCAGAGTAAAGTCTTAATTGAGTGAACACAACTATCAAATTTCGTTTGAAATGTTCACAGATTGCGGTAAATAAATCAGAAAAAAGATACTCGAGGCTTTAGTATTGAAAACTCTAACTGAACGGGAATTGAAGAAGTATAAAAAAAAATCGATCTCAATTTGCAATTGTATAAAATTAGTTTTAAACTCATTACAGTTGATTTAGCTTTTTATTTGATTTGATCATAATTAATGAATTGAATATCAAATCGATTTTCAGCACCTTTTGGTTTGACCTATACCTATTTGTTCAGTATTCAAATTCATCTTCAAAAAACAAATCTTCTTGTGCGTAATAAATATATTGATCACAATCAAGGCCTGAGTCAGGTTGTAAAAGTGGTGAAACGGAAAATCCATAACGATCCACACAAAAGATTTTTCCATTTTGATCCTGATTTGGTTCGTAGTTACCATTGTTGCTGCATCTCAAATTAAATTCAATTCCTGACATTGTGAATATTTTTTCATCTCGTGCACAATCTGAGAATCGATTTGAAATTTGAGAATGAATAATAAAACCGATGGCCGAGTTTTTGTTATACACTCACTGCAATTCATGTCAGACATCATTTTTGATGGTGCTGCGTAATTTAATTTTGAACCGTCGGGCATTTGACAAAAAGCTCTTCAGATACAATGAAAAATAAAGTATTTTAGGTCATGTACATGATAATTAAGAACAATATTGATTTACAATGGATTTTCAATGATAATTTCACCGTATGTGCCATCGTAATTACATTGAATTTGTCTTGGAACTGCATTTATTGCGCCTCGATTTATAAGTTTCTTTTGCGCAATCTTTTGTGCGAAAGCGGCACTCTCACATTTCCTCAAATATTGATCACCATGAAAGCTTTCGTTATCTAAGATGAACAAAAAAAAATCTCTTTAAATGTTGTGCAATCAACAATAACAAGTTTGATATTACTGACAACAAGGCAGATATGTCCACAACGCTTCTGGAACAGCAAAAGTTCCTTTCACGATGTGCCCATCCGATTCATCAGCACACCAACAAATTCCCATATCACATTGTAAATCTTCATAGTTTCCATTTGACAAACAATGCACTGTCACGTCTAGTCGTCCTGACTTTTCTGCTTTGTATCTTTGGCGACTGCAAGTGCATGTCATGCTGTCAGCATTACGCCACCATTTCCAACCGAAGACTCTTTCGCCAGCTTCAGCATAACAAAAGCATCTAAAATTCATTGTTACACAGATGTAAATTCTTCATAATTTGTTGTACACAACCTTCCTGTCAATTTATCTCCACGACATTGCTTTGGCGAATATGTTCCATCAATTTCACACTTTGGCTTCCATCCAACTAAATTCTCATCAAAATGCATAGTATGTAAACAAGAAGCTGAAAGTGAAAGGTGAAAATTATAAAGAAATCAAAGAAAGACTTATAAATTTAACGAAATAAATAATTAGAATGTACTTCGCTCGAGAATGCAATAAAAATCTTCATCGCATATAAGTCCTGGTGCACATTTTCGGTTCGCTCGTGTTACACTGCAGCCACTTTCACCGCGACCTTGAGAAATCGAAAGGAAATATTTTTAATATGTTGAACGAATGAATTTTATTTCTTTTTTCTGACTTTCTTCGTCGTCTTCTTACCGATTCCCGATCTACATCCGTGACAACAATTGTTTGTATATCGCGTGTCGAGAAACTTTCCTGATGGACACTCGCCCGGATTTAAGTTTGTTGTTGTGCAATTGTATTTAATTTGACACGCTTTATAGTCGACTAAAGAACCAGAAAATATTTTAATAAGAATAAAATGTTGAAGAAAAAAAAACCAAGAAGTTTTCATCACGTTGCTTATATAAAAAGAGCTGAAATAAAATGTGAAAAGAAATTCATTTTCAGCTATCGCTTTTTATTCGAAATAGAATAACATGTAACAAGTCTTTTTACTGATAAGAACAACAATTCATGTCGATGACAACTTGACTGCCGTCTTATCATTAATAAATGTTTTCTTTGATGAATCAGTCTTCGAGAAATATTAATGTAAAGTTAAAATTAACTAATCATTTCTTTTTTTGTATGTTGATCATTTTTAGATAATCCGAAGTAAGCAACAACAAATATGGATAAAAATAATCAACCACCTGGCCCTAAAGTTTCGCAAATTGCCAACATTTTTCAACGTAAATCATTTGATGATGAAAAGGAATCGAAAGAGAACCCTGGTAGTGGTAATGTAGTAATGCGAACAGAATCACATGCAGCGCGATTTAACAACGCTAGGGCATTGTTCGAAAAGTTAGGTGAAGGTCGACTTAATCGGCCAACGACATTTAGTATTAAGCATTCCACTAGTAAAGATGATAACTTAAAAGACCCGAGTCCCGAACGACAACGATCTCCATCGCCAAAGAAAAAATATATAGGAATAAGTAACGGCGTGGGCAAAAATGATATCGGAATGATTCAAAATGTTTCTCGCATAAAATCTGAGAAGCCGGAACGCCCTGAAAAACCTGAAAGAAAGTTCAATTCAAAGGAGCTTATTGAGAAACAGAAGAATTGGACGTCACATTTCAGCAAGGCTCGTACATCGCCATCATCAGTCGTCAATAGATGCGACATTATTCGAACTGTCCCTGGAACTGGTGTGATTAATAATACAGACATAAATAAAGTTCAAGATAATAACACAAAAGAAATTAGATCATCAATGTCGGTTGATTCACCACCAAGTCCATCAGTGAGACATTCGCAATTACCACCAGAAATTAAACCGAGAACAACTTCACGTTCAAATTCATTGACAAGTCCAACAAAAGCTTTTCCGAGCATTCCTATTAAATCAAGTCCAGAACATGTCCGTTCACAAAGACAACCTGATGGCAAATCAGATGAGGTTCATGAGAAACCATTACGTAAAAAGTCACTTGACTTTAACAACGATTCTCAGTCAACTCATTTCAACAACAATCATCATTCATCAATTCATCCTGAAATATGTAGCACACGACGATACAGCGGTGAAAAAGAAAGCAGCAGTTTGACATCGCCAGCTCATGATGCAAATTCAGCTGCAAGCTCTTCAGGACCATCAAGTCCAGCTCATACCGAAGATGAGAAACAAGAGAATGAATCTAATGAAAAGACTGAACATTTTGAAGATGCTAATAGTGACGGTAAGTCAAATTCTTCTTCTCAGACTCAGAGAATTAATATTTTGTTATTATAAATAGAAATGAACGAAAGACAAGAGAAAACTTGAAGAAAGAAATCTTCTTTACTTTCTGTTTGTTGTTATTATTTTTACTATTGTTTCATTCAGTTATTTATTTGTTGAATCACTTTCTCTCTTGTTCTCCCTCGTGTTCAATGAGAAGAAAATATCTTGGAAAATATATAAATCTCTTGAAAGATCATTTAAAACAGAAGCTCGCGAGACAATATTACTCATTGCTACTAAAATATGAAATTCTAAAATATATAGAATTTCATCCGTACACTATAAACATTTGGCGACAGCAAAATACCATTTTTGTTACTTATATTCCTGGATTGGTTTTATCAAGGGTTTTATTGATAGAAGATTCATTAGTGGGAAATTTTCATTGTGTCTTTCAAGGAAATATTAAGTATACAGATATTGTACAATATTTTACGCGCCTAAGCTTAACTTAAAAGTGTAGCAGTGACTCCTATTTTTTTTTCTCTCATCTAACGAATCACATAAATATCCAATTCATCGGCATGTCTATCTTCTTACACATTTTTTCAAAAATAACAACGCCAAGTCATTCATTTAATAAAAAAAATGAAGTAAATTTTCCTCTCTTTTTGAATCTCAAAACTCATGAGTGAAATAAGAATAAAAATATATTCAAAAAATTTTTGAAAAACATCCCCACCTCAAACTCTTGATGAAAACCCTTGTAAAAGAAGAAAATAAGTTAAGGTTTCTCAAAATTCATTAAATTTTGTTCACTAGAATTCTCATTTAACAAGTTTGAGGGTTTGAAGCCCCTGAAATCAGATAGTGAGTTATTTAAAATGAGGGCTTCAAACCCTCAAACTTGTTAAATGAGAATTCTAGTGAACAAAATTTAATGAATTTTGAGAAACCTTAACTTATTTTCTTCTTTTACAAGGGTTTTCATCAAAAGTTTGAGGTGGGGATGTTTTTCAAAATTTTTTTGAATATATTTTTATTTTCAAAGTTTTTCAATGCTTGTTATGTTTCAACATAATAAGTTGCAACGAAATAAGTTTATAAATATATTTTTTCTTCGCAATGTTTTTTTTTTTTCGCTGGCATGTTTTTTTTTTTTCGCTGGCATGTTTTTTTTTTTCTCAACAAAAAGTGTTGAAAGAACATACATACATACATAGAAGTTTTTTTGTAAGGTAAAGAGTTTGGGGTGGGGAAAAAGAAACATTTTAATGTCTATTCATTTCAAGAATACCCCTTGATTTTTTCGCTTGTTTGAGTTCGACATACGGATGTTTTAAAGAGAAAAAAGAGAGAATATTGTATCCTATATAAGATTATCATTCCATTAGTCGCGATCGTAGTTTCACATGGTGATCAACGCTTTTGTTTTGTTTTGATCCCAAAGACATTTAACTTTTCCTCACTTCTGTGCATTCAAAATTAGCAGAAATTCTAAGACGAATTCAAACATTTAGTTCATTCATTTTATATTTTTCTGTACTGCTTTGCTGATTGAAGAAGTCTCGTCATGCATTTGCATTATTCGATAACACTTTAGTTATTAGAGAGGAATTATTTAAAGCAACTAATGAGAGTATAAATATCAAAGTAAAAGATGATTCAAAACAGGAAATGCACGCATAGAAAATCATTAGTAGCCGTGAAAAAATATAAGAAAAAAGCTTAAGAAGTGATTTCATGTTAGATATTAAAAATGTTTTATTTTTCAAATCTAAAAATAATGCAAAGAATGAAATGTCTATAAATATTTTTCCATGTAAGGGAATGATTATGCTGATGTTTGAGGATGAGTAAAAAGTAAAAAAAAAAACACTTTCGTGTCATTTACCCCTCATCGAACGACTACGAAGTTGAGTGAGTTGCGTGCTTCACTATTGCGTTTTTCTGGATAAATTAATTTCATCTACCTTCGATTTGCTACTCAGTTGCGTTGGTCTTCTTTCATTGGAATCACTCTGTGATCATACTTAAAAAGGTTGACTTTTTGGTGATTTTCGAGTAGAGTCTATACATTATCGCGATTGTTCATCAAATAACAAATTAAATTGCAAAATTCGAAACGTTTGTTACAAATGTAAAGTTCCATAGCAGTTCAAAGAAAATATTCAATGCAATCAACAAAAAAGAGAAAAATTGCAGTTATATATCTATAATTTTTTTTTTGTTAAACTTAGTTTTCGGTTGACTGAAATCTGAAGTCTTCATTTTGTAAATGTTTGACGACTCTACTGAGGAATTAAGAGGAAAGTCGTCACCATGTGGGTTGATCAAAATAAGAAAATTTGAATAAAATATAAGACCGTATGATCAAATTTTTGTTGTAGATTGATTTTTCTTTTATAATATCTTGTATTTCGATTGAATTTTTGATTGGATTAAGAGACTTGGAGATCGCGTGTTTGAGAAAACAACAAATATTTTTATTAAGTGAATGGCGAAAAATAGTGAAGAAACTAATTTGATGCTTCGCGGAAAGTTTCTTTGTATGTACGACTGTGATGAATAAGTAACAAAAGATCCCACAAAGCAAATTTTTTAAATCTTTAATATATTTAACTAATACCTAAAACAAAAAAAAAGTTAAAATAAAATGAATCGTATTGTTCTTTCCGAGATTATGACTGTGAAAAGTGATACCGGAAATCGTGAAAAGTGAAGAAAACTTCCTGCTAATAAATAAAAGATAAATAAGCACATAAAAATATGATGTGCTTTAATCTTCGCCGTTTTTGTCTGATTTGCAAAGGTTTGTTGTGATTAAGTCGTCTTTCATTTAAATTTCATCTCGTTTTCTTTCTTGCATAAAATATTTGTTTATTCATCCTCTCAGTAAATTAGTTTATCATTTCTTGCTGATTCAGAAAATCGCCGTAAGTTTAATTAATAGTTCTATTTTCTTTAAATTTTCTGAAGAAAAAAATGTGCATATCATAAATTATAGCTCCTTTCTGTGTCCTTGAAAGTATTGAATTCTCCATATAATTTCTTTTACATAGATAAAACTTTTGCTACATTCAAATACATCTCATTGATTTTATTTCATTATATTTACAAGATATAATCTAAGGGTGAATCACACCAGGCTCATATTATTCTTCTTCTTCCCTTACGAAAATTTAAATATCTTGGCAGAAAGTGAAAAATATATTTGTCAAATAACAGCTTTGATTGACAATAAGTAAAATTTTTATCTTATTTTCTCCCAGGCAAAAGTCGCTCACAGAACAGCGAGGGTGAAGATGATGACAAAGTCCAAAGAAGATCAAAAAGAGTGTCGAGTTTATGTATGGAGTTGCCAGCAGCTGGTTCAGGACATTGCTCACCAAGCGTGCACAGTTCGATAACTGATGAAGGTGGCTTCAATGAACCATCACCTGAAATCAAAGCCTTGAAACCTGTCTATGATTTTGAGAACGACATAATGCCACCTGTTCCTCCCATTCCACAAACAACACATCCGGATGTGATTAATGACGTGACTTACATTGATCTCGCTCATCGTGCACAACCGGAAGGCATTGAAAGTGATGAAATTTACGACGAAAATGAATCGTATCGACGAATAGAGAATGGAAATAGTAACAACAATTGTAATAGTAACGTTGAAGTGACGAAGGAAAAGATTGTCTACGCAACAATTAAACCTGAGCTTCCGGTGAAAGAAAGACTTTACGAAAAAGAAAATATTCTTGACGATGATGATGAAATAATTGCACAAAACGAAACTGATCGAGGATATATAAGCCCTCAAGAAATTTTCGACCCAACACGATTTCATGATGAAGATGAAAATGATTTGAATTCCGTGTTGAAAAAAAAGTTACCACCAGAGCCGCCTGGTGAAAAATCAGAAACTGAAACCGAGGAGGAGGAAGAAGAAGCGACACCACTTCCACCAATCAAAAAAATCCCACCTCCAGTTCCTGAATTAAATTCACCTCTCGATCTTCAAGATGTTGAATTTGCCGATGCAAGTGATCATGAAGCTAACGAAACTAACAGTAGACGAATAAGCAATGCAAGTGAACAAATTGATGCTATGACTGCTGATGAGGCTGATCGATTGTTGAGCTCTCGGTAAGAAGTCACAAAAGTTTCATTCAGAATTTCTCATGTTATCTAATGGGCAAAAAATACTAAATTTTATTTTATTTTACGAATTTCATCATATCACCTTTCATTTCGTCACCATCATCATAAAATGCATATCCTTGGTTTATTATTTTTTTGCTTTGATGTTGATGTCTGTTGTTGATGTGGCAAAATAAATAATTATAGCATTTTGGAAAGCAAAATGAGGTAAAAGATTTGTTGTTGATGTTTTAAAATCATATTTTGGTATTAAGAAATTGATTGAAATTGTTTTTCTTTTGATATTTTTTAGGCAACAGTCGTTATTATCAGATGAACAGGCTCTTGAGGTAGAAGCGATTCTGTCTAACAATAAAGAGCTTCCACCATTACCCAAAGAACCCCGTAAACAATCAGATGATGAGCCAGATTGGCTCAATGATGTACTTGGAGGTGGAAGAAAATCTGATTATCCAAACATGAACGGTGATACTTCTAACATTCAAGACTCTCTAGTCTCAGTGGAATCGAATCAAAGTGCCAACGAAAGCATCATTTCACTTAACACAACAACATCTGATAGTTTTAATATTGGAAAGTTAGAAGCAAATCCCGACGGTTCCATCATCAGTTCAGTTAATTCTCTGGGTGATGGTGAAGTGTCTGGTGATGAGTCATTGCAAATGGAATATCCACCAATAGCAAGTAAAGAAGTATTTGTTAATCAGGATGGAGTTCATTTCTTCGAAGATGGAAACTTTTGGATGGAAGTTCCGGGCTTATTAGAGAATGATCGTGATGATGAAGAGGAAGCTAACATTCCTGTTAAAAAATCTTTTAAGATTAGATATAGTACAGATCCAATTCAAGTCTTTTCGACGTTCTCTGTCAATGATTATGATCGTAGGAATGAGGATGTTGATCCTGTCGCTGCTTCTGCTGAGTATGAATTAGAAAAGCGAGTCGAAAAGATGCATGTGTTCCCAGTTGAATTGTTGAAAGGACAAGAAGGTCTTGGATTAAGTATAATTGGAAGTAAGTTGAGTAAAAAAATTAAAAATAACTGTATTTAATTAAACATTCTTCATTAATCAGTGGGTGTTGGAGCTGACAGTGGATTAGAAAAATTAGGAATTTTTGTGAAAACAATCACAGACAACGGTGCAGCATCACGAGATGGAAGAATTCAAGTTAACGATCAAATAATAGAAGTTGATGGTAAAAGTTTAGTGGGAGTAACACAAGCTTATGCTGCTTCTGTGCTTAGGAATACATCTGGACTTGTTAAATTTCAAATCGGACGTGAAAGAGATCCAGAAAATTCTGAAGTTGCTCAACTTATTCGTCAAAGTCTTCAAGCAGACAAAGAGAAAGAAGAAAGAATAAGACGACAACAGGAAGAGTACTTGAGACGAACTTCTGAAGATTCAACACTTCCTGTATCTGCTAATTCAAGTCTTTCTGAAGGTCCCATGTCACCAACAACAGCAGCGATTGATTCTCTTTTTGATGGCGATCCAAATCATTCGAGCGACATCGAATCATTAAAAAGAATCCTACAAGAGGTGAGTTTTACATTAAAATCTGCCTCATCATAAATTAGTGAATTGTGTTTGCTTACTAAACAAACCATAAAAGAAAGTAGATTTACTTATGATATTACTTATTCTCCACATATTGAAATTTTCATGCCACTGTACTTTTACGAATAAATATCAAGAAGTCTTGATCTATTTTTAAATATCTACAATTTACTCGAAAAATTCGTTATGAAATCATAAGTAAATCTTCACAAACCTTTTTAAACCGTTTTGTTTTATTGTACTGTTTGCAAGTCTTTTGTGTCATAACCCATATGTTTGTTTCTTCCATCTCTTGTACGTATTATGTGCATCCTTTCGTGATAACCAAAATAAACAATAACTCACTATAGAAAATCAAAACTATTGCATTGCATGAAGGCGAACTGATGAATATGAAGAAAATGGTAAGAAAAAAAATCTCAATTTGCATCTGCTTATTCTTTGTTTTATATTTTTAATATTGTTATTGAAAATAAATAAAGCTGAAATTGATATTAAATTGCCATTTTCTTATATTTAGCTCATTAAGTATCAAGCAGCATGCAATGAAACTGAAAGCATTAATGAAAAATTGAAACAAACTGAACGAGAACTTGCTGATATTCGTAAGGAGGCTAATAACTATCAGAACATGTTACAACAATCACAAGCTCAATATTCGACATTAGAACGAAAATACAGTAAAGTCAAAAAGATGTTGCGTGATTTTCAACAACGTGATCGAGATATGGTAATAAAATTACTATAAAAAATTACAAATAAATTCTTATTTATTTGTTTCATTTCTTTAATTTAGATACAATTTCAAGAATATTATCTTCAACATTTACAAGAGAAAGACACTGAGTACAATGCTTTAGTGAAGAAGCTCAAAGATCGTGTTATTTCTCTAGAGCAAGAACTTCAGGAAACACAAAAGCGAGCTGGTCTACCAGTTTCATTACCATATGATAGCACAAATCTTAAGTTGACTCCACAAATGTCACGAAAACAGCCACCACAGCCACCTTTTCATAAGAAAATTGAATCAGAATATTCCGATTTGGAGATTTCTGATTTATCGCCTGATGGGGAAGGCGAAGATGGAAAGACTGCTACAGTTGAAAGAAAAATTCCTGTCAAAGATGAGTTTGACACAGCGATACCAAAGCATGAATTACTCGATTCGTCAGCAAATAAAAGCAAAAAAGATTTGATTTCACGTGGAGCTCTTGCCAATCGTCAATTACCGTCTTCTAAAAAATTAGGAAGTAGTAACAGCAGCTCAAATGGAACGCTTGATGAAAGTGAAGAAGAGCAGAACATTGATGTTGCAAATAATAATCCAACATTTGCAAATGGTGTTCATTACTCAACACCAGCTGTCAATAAACCTGTCATAACATCACCATCGATTCCACTTTATGCTCAGGTACACAAAGAAAAAGAACGGAGTGATGCAACATCCCCAGTTCAGGCGTTTAATCTTAAAACTCATTCCACAATACCGAATATCTTTCGTGACAATATTGGAGGTAAAATCACCAGTACTAGTTATGGAAGTGACTTGAATGCATCGTCATATGAAAGTGATAGAAGTTCATCAAACGATAAACTTGAAGATCAATCACCTGACAGTTGGATGTATCCAAGTCGAAGACCGAAAGGACTTAAAGGCATTACGCCGCCGTCGCTTGCCGAACAATTAAAAGAAAGACTCGCTGAACGTGAAGGAAAACGACATCATGAAGACGGTTCATCTAGAGACTCAAGTGACGATTTTTCTGATCTCAATCATCTCAATCCAGCCAATCCCGAAAAGATCTCACAACATTTGCTCAGTGAAATCAAGAAAGCTGTTAATGAAGCTCAACCTAAAGGTAAAAGCGTGTGCGTGTATGCTTGTGTGTGCGACTTTATCTTGTGTAATTAGTTGTGTTAGTTTTATTGTCAATTCAAAATGAAAAAAAGAAAAAACAACTCAAAATTCAGTTTTGATTTTCATTTTTTGCCGGTTTTCTTTTTTTTCTTTTTTTTCTTTTTTTACTTTTCTAATTCGGAATTCTATAGTTAAAAATGTTGTTCCGCAAACACTTTCCCCGCCAGGTACAACGCCGTGGAAGCAACAAAATCAAGGTCCACCCTCACCATCTTCAGCTTCAAGTGACTCATCACCTGCTTATTCACCAAGTCGAACATTAGATTTGTCAGGTTCATCTACGAGCTTTTCAAGTGATCGTGTTAAAATATCAGCACACCAATGGAAGAGCGGACCTGTTGAGCAGTGGAACAATGAACAGGTTTGCCTGAATGAATGGAAATATATTTATTTAATAATTTTTTTTAAAATAACCGAAGGTATGCCATTGGCTGTTAGGTATTAATATGGAACATCACGTGCCAAAATTTATTGAACATGGTGTCGAAGGAGGTGCACTTCTTCAACTCGATTCACGTGACTTTAAAATTCTTAATGTCGTCGGTGACGACAAGAAACTTCTGAAAAAGAATATCAAAGAACTCAAGCGGTTGAACGAGAAAGAGCGCCGTCAAAATGAAAAGGACTTAAAGGAACGTGAGAAGCTTATCAAGAAAGCTGAGAAAAAGGCCGCAAAGGATAAGAAAGTTAAAAAATAATTTTTCTCTCTTGTATGATTTGGATAAGTTTTCAATAACTAAACAAGACATTAATTTATGCTTTACATTCTAAGTGATTGTAATTGATACGTCTCAGCAGTTGTAAATGAGAATATTTTTACAAAGCCAAGAAAAAAATCTTTCTTTAATTTGCATTCTTAGTTCGGTTTATAGCGGTTGGTAACATCCACTTTTTTCTTTGTTATCTAATTCAAATATGCTTGCAAATTTAGTTTTAACAGTTTTGTATGTACAAAACCATGGCATGATAAAATTTTATAATAACAAGCAAGAACGCACGGCAATTATTTAATACACAATTCAGAAGTGCAATGTTCGTGTTTGATACTTGAGTCAAGTTAAGACAATTTTTCTAATCGTCTTTTCTTACATTCACTACTCACAACTTTAGAAGTAAATAAAAACAATCGCATAACGATGAAATCATATATTTATAAGATAACCATACGTTAATCCTTCATGACTTGTGTCTATAAGAACAAATGGAAACAAATCCAAAACTTAACAGTTTCACGTGTGAAAAGTTAATATTTTTTTTTTAAATCATACTATCTATCTAAATAAATAAACAAATAACAAAACAAATATTTAAATTATTTATTCGTATTTGCTAATATTTAAACTTTAGAATTTAATATGTAAGAGAACATGAACTATGTAGTTCATTTCGTTTTCTAAGAATAATTGACCGTTACATACAAATGCGACATGATATTTAAAATGAGAGAATAAGTAACCATAAGTTGTAAGAAAAATCCCAACAAATCGTGAACGAATTTTGAAGCTTTTCAATCAGAATTTAAAAAATAAAGGAATAAATAATCAAAAATTAATGTGTCAAATGAGATGATTTTGATTCGATTTTAAATAATTTCACTCGTTTTGTAAAAATCGTTATCATAGAATTGCGTAAACAGAGAATTTGGAGTTCCATTTTACAGCACCACTTTTTGATCTTTTTTAAGAACAAAAGTTTAAGGTTTTTCATCACAACCACATGTTTTTACAAAACACTTACTGATAAAAGTAATGATTCAATTCGATAAGTAGGAAATGATTTTTTAAATAATTAACTCTAGTTGTTTGTGGAAATGTAAAATCGTAGTAAAAAATATGAATTAAAAATTAGTGTAAAAGTAAACATTGAAAGAAAAATGTGAAGAATTTAATGAAGACAAGGAAGAAAAACGATACATCAAAACTTAAATATCTAAATAAAATAATTAATATTGTATTAACATTAGTGGAATGAAATCATCCCAAATTTGTTATTATTATTATTGAATAATTTCCAAGAGAACTTTTCAATTTCACAAAGTAATGCTTTTTTAAATATTACTGCGGAAATTAAAGTGTAAGTTTCTTATTCTATTTTACTGCTTCAACATTTCTTTTTCTTAAACTATCGTTTCATGGCCAAAGTTTAATGAATGATTGTCAGTCTTGCATCATTTATATCGAATTTAAATAAAAAAGATTCTATTGATGCCAGAAAATTATGTAGAAACAACTATGTAGATGGTTGAAGCTTTTCCATAATCATCATAACTCTAATTAAAAGCAGAAATTATGTCATTAAAATATCCTAAAAAGATACAAACAATAGCATTTCACGATTGTTTTCACATATCTACCTAGTTTTGTTTTTAAATAACAAAGTTTTTCTATACCATTGCATTTGAAGGTATGTGTTTAGCACAGTCAATTTTTAAACTTTTTTGAGTGTAGACTGATAAATTAAATAATCCACGATTGCAATGTCTTCAATTATTATTGAATTTTTTTTGTAAATTCAGTTTATTTATAGTGGTTTAGGATTTTAATTACCTACATTTCCACAATCTTTTTGTTGTGTTGGGATAAAAATCCAGCTGCATGGCTACATTTACTATAACATTACAAACATAAATTGTTATCTTAAATAAAAATTAGATATAAAAACATTAAATTAACATTGTACTCTATTCTAGGATATTTTAATGATAAACTTTTTTCATAGCTACGGAATGTAGATTAAACATATGGAGGTTTTTAATTCACAAATTTGAAAATGGAGATTTCTAAATTAATTTTTTTCGAGCGGCACAAGCGGAGATTCCTATTTCATTTTCATCACCGGCTTGCTTTTTAAGTCAAATGGGAAGCAATTCTGTTAAATTTTGCTCAATCAATTTTGTCTTGATCAAAGGTTGCAACGCGATGAAAATGAAATCAATTTTTAAAATTTCCTTATGTTCTCTTCTTAAGATTGCCATGTGCTAAATCTTACTAAAATGTACTTGGTAAGCCCTATTTAAAAGTGCAAGAGGTTTCAGTAAAAGTTCAAGCAATACATGTTATAATCAGCTTTGAATTTCGTGATCGTCACGAGAGCAACGTTAAAAACCTCCATATGAAAAACTTGGTCGAAACTAGTTTTACTACCATTTACTTCATCCATAAACTCGTGTGTTGCCAAAAATATGAAAATACCATCCATTATCCACCTAGAAAATAATTAAAAAAAATCCTTCTGTGAAGTCATAAAATGTTATCTATTTGAAGAAAAAAACAAACAAAATAAAAATCAAAGGGTTGCATAATTCATTAAATTATACAATGAAAAATGAAACAATATCTTTTAATTATATTTTGAGATTAACGTTCTTATTTTCAGTGTTTACAAATTTAGTTTGGAGATAAAAACATAATACGAGTTATCTAAAACTGTTATCATTCAACAGGTTCAATTGTATCGAACAAATTAAGATAAACGCGTTTTACAAATTTCTTGAGAAATTGTCAGCGACTTTCAAGTAAGCTAAAGTGCAAAGATTATTCTTTTGCGTTAAAAATATATAAGTATGCAAGTTTAAGGAAGGTAAGATTTACGTTGCTATTATGCAATGTTTACAAACAACACATTTAATGTAATTACAAAATGATTACAACTAAAAATATAAAAATAGGTAGATATTAGCGATATAAAAAGTAATAAAAAGTAATTATTAGCACCCACATCAAATAGCTTTGTGTGATGATGAAATAATCCCAAAGCTTTTCAAGAGTGTGCAAACCTTGCAATGAGCTAAACCAGTTGGGTATGAGCAGAAAAAATCTGTAGACATGCTTGCTAATAAGAAAAATAGACTTAAATTTTTCTCTGAGCTACTTTACTCGTTCTAAACATGAAGCTAGTTTTTTTTCTTTTTGTCACAATCTTATCATCAGTTATCTCAGACTACAGTATCTCTCGCGTGTGTGTTGATGAGCATAGGAGCATAAATATATCAGTTCAAAATATTTTCCTTTAAAAGTCTTGTTTGTTTTTTATTGAGTTTCAGTTGCGTGCTGACAAAACTAAGCGTAGTACAGATAGAAAAAAAGTTTTCGATTTGCAACAAACATTTATCATTGAATATAAAAATTTAATTGAAATGCCTCAAGAAATTAACGTTGAAAAGCATTCGAATGGAATTGAAAATGGCAAGTCAAATGGATTTAAAGAACAAAAAGATGATTCATCGTCTACTACTTTATCTTCGAAAATTTCATCTCAAGCGTTTTCTATCATTGAAGCGTAAGTTCATGGCAAGAAGTATATAGATTAACGAAGCCTAATATTACTAGTTAAAAGGGAAAGGAATTGAATCTATTGAAAAATATAAGCTTGAGCTAAGCTCTCGTTCTAATAGGTAATTTATCTTCTACATTTGTCTCTTTAATTTCTTCAGTTACCCTTACGAAACGATTGATAAAATTGCCAACTTCTTGTTAGAGAGAACAAAGTTACGTCCCAAAATTGGAATCATTTGTGGATCTGGTTTGGGACATCTCGCTGATAATTTGACAGACGCTGATAGTTTTTCTTATGAAGACATTCCAAACTTTCCCGTATCAACAGTTGAAGGTCATGCAGGAAAAATGATATTCGGTCTTCTTGATGGAATACCAGTGATGTGCATGCAAGGAAGATTTCATTATTATGAAGGATACTCGCTGGCAAAGTGTGCAATGCCAGTCAGAGTCATGAAGTTGGTTGGATGTACGCATTTGATAGCTACAAATGCAGCTGGTGGATTGAATTCAAACTATAATGTTGGTGATATTATGATAGTTAAAGATCACATAAACATTATGGGATTTGCCGGCAATTCACCCCTTCAGGGACCAAATGATACACGGTCAGAAGATTTAATTCTTTTTTACATTATAAGACTCTAAAATAAAAAATTATCTTAGATTTGGTTCAAGATTTCCACCCATGTGTAGAGCTTACGATCCCGAATATATCAAAGTTGCACAAAAAGTTGGTGAAGAAATTGGAATGGAAATTCATACTGGTGTTTATATATGCGTGGGTGGACCTAATTACGAAACTGTAGCAGAACTGAAAATGTGGAAACTTCTTGGAGTCGATGCAGTTGGCATGTCAACTGTAAGATTTTATTTATTTTACTTAATCAAAATTGTTTCCTCTGATAACTTTATTTTAAACAGGTTCATGAAGTAATTACAGCACGTCATTGTGATATGAAAGTATTTGCATTCTCACTCATCACAAACAAATGCGAAACTGAATATGAAAGCCATGAAGAAACGAATCATGATGATGTTGTGACGATTGGATTGAAACGCCGAGATTTATTGACTAAATATGTCACAAAAATGGTTGATGAAATCAATGAGAGTATTTTGTGATTTGAGTATTTGTGACTATCATAAAATTAACCATTGCTCTGAATTACTTTAAACAAACTTTAGATATTAAATTCAAAATTTTTCGCATGACTCTACCAGCAAAAACATTTAGTTATTTTCAAGTTTAACTTGTCGGTCGTCATCAACGAACTTGTCGAGGTGTTTATAGTGAATTAAGATCAAGTTATGAAAATCAACAAGAGCAAGTGAGAAAAATTATGTGTAATTTACTACTTTTAAGAACTATGTATGACAGTGATTTGTGAAGTAACAAGATAAGGTGACATTATAAATAAATATTGGACAGTACAACTTGTTTTTTATTAGTGACCCGCCCATTAAATAATTGATAAGCCTACAAAACCAGATGCTAACTTAATAAATATCCATATGTATTCTCGGTCATTAATATTATCAATTCATTCAAAAAATATATTAGATTAAGTTCAATGCTGATTCATCTTTTACCTTGCTTATAATTGGAAATATTGGAAGCTGATCACATGAATGAGATTCACTTTCAATTTTTACAGCGCTTGAAATTATTGAAAGTACGTAAGCAATGTGAGATATTTTCAAAGCTTTTTCAATAAATAATCGATAATATAAAATATTTTATTGCAAAACTGGTGAAAAATTTTCAGTCAGTATGAAAGAAGTTTGAACATAAAAATTGATTATATACAATCGATTAGAAGTCGAACTTTCTTTGAAAAAAGTGTATAAAATAATTTAATACTATATGTTTACCATGTAACTGAATTTCAAAGCTTCAAATATGTATTGAAGAGATGAATTTATATTAGACTATTAAAAGTGTTTTGTTTATAAACAATTTTTTGCCGCCTTTTAATCAAAAGATGAAACAAGAATATGGAACTGATACGATTAAAATTTCCTGTTTATTCCACTCTATCAGAAATTTTCTTATCGTTATAAAAGGAACTAAATAATCTTACTCAAATTTTTAACTCGAACATGACCTTTTCTTGCATTGAATTGCGATCGATGATTTAAAAAAATATTTTGCTCATAACAAAATATTCAAACGGTTCAGATTAACAACAATTAAGTATTCATAATAATTATGCTATCTCTCGGACGTCTTTGATTGTGATGACGTCTCTATCTAAAATAAAGACCTTCCAGGCTATTTGAATGAGTGAAATAAAAAAATCACTGAGATTAGTTTAGATATGTTTAAAAAAAAAGAGATTTTTAAAATTGCAATTTTTCAGTTATTTATCTTCAGTCTAAGAAAATTTTATATGAATTTCAAAATTCGAAGTTTGTGAAAAACATTCCCGTCAAACTAGACCTAATACCTCAACATTTCTATTAAAATAATGCCCAATTTAGTTTCAGCAGAAATCTAAGAAATTTTCAGCCTTTAAAGACCTATTTGTGCTACAAAATAATAACAATAATAAAAAATATTCATTATAATTGTTAAATTGATGTAAAAACACATATTTCTCAGTATCACTTTTTACTATTTTTCCCCCCGAGTCTTTAAAATACTCAAGTTTATTCACTGAGAGCTTCAGTTTTCAGAAATCACGCTTACACTACGGTCGAAGAATAAATTGAAGAATAATTTCAATTTTAAAAATTGATAACAAAATTAAATTTTATTTCTCTATCAGTCGGAAAGTTTTGTTTTATTTTAAAAGTAAAAATTTAGAGAATGCCTGAAGAAGTCTGCAAATGTGCAACAAATGCATATTCAAATCCTAAAAAAATTGAATCCATCGAAATAAAGTTGAAGAAAAATGATCATTCGTTCTCGTCAATAAGCTCAACATCATCACGATCCTCGTCCCCAACGTTCTCCTTAAATGAATCGTAAGTTCCATACTTTGAAAAGTTTTTTTTTTTGTTGCGAAGTTCATACATATTTGTTATGAAACGTAGAAATATCTGGAAGAGTTCAAAGTTTGTTGATCAAGCTTAAAATCAAGTTTAAAAAAAAAGTGTTCCAAAGATAGCAAGTTATCGGCGATAATACACAAAAGCTCATTGAAAAATTAATTTATTATTGTCATTTCCCCTAAAACTCACAATTTCATCAAGTTTTTCCAATAGATCATTTTTCGTAGAATAAAACGAACGTCACTGCCTATAAAAATTATAATATGTAATTTATTGTTTTCATATTTTAAATGAAACGTCACATCACTCCACTCAATAACATGCTAATTAATCATCTCTAGTGACTTCCATCATTCACTTGATTTGATTTTGCCAAGAAATAAAACGTGCATATAAAAGGTTATCACAGTTCTATAAATGGAAAATTCTTCACGTTTCATACAATCACTTTCTGGGTTTCAAATGACTATGAAAAATAATCTCGTGACAATTGTTCCTTATAATCATTATCATACTACAAATTGTCTTGGAATTGGATTAAATAGTCGCAATATGAGATATGTTAGTACCAACGGAGACAATAAACTTGTTATTTGTATAAACAAGCCTTCAAAGTCAATACTTATTGAAAATGTCAGGAAAGCTAAAAAGATTAAACATTTAATATTTCTTATCACATTTTTGCCCCTTTTACACTTTATCAGCTTAAATATTAAACGACATCACATTAACGTCACTCGTGCGTGATTATAAATTATGAGTAAGTTGCATTAATTAAAAATAAGCATAAAAAAACCTCCTTATTCTTCACAAAAATATTAAAAGCTTAAATTTTTCGTAACAGGCAAATCAAATGGAAAGGCCGACGATGAAGTTTCTACGAATTGACTTACGGTTTATGAGATTTCTTTAGCAATTGATTTTTTTATTGATGTTGCTCGTACCTTTACTTCAGAGTCTTCTCTATGTTGTGGCTTGTGGTTAACATTATTTGCGTTTTGGGCTCTCAAGAGAAACTTTTTTAGATTTTTGTGTTCATGAAAAAGTTGGGGTCATTAAATTAACATTACATATAAAATTGCTGCATTTAAGTGATAAGAACTTAACTGAAGGCACTCTTAAATTCATCAAAAAATAAAAGGTTTGAATTTGAAATTCTATTTGATTTTTAACGTAAATGTTGAAGCACCTACGCCAATTCTTAAACTTTTTAGCATTCCGCTAATCAAATAATTAAAATCTATTCATTTTTTTCCGAAAAACAACACGTGATTTGAAATACCTACATGTGTAATTCTTTTAAAACATAAAATATCTCAGCTTTATTAAAGAAAAAACGAACATCAAAAGCTTTTTTCTTGAAGATCATAAAATTTGAAAAGTTTTCATTTTAATGAAATTAGGTATTGAATATTTTTAATGTATCTAATGGAAATTTGAATGAACTCCCTTAAAACATTAGAGTATTCTTTAAATGAAACCTTCCAGGAATACGCAAACGTGCGACGCATAAAGTCAAACTCTAACTTGAATGAATCGACATCAAAACATTTCCTATTCAGTTCAAGGTCACTAAATAATCACATTTATTTATTTATGATCTTTGCAATGAAAAAAAAGGAAATTGATGTAGTTACATGAATAAATATTTTATTTCTTACTTTCAGCTTTCCTTACAAAATGATTGACGATATTGCCAACTTCTTGCTAGAGAGAACAAAGTTACGTCCAAAAATTGGAATCATTTGTGGATCTGGTTTGGGACATCTCGCTGATAATTTGACAGACGCTGATAGTTTTTCTTATGAAGACATTCCAAACTTTCCCGTATCAACAGTTGAAGGTCATGCAGGAAAAATGATATTCGGTCTTCTTGATGGAATACCAGTGATGTGCATGCAAGGAAGATTTCATTATTATGAAGGATACTCGCTGGCAAAGTGTGCAATGCCAGTCAGAGTCATGAAGTTGGTTGGATGTACGCATTTGATAGCTACAAATGCAGCTGGTGGATTGAATTCAAACTATAATGTTGGTGATATTATGATAGTTAAAGATCACATAAACATTATGGGATTTGCCGGCAATTCACCCCTTCAGGGACCAAATGATACACGGTAAAGTCAAAACATTAATTTATAACAAAAACAGTTTACGATATAAATTTGATTTCATAATCAGATTTGGTCCTCGTTTCCCACCGATGAGTAAAGCTTATGATCCCGATTTAATCGTTACCGCTCTTAAAATTGCTAAAGAAATGGGAATTGATAAAGAAATCTACACAGGTGTATATACATGTCTCGGTGGTCCAAATTATGAGACAGTTGCGGAATTGAAAATGTGGAATCTTCTTGGTGTTGATGCAGTTGGAATGTCAACTGTAAGTAAAAAATGTACATATTCAAAAACGATTCACAAACCAGTTGTGATAACTTCTTTAATTCCTACCATCATCATTAACTGTTTTTTCAATTTTATTTCCTAGGTTCATGAGGTTATTACAGCACGTCATTGTGATATGAAAGTTTTTGCTTTTTCTCTTATCACAAACAAATGTGTAACTGAATATGAAAGTAATGAAGAAGGTAAAAGATATAATCATGTCACTAACGTAACAAAATAATATTTTTTAATTTAATTTCTAGCAAATCACGAAGAAGTTATGTCGATTGGTTCATTAAAACAAGAAACAATGACTAAGTTGGTCACTGAAATGGTCAAGAAAATCAACAAATCAAACTAAAATCACCTATTTAAATAAACATTAAAACAATTTGAATATTTAATTATCTACCTTAATGTTAAAGCATTATTAAAATTTCACTCAATCATCAATACATAAATAAGATATGAATAATATTTTATTGAGCTTTTTGAATTAGCACTATTGCCACAGCATTTATATCTAAATATAGATATAGATATCTAATTGAAATTTTATGAAATAAATTAAATTTTAATATTTACGTCATTATTTGATGTGAAAAAAAAATGTTTGTCTATTGAATAAGCCATATTTTCAAATATTTTTATGATATCATGCAAGGCCTTTGCAGCAAAGGTAAATAAGCAAATTATTGATAATTATTATTTATCTGAAATTATAGAAATAAACATCTTCGAATAGATATAATAAAAAGTCATTTTCTATTAAAGAAATTTTAGTTCCTTTAGCTACCATCATAGCTTTTAACAGTTAATGTAAAAAGAAAAGTTCTTGCAAACGTTAGATATAATTATTTCTCTTTTTCGTTTCATTTATAACCTTCGAAAATAATACATAACACCACATTTTCCTATCTACATATTATTGGAATATTTTTGAACAAAAACTGACGATTTCTACTTCATTTTTAATACACAATTCAATGTTCCAAAAAATGTCTTATAACAATTAGTGACGTTATTAAAAATAAGAAATTCACAGGAATATTATGAGTTGCATAATTGCAACCATCTTCAGCACAAGCACAGTATATTGAACTGACATGTGATGTAAAAGCACTTTTGTAGCATGATTTGTCTACATTTTCGCTTTGCTCTGTTTCATTTATGAATCCACATGATCGAATAATTCGAATTTTACCATAGACTGAAATTAATTGATGCCAATCAAAAGAGAAGAAACCAAAAATTTTTATTATGAAATGAGCAATAAAACATTTTGTCACCGTTTTGAGTTAATTTTCTACACCATCGAGCTTCCACCGTCTCTACCTCATTTGTAATTGATTTTATATCTTTATTAATCGGTAAACATTCGTTATAAAATCCTTCAGCATTAGAATGAACGAATGGATCAAGGCAATCCGTATTATTAAATGAATTACATTCGTAACACTTCAATCCGCTAACTTCTGCAAACATTAGATTAAGTATTTTTCATTAATCCATTAATTTTATTATCATAATAATCAACGCTTACTCGGTGCAATACCAATCACAATCAAAGCAAACGTAGTCACGAAAAGAATTTTACTCATTTTAATTTTATTATTCCTTTCACTTCGGTTATCAATTGAAGACTGAATTGCTTTTGAATAGCTTTTCGTTAGTAAGTGAATGAATGAGTGATTACGATTTTAAGTTTTTTACTTCTGATACAGACTGTAAGTAATTATACTGTAAACAACAATCAAAAATGTAGGAATAATGAAATGTGATGAAACAACCAACACAAGCTGTCGATTAGATACTGTAAAAGAGATAAAATAAATTCTCCTCAATTCATATAATAATTGTGTTGTAATCTTTGAATGATTCCCATCTAATGGAACTGTTTCAAACCTAAACATCTATCACCACATCAACAATACACATACTCAATATACACACTCAAATGTATTTAATATGAGAATATATTGGAATATAAAAGTTCTTTTATTTCTATAAAAATAACACGTGTTGAAACAAAGTGATAAATGAGATTCAAATGATTACGTGATCTTGATTCTTGCTTAAAAATATTATTTTATCATTCAAAAGAAATTAAATAATCTCATCACATAAAGGATTTTATTCAATCGTTCTACTTTCAATTAAACAAATTCTCGCTTCAATAACTTTTCATTGAGTTACATGTTATCTATCTAGATACTATAAAAAAAGTGCGATTGATCGTTGCGTATAATCGTATGTTTTTTATAAATGCGAATTCTTACATAAAAATGTCTATTCTAAAACATCAATACTTATCCAGACACCATTTACATATTAAAATTGTAAGACTTATAACATATGTAACAAATTTGTTTTGAAATTTTCGTCTATTGCTTCTGAAGGATTGCTTCTAATTGTCGAAAATGATTTCGAAGCTTTATATCGGTTTCAAAACCTCGCACTGGTTCACATTTTTTTATTTCTATCGTCAAAAAAGGAATGAGAAGATTTATGAGTTTTGGAGAAGTTTTTACAAGTTTCGTTAGAAATCTGTTGAATAAGTTAGAATAAAACAATTAAATTATTTTAAATATTTTATGAAGAAAGTTATCTTACCTGAAGTAATGTGAAGAGTAATAAGACAAATTACTTCTCGTGATAGTCTTTAAACTTTCAATTATTAAGTCTTGCAAATCTTGTGATGATTCAACATTTTTATTTTTCGTCAAACGCTCCACTAAATTAAAACTCATAATTTGACTGGAAATATTCTCATCTGTCATCATAGCAGCTTCAATCACATGAATTATTGAACCTTCCCAAATTGTCATCATCTTCAACAACATTCATGACTTCTTCGAAAACTGTCAAAATTAGTGATGCATGCGGACTTGCTTTACGATTTTGAAGTGCAATAAAAGCTTTAGCGAGTTTTGAAAACACAAGTGAAACAACTTCAGTATTCTTTAGATTGACACAAATGATAAAAGGTTTTGCGACGACTTTCGAGTTTGTTGTAATCTTTAATAGTGGCGCCCATTTGATGATAACATCATTTAGAACTTTCCCAATGTGGGGATCGTTTCTGTAATCTAATTTAGAAATTCCTTCAATCAAAAGTGGGTAGATTTTATGCATTGCCAAGATAATTGCGCGAGGTTGTTGTATATGTCCCATCATTAGTGATGAAGGCAGAATAAAATTAGAGATTGCAATGTTAAAGAAACAAGAAGGTTTCGATCGAATGTAAATCAACTCTGAACAATGCATTACAGTGAAAGAGATGAATGTGTAGATTCTCATAATCATTTCATCGATAACAATGAATGTTGGTTTTCTTACATTTGTGTTATGTTGTTGCTGTTGCTGTTGAAGTAATGGAAGCGCCCATTTTCCAAATGATGAAAAATATCCAAACATCAATTCAATAAGTTGAAACTTTTTTTTTTCTCGTCCCTAACTGAAGAATATTTCTTACCAATATTGCTAATAAATATGCAAAGTGGTTCTTTTGTGTTGATAAACTCCGCTGGATGAATTTTTGCCGTTTCACAAATCGAAGTAAAATCTTCAAACTTCATGACATGTTTCGTCAATTCTTTTAAATGATTATTATTTCCATTACTTATAAGAATTGAACTTTTAATCCAAAACTGCATAACTGTCAGCTTATCGATGGATTTCGATTGGTGATTCTTTTCGAGAATAATTGTTAAGAATCTTATTCCGTCTTCGATGTTGAGACAATTTATTTCAAGAAATGTCTTAAAAGTCACGTCAAACTTTGGTACGTCATTTGGATCCTGATCCTGAAAATCGTCCGCAAGCAAGCAAAGGTTCGCAATCATTGCTGGTAACCACATCGACTCATTTTCTCCAAAAATCTCTTCACAATGAGGAAGTAAAATGTTGAAGAGTTTTTGTGAAATCAACAAAAGTTTCTCTGATCCAAGCGATTTCTTTCTGAGTTCACGAATCTTTTCAATGATTTTTGTGAGAGACTCAAAAACACGATCTTGTTCAGAGGCTGTTCCATTTGATAAATATTTAACAATCCACGAATTAAGTAGAATTTCTTCACCATTTTCAAATGCATTTTCATCATCATTAGGATGATGTAAAAAGATTATTGGAAATGCATCAGCAATAATTTTCAACATAGATGTTACACTGCTATTATTAGTTGCTTTCTTAGTTAATTGTTCGACCTGAGTCATTAATTTACTCGCATAATTTGTAATATCCATTTGATTTTCACGATGTAATATCAACATTGCAATGTGCCCTTTCATCATGTGATGTTGAAGATTCACTTTTTCTAATGATATTTGAAGCATGGTTTCCGAAACTTTGTTTGCAATGTATTGAAATGATGTTGACACTGATAATGTGATAAAGAGTTGAAGAATATTGTGAATTCCAATCTCATTTAATGTTTGAAGTTTAGATGATGGAAACTTTGTATAAATTCTTCCAAGAATTTTTTGAACTTGAATCATTTGATCATCCTGTGTAAACCTCTGAACTATTTTGCCGAGTAAATGAACAAACATTTCATAACTTGTCCAATTTGGATTCAACTTTGTAGTTTTTCTTTGTTGTTCTTTGATTCTTTTTAAGTACCCAGCAGCGGAAACAGAGGAAACAGTCATGAAACTAGGGTTTTGACCAGCGACAAGAAATGGCGAATTTATTTTCTTTTGAAATTTTTCCCAAAGTATTATCAAAATTTTAGATTTTGGTGTCCAAACATCGAAGATAACTTCAGAAATTATCATCAAAAAACATACGCAAATTTTCTTCTGATTGTTCGACTTTCAAATAATTTTTTGTCAGACTTTCAAAGAGTTCATAACTACGTTTTCTTTGCAATACATCTGCGGAATTTCTTATTAAAATCTTCGTTAAATCACAGAAAAACCAAACCATAAACAAATCAAGATTTTTTTTTGTTGCTATTTTGCTGGAAGTGCGAAGAAGATTTTTTTTCGAAGGAATTTCTTGATAAGGATTTTTCTCCTCATACATGATGCTGAATATCTTTGATAAGATCGTCCAAATATCGATGGAATCATGTTGTAGTTTCATCATTAACAAGTAGATTATCGTCCAAATTTCTTTGACACAAGAACAGATGAAAGTTGTTGCAAAATTAATTGAACCGCTGCTGTTGCATTTGTTGTATTTCGATATTGACAAAGTTATAAGATCATACATTAAAAGCAAGACTTCTATTGAAAATTCAGAACCATCATTCATAAGTATACCTCTCGAGTAATCGAGTTTATACATCATTGTCAAATAAATCCATCGCCATTCTAATTGTCCGTGAAAAAAATGATAAAGCGAAGAGTTCGAGACATTGCCTTCGATGCAACAAGCACTGCTCACTGAAGAAAAATTAATCATTGCATCAAAAGTACCGAAAGTTATTCGCAGCAGTTCTAAATCCCGATTACTGCAAAGAAATATTCTTTAGATTCCTTTTTATTTCATGATTTGAATTTAACTCACCTTAAATCATAAATCTTACATCGAAATATTAACATTAGCCGTGTAACTTCCTGTCGAAAATTGAAAAATGTCGAATCTGTGTTAAGAAAAGAATCAACCATTGATATTGCAAGTTTCTGAATATTAATTCTCGCAATTTGAACAATTACATCGACAGGCAAATCGCAATCAAAGGTATAACCAGATAATTCCATATTGTCAGGAATTGTAACGATGGGATCATATAAAAGTCCTTGAATATCAGAATGAAATTTAGATTCTGAAAAGCAAGCATTGTCATGCAAAAGTTTTAAAGAAGTTGCATTTTCATGCCGAACATTTCGAAATGTAACATTGTGTTTGCAAGTTCTTCTTATCGAAAGTCAGCATCCTCATGCAAATTATTGAAAAGGTCACATTTTCATGCAGCACAGATATGTTGGAAATTGATTATTTTTTATTGTTTCGAAAAGTTAGCCTCTTCAGGCAAATGTTTGGAAAGTTAGCCTCTTCAGGAAAATGTTTGAAAAGTTGCATTTTCATGCAGATCGTCTTGAAATATATTTTTTTTTTGTACTAAAAAGTCAGCATTCTCATGCTAATCATTGGAAAAGCAGCATTCTCATGCCACATGTTGTGAAGTAAGCATTCTCATGCAGTTTGTTAGCATCCTCATGCGAATAATTGAAAGAAGTTGCATTGCCATGCGAACATTTTGAAATGATTTTTTTTTATTGCAAGTTTTTATTGAAAAGTTAGCATTCTCA